AAAACTTCATGCTGACTTTTACTTGGACCTGAAACTCTAAGGATCTGATAGGGTGTAAAATGAAAAATCTCTGTGATAGGGTAGGGTAAGGGTACAAAGCCCCTAGGGCAGGGTAGGGCAAGGTTACGAAGTCTATAGGGCAGGGTAGGGCTAGGGTAAGAACGTCGTAGGGCAGGGTAGGACAAGGGTACGAAGTTTTACGATAGGGCAGGGTTAGGGTACAAAAAAGTCTTAACCTGCAGGACTCTAATTTGTCCTTATATGGAATATTGTGAAATGGAACGTTTAAATAATATGAATATTGAATTGTTTTTATGTATAATTCTGAAGGAGATTAATAATCGTAGTTTTTGTTTTATTTGTTCATTATGTTTTCATGCACCAGCAGTCGATGATCAAGTGATTGAAAATTTAGAAAAAATGATTAATTATGAACAATTACTTATTCAATTTACAACTAAACGTATATCTGATAATATTTATTTACAATGGACATAACTATTAGAAATATTTTATTTTGTCAGAAAAAAAACTAATAAATAAATAGATAATTAAATTTTAATTACAATGTTGGAAAAGTTTAGAGTCAAGAGAAGCGCTTATATTTGTACTATCATTTTGATTTTTATCTATTAGTCTTTATCAAATAATTAACTATATGTCTAAATTTGGTTGTTTAGATCCCTTAATCTAATACGAAGTCTAACTCAGTTTTTACTACTAAACATATATTTGTTATCAATTTTTGATAATAGAATGAATTCCAACCAAATAATATAGTCATTTTGGAAATATATCGTTTTTCGCATACCATGCCCCTATTACATTCGGAAATCTGTTTCGATTTGTTCTGATAACTTAAAATTCAATTTTTTTTACACCAATAAATAAAGAATTGATCACTGTATATAATGGGTAAAAGAATTCATAGTCTTTTAAAAAGTATATCAAAATATCTGACAATACTTGGAAAATTGCTATATGCTGGATCCCTCATTTTCGAGTATTATATGTCTAGTGCAAATGATACAATTTCAAAAGAGGCTCAAAATACCACTGTTTGTAGAGTTTTGTCTTCTCTATCGAATGGTATATAAATCAACTTTATCGAACTTATGATAAAAAAAAATCTACTAAACACCAGGCTTCGTAGTCGTCCTATATTTCCTATCAGCGGAAGTAGCTGGCGTTGTCCATAAACATCATTTGTTCACTTGCAGAAATAACTGCTTCAGTTGATGCATAATAAAGTACTCGAGAATTATCATCATTTATATTACTAAATAATTAAAATAAATATGCTCATTAACCCCTCCGAGACGGATCACGTATATATGCGTAATGACTGTGCATCAACTCATAATTCAGTTGTTCGGGTCTCTTGTGATATTTGTCTGATCTTTTAGAGAACCCTGATCATGTACCAGCACTACTGTCACATTCTTCTAAGTATTTTCTTTACTTGTGACATAACTATGTCATACGAAAGATTCGAAAAATTTTATTTATCTCAAAAAGTAACCCCATCCCAAAAGGGTTAAAGAAAAGACAAATATTTTGTAAACAAAGAAACTAAGTAAATAAATATTAGTTTTCTTTTTTTCATTTACGTAAATTTTATTTTCATACTCGATTATTTTTGTGGTCGAAATAAAACATTTGGATAATTAATTATTCATGATGATACTAAATAATTGAGCAAATTATATAAAATAATATCTAAATAAATAATTATTTGATTTTTAATTTCGAAATTCATGTCAAATCATTAGATAAAACATCTGCTAAATCAATCTTCAATTGTACTTTTTTTGGTAAATTTAATATTCGATTTACTTTAGACAATACAACATGACATTGATTAAGCTATTGAAATACCTGACGTCAAATAGGTTGAAAGTTCTTATTTAGATCATATGATGGTGGTAAAGCTGATGGATTATTCATTATTTGGTTGATTGATCGTTGATTACTGCATGCATCATAGAAGAAGAAAAATGAAAAAAGTCAGTAAGTAAACATAAGTGCCTTCATTCGAATATCTCCATTCATTTTTGAAGTATCACCAATTATTGAAAGCAAGATAAATATTCTATTCAAACAGTAATATAGTAGTTCAAAAATATGCATGAAATACTTCAGAATAGTAGAACGATTGTCTGAATTTCGTTTTTGATCTTCTTGCGTTGTTGCGATCGTTTTGATTACCTTGAATGCGCATGACATCTATGAATGTGTCGCTTTAGATTTTTGGTGAAATTAAAAATAAAATATAATTTAAAAAACTTGAGACAAGAAAATATTAATAGAATATTGCAAATAAAAAATAAAAAATATTGATATACTTATAATTTATTGATTAAAATGATTATTAAAAAAGTGATGATGTTGTCCTTTAGTTACTTGTTCTGTTCTTATTTTTTTATTTTGACGTACACACATAGATGAGTAAATATTTTAATTTTTTGTTTAGAGAAAATTTATTGATAAATCGAACAAAAAAAACATGCCAAATCAAGGAGAAACTGAAGAAGATCATGAACAACAAAAGAGTAAAAAACCAGCTGGTAAATAAAAAAAAAATATATATATATATTTATTTGACTTGTCGATGAATATTTTTCAAACAGATACGGCTTTTAAGCAGCAACGTTTACCTGCATGGCAACCAATAATAACTGCTAATACAGCACTACCGGTGTTTTTAATTATTGGTTTAACATTTATTCCAATTGGTATTGTACTTGTTGTTACATCAGAACGAGTATGAATTAACTTCTTTTATTTGTTAAAAGTTTTTCAACATAACTTTCGATAAATCAAAGGTACTTGAATATGATATTGATTATACTGATAGCAATTGTATGAGTACAACTAATTCAAGTGTAACCTGTGCAGATGTATTAGAAACAGCAAATTATAATGGAACGACATGTTATTGTGAAACACAATTTACTTTAGATACAGCATTTGAAGTAAGTTTATTATTTTATTCAAGACAGCATCTGTTTAAATCATAATTTTTAGGGTGACGTTTATTTTTATTATGGCTTAACCAATTATTATCAAAATCATCGTCGTTATGTGAGATCACGTGATGATAATCAATTATTGGGTAATACAGGTGCAGTGAGCAGTGATTGTCAACCATTTCAACAAATGTCAAATGGAAGTGGTTATACACCATGTGGTGCTATTGCTAATTCAAGATTTAATGGTTTTCTATTATTCTTTTGATTAAAAATTGCATTGCTAAATGATATTATTTAGATTCACTAAGCTTATCATATAAAGGCAATGGAAATGAAAGTGTCCCATTTACAAATCTTGGTATTGCTTGGTCTACAGATAAAGCTGTTAAATTTAAAAACCCATCGAATGCTGCAACTTGTAATATTGTTTAATTTTAATTATTTTTAAAGCTTATTTTTCTTACCATAGTTTTTCCTGCAAATCTACGTCCACCAAATTGGCAAATAACAGCATGGGGTTTAGATCCAAATAATACTGATAATAATGGTTATGAAAATGAAGATTTTATTGTTTGGATGAGAACTGCTGCAATGCCAACATTTAGAAAATTGTATCGAAAACTACAAAGACCTTCGTCAGGATCATTTCAAGGTGGTTTACCAAAAGGAAATTATACTCTTACTGTTACTTATAGTACGCTTTTTTTATCTTGTTGCAGTTAGAGTTGTTTTGATAAAAGAAGAATTTTTCTTTTCCGTTCAGCTTATCCAGTAAAAAGCTTTTCTGGACGAAAGCAATTTATAATAAGTACAACATCATGGATGGGAGGAAAAAATCCATTTCTTGGCTGGGCTTATATTGCTGTTGGAATTGTTTGTATGATAACATTCGTCGTCTTTTTTATTCTTCATAAAACATGGAAAACGTAAGATTATAATTTGTTTGTTCTCAAATTCTAATTTCCCATTATTCATAACAATACATTTCGATTAGTTTTATGGCTTATTTTAAATAGAAATATTCAAAAAAAAATAAAGATTTCTCAAATCTAACAGAACTCTCATATCAATAGGAGATTACTATTCAAAATTTTAATTGACTTTTTAAATAAATCTATAAGTTATATCATGGTTAAGTATTTATTTTTGATAAAATCATTTTATGAATAAAAGACTTTGAAATAAACATTAAACTAAATTAAGTTAAGTAAGGACCGATTATCATATCAAGTGTCTTCGATGAAAAATAATTCAATAATAACAACAACAACGTAACGTGAAAATAGATAATCATTTGTTTCGTTAGTTTTTATTTGCTATTGCTCAACTCAGCTCAAGTTACTTTTCTATTTTGATTAAAAGTTTTCACAAAATTCTAAAGAAACTTAACCATTTTTCTAATTTAGACAAAATCGGCCTCCAATGTAAAACAGTTTCAAATACAAGAGACACAATTCTATGATTCAATAAACTAAATATATTTATCTTTATTTTATTTTATTATATTATTATTTTTTGTTCGTTATTCTTGCTTTTGTCTTATAAATATGAAATACACAGAACAAAAAATAAATGAAATGCCATTGTTTTTTTTCTTGAAAACTAAATAAAATAAATATTCGTTATCAATTAATTCTTTTTAGATTGGCATAAATATGTCAGAAATTCCACCTGTTATTCCTTTAGATGGAACAACTCTAAGGTGAGAAAATATTTTATTCAAAAGTTCAATAAAACATTTAAAAGTCTATCGCTTTCGTTTTTCAACGATTTTTCAATTGAGAAAAAAACCGAAGAATATAAAATTATCTTTTACAAATATTTTTTCAACGCACAAATGAATCACAATTGTCATTCGTCAATATTTACGTGAATTCAAATGATTTAAATCAAAATTTTCAAATGAAATTTTAAAAAATGAAAAAACGAATTAGTTTATCTCTCTATTCATTTATAATTCTTCATAAAAGATTTTAGTATACATAAATTCTCATCGATTCATCTTACGTAAATCTAGAGTTGACTCGATATGATGTTAAATATCGAAGAAAATCTATTGGCTTACAATAAAATCGAAAGATGAATTAAGTTCTAATTTTGCGAACGATCTAATCATATATATTTATGAGGTACACTGACTTCATTCTATTCAATTTAATAGGAAAATAATTATCTTAACGATGAAAAAATTTTTAATTATTGAAGTGAATCGAAACGTTTTCAAAAATATATTTATGGAGAAAATGTTTAAAAACAAAAGAGAATTTCTAAAATTGGATAAGATCTGTGTTGGTTTTATTAATCTATTAAGATAATCATATTTTGAATATAAAGATGATTAGAGTTAATTTAATTAGAAATAAAATATGAACAAAAACAGCTTTAAATAGAATATTTAGTTTTTCTCATTTGATAATTTTTATTCGGTAAAATGAAACATTAAATGATCTTCTAATCGGAATTATTCTTTCCTTAAGTTGATATTTTGATGAAAACAATGACAATTAAAATGAATTTTTTTTTCTTCAATAGCTTTTCATCGGAATGTTTCCCAAAAGAAGAATCTAGCCAATTGGCAATTGTACCTTCGTCATGTTCACGAGAACAACAAAATAATATTTCATCTCAAACTTGTAACATTTCATCGAATCTCTCAGAAATAATTCCGTCATGCAATGAAAATAATTCAAATAAACAAATAGGTAACAAAAAAAGGATATTTATGTAAAAAATGAATTCTTCTTCTTTTTTGCTTTAAGCTATCGGAAATCTTCCAAATAATGAATCATCAGATATAAAAATGTTTATGGTCACATCTCCATCACAAAGTGATGATATATCATTTGAAGAAAAGAATTTACTTTTAAATGAACTAACTGATAATGTTAATTTATCATCATTATCATTTCTACAAACAAAACAACGTAAAATCGATCATAGAAGAAATAAAAGTGAACCAGTTATAAATACTAATTTAGAAGATCTTTCTTCAATTAATTCTTCTTATACAAGACCAAGTATACTTGAATCATCATCAACTAGTACAACAAGTAATGAATCAGCAATAAGTAGTAATGCATCTTTTGAAAAAAAAAGAAAATCTTCCAAAAAATCACTTTCACCATCACGAAATCTGAAAAAAAACATGGAAAATAATAATTCACCTCAAATACAAGACAAATCATCATCAACGACAAAAAAGAAAAAGCCATGGTATAATGTAAGTCTTTTCAATTTCCTTCAATTTTTTCTTTTTAACATCAACTGCAAATTTTTTTTTGGTTTTAAATATTTGTTAGTATAAAAATATCTTATAGTTTTTTTTTCAATCTCTTTCTATGAGTTAATAATAATAATGTCAAACAATAGAACAATAATAGATATTTTTACTCCTACGATTGCACATTACTTCGATTTCTCGCCTACATAAAAATGCCTCTTTTTAAAAATAAAATGCATGCAAGACAAAAAAGAGAAAATGATTTGGCCCTTTCTAACTAAAGGGTATCAAAGAGAGAGAGAGAGAGAAACAGAAGAACACGACAAAAAAATGTAATAGACATAACGAAGCATCAATATAGAAACGTTGTTTCGCGTTTTAATTTGGTGTTTCTTTTATGGATTATTCGTTATAGTTTATCTGATATTTATTTGTTAAAAGAAATCATAAAATGGATACAATTCGATTATTTCTTCGTTCAAATAGTTTTCGAAATACGAAAATACGAACCGATCTAAATAGCAAAAGTTTGTCAATAACATCAAATATAATTGATAAAGACAATAATAATCTATTGATTGAAAATGATAAAAACGAAATATTAATACGACGAAGCTCATCAAATGAAAAATTATCGCGTGATAATGTTAAATCATTTTTATCAACACATCCATCATCAAGTTCATTGTCGTCAAATTTTCAAAGTGTTTCATCACAAATTGGTACATGCTTTGGTTTATCAAGTCCATCGTCAAATAATAAAAGATCTCCAAATATTGTAGCAAGTGCATCAGCAGCAATATCAAATGTTCGTTCATTTACAAATGAAAATCCTTTGAAAGACCGTCGTATTAGAAGACAACGAAGACATTCATGGACTAATGAACGAAATTTTCATAATATATCATCATCATCATCATCATTTGCAGTTCGGCAAACTAAATCACATCGTTATTCTGATCGAACAAGGAACTATTCGTTTATACATAAAAATTCAACGAAAAAAACGAGACGTCGAATAATACAAGTAAATCGCTCATCAAAATCTATTAGCTTTCCACTTTCCACTAACATCAACAATCAATCATTTTCTACTGATTCAACACAAATGCGTTCAGTAAAAACAACAGCTACAAATGCTTTTCTAACAGTAGCTTCGAAAGTCAAGTATCGGATAGGATTTTCACTGCTCATACCAATTGAAATATTAATATAATTCCGTTCATTTCGCTTTTCGTTCAATATTTATTTAGATTTATCCATCAAAATAGAGTTAAAAACAAACAATACCATGCTTTTAAACATTCTAATTACTGTTTATTTTTTTTCTTTTAAATAATAAATTTTCTTTTCTTCTATTCTTTTCTAGCCTTTTCAATCAACTTATCGTCAAAGAAATGAAGAATTTCGAAAAGTATTTAAAGATTTACCGAATGATGAACGTCTAATTGTTGGTAAGAAGATATGAAACCATTAATTTATTTAGAAAAAATAACTTGTCTCTATAATAAAGATTATTCATGTGCATGGCAAAAAGAAATTTTAATACAAGGTCGAATGTATATATCACAAAATTATTTATGTTTTTATGCAAATTTTCTTAAATGGGAAACAAGTTTATGTTTAAAATTTAAAGATATTTCTTCTCTAACACGAGAAAAAACAGCAAAAGTTATTCCAAATGCAATCGAAATAAAAACAAATAAAAATGAAAGATATTTTTTTTCAAGTTTTGCCACACGTGATAAAACTTATGCAATGATATTTCGAATATGGCAAACCGTGTCAATTGATCAAGTTTGTTATTTTCTTCTTTCACTTAAAATTTAATGATCATAATCATAATAATATTCTAGCCAATATCTTCTCAGCAGCTATGGACAATGATTCATCAAAGCTACGGAAATGATTTAGATATGACGACTGACGAAGAAGATACATATAATAAACAATCAACAAATTCTACACCTGATAAAAGTTTATCGAAACAACTAACTAAAAATGAAACAAATGAAAAATATTGTGTAAGATAAATTTCTTTTATTGTTGTTGTTGTTTTACCCGTAACTCTTACGATTCTCAACTAAACTTATCTTTGATGACAACTGTTCTTGTTCTGTCTTTTTTTTAATGAATTTTGTTGTCAAATATTGTCTTGGTAAGTATCTTTTATGTCTCATGTTTTAGAAGTAAAATAGATAAGTGAGTCAATGTCCTATATTAGAGAATATTTTCAAGAAAATCTTGGCTATTATAAAGTATATCATACAAAAGAGAAACGGATTCTCTTACTTTCTTCTCATTTTTCGTATAGTTATAATTCAAATGATAATTGCCATTCGAGAGAATGTAACAAAAGATTATATTTACTCTCATTTTTCCTTTGACTAAAATTCAAAATAGTTTGAAACTTTTTTTTGTTTTCTATTTAGAGTGTAACTCCGAATTCAATTTGTTCAAAGTCTAGTGAAAAAGAAGAAATAGACGATCGTTCTAGTTTATCATCTCGTGGAGGACGTCCAACAGACGACGATAATGATAATGACAATGATGATGATAACGAATCTATGATACCTATTGGTGAAGAAGCAAATTCAAATACACTTATTCGTCAGCCTAGTTCAAATACAAAAAGACAAGAAAATTGTTTAGCATCGATGGAAGCAGTTCAAGGTTTGTTTTCATTTGTTTAGATGTATTTTTTTTTTGAAAATTTTCTAATATTTTCTTTTGTTTATTAAAACATAGAAAGGAATTATCTATCGAAATGTTCATGTGAATCACATTTAGCTACTCAATTAATTGATCGAACATATTCATTATCGGTTGAACGTCTGTTTGATTATTTATTTGGTGAAAATGATTTTGTTAATGCTTATCATGAATCACGTCGTATAAAAGGTTTTACTTGATTTTTATTATTTATTTGAATTGTTTGCTTTTCCTATAGATTTTCATACTGATGAATGGAAAATAAATGAAAAAACAGGAAAACGTGAACGTGTATGCACTTATAAAGTTAGTGTCACTGCAGTGTTTGGTGAAACAACGATTTGTTCAAATGAAAAACAAGTAAAACGAAAAACGTTTCTTTTTTATTGTTAATTAATTTTATTTATAAATAGGTTATTATTTGTGAATTATCAAAATCACATTATATAGTAGATACAGAAGTTCGAAATGAAGGAATAAAATATGCAGATGCTTTTTTTGTTGCATCTCGTTATTGTCTTGTACAAGTTGGACCCAATAAATCACATTTAAAAGTTACTTGTGAAGTTAGATACGTTAGAAGTTTAATGATAATTATTAAATGTAAGTTGAACAAATATGCTTTTCTTTCTCTTTCTAATTTTTTTCAATAATGACTATTCTTATTGGATGAAATGAAAATTTACTTGAATCACACCATTATGACCACCTGATATCTTTTTTTCTACCTATTTTGCGAAAAGAATTCTTTTATCAATGGTTGTTCTGCGCTTTCTTGTTGCATAACGATGATTACATCTTGAAAGAATAATCTCATCAAAATATTGATTATATTCAAGCCTTATTAAAAGTTTCTTGGAATAAAAATGCGGATAATTGTCAAATATTTTTTTGTTCATTTAGCATTCATAGAAAAAAATGCAATGGCAGCTCTTCAAGATTCTTATACAGATTTGAGTAAGTTGGGTTTTTTCGATTGATGTATTTGCTCACGCAAAAATTTGTGGCTATTTTTATTTATTTTTGCTCTCTAAAAGATAATCGAATCGAACTGTCAACATCATCAGGTGTTTAATTCAATTTTTTTTGTATTTTGTTATTAGAGAAATGAAAATTTTTTTATTCTTGTTTTTTAATATTTAGTAAAACGCATTGAAGTTGAATGTTCAAATCGACAACGATCATCAAATATCATTATTAATAATAATAATGAACAAGATAAAACAAGTCAATCAATACAAATGTCAAAAAAGAAATATTCACAAAAACAACAATCAATGAAATTGAATTCTACAATGAATGATTCTTCTCCAGATCAACAACGAAAACAAATCATTCATGATGAAACTATTCATCATAATCAAAGTAAATTTTTGTCTATAAATATTTTCTTATCAAAAATCTAAATGAAATATCTAAGAAGAATATTACAAAACGAATATGTTCATCAGAACAATTACAAACAATTTTACTGACATCCACGAAACTGGAGGGGGAAATTTCAATGATAAGAGAGATGTTTTATTTGTAATGACTTCTCTGAAGAATTTTTCATACTTTTGCTATAATTTATAGTTTATATGTTTAGTTTTTAATGCGGTGCGAAGCACTGCATTCATGTAGTCCGTCGCGAGTTTTTTTTTTTTAATGCGATGCGAAGCAGGAAGCATTTCTGTTATGCGTCGCGAGTTTTTCTTTTTTCTTTTTTACTTGACCGTACGCATCTTTTCTGTCGTTTTGTGACTCTACGATCTCGAGAACCAAAAATCGTAGAAACCTCATTTAAACGCAAGATAGTAGTATCGAGATCGAACTGCTTACACCTGTTTTCGAATCTTTTAATAAAAAAAAAAACTCGCTACGGATAACATAAATGCTTCTGCTTCGCATCGCATTAAAAAAACTCGCGACGCATAACAGAAATGCTTCCTGCTTCGCATCGCATTAAAAAACTCGCGACGCATAACAGAAATGCTTCCTGCTTCGCATCGCATTAAAAACTCGCGACGGACTACATAAATGCTGTGCTTCGCACCGCATTAATTATATTTTGACTAGAACGATAAAAATTGTTTAATCATACTCAGTTCGATTGTATTTCATTCTATCATGATAATATGTATAGATTTTTTTAATCTTTCTTAAGTGGCGATCATCATGATCATTAAATTTATTTCAAATATACTTCTTCTACTTAACAAAAGAAAAATACAATAAGTACACAGACAGAAAGAAATAAAATGTCGAAAAAGAATAATTACTTGTTTTGACCAAATATGAATTTTGTTCTGTACTTCTTTTTAAACACTGGAACGCTGCAAATTATTTCTATTATCAATTTCTTCTGAGCTAAAAGTTGATAATCGTCTGAGTTAACTCGAGACAATAATGGTATTGTGCTTATTCTCATTGACCGTTAATTCATTCGCTTATCATTGATCAACATTAATTATGATTTTATCGAAAATAGTTAAGGGCAGTGATGGAGTCAGNTGGCACATAATCCAAAGCCTCACCGCCTAAATGGGTCCAGAACAAGCATTTTCCCCAACAGCAACCCCCCTAGATCAAAATCCTGGTTCCGGCACTGATTAAGGCGGCGAGAGATTTGACTCTATTGGAAGAAATACATCATATTCATGCACAATTGATATCAATAAGAATGTTGTAGAAAATGGCAAGATATATATAGCGACACCAAGTACACAAGCACATTTATTAATCGCTATTTCAATAACTCTTGTTTGTTTTTCAATAAAAAGGTTCCCAAAGGTCGTTTCAGCTAATATTTTTGCTGTTTGATATGGACCGTATTATGACCGTAATTAGCCGTTTACGACACGGCAAAACACTACCGTCGGAAACGGTAAAAGACGATAGTATAATTTAGCGTTTTTGGTCGTGTACGGTCGTTCCTGATCGCCAAAATACTTGACCGGCAAATTTTTTTTAGTTTTTTTCAATAGCATATCTTTATTTTTATTTTTGGAAAATTTTGTACTCTAATCTGAAGATAAAACAAAGGAAACTGAAACAATAAATTGAATGAAAATTACTTACTAAGGAAAAAAAGGTTTTTGCTGTAGTTGATTATGTACATAAAAATTCTTTTATCTATTGTAATGAATCCTCGTCTTCTTCCTCTTCTTCTTCTTCAGATTCCAACAAAATCATGAGATGCCTAGTTCGAATTCGAATATAAATGAACATCCAACTGCATGGTATAAATTCGAAAATAAGTGATAGAAATAGATTTAGTCTTAATTTAACTTTTGCTTTTCTCCATTTATATTCGAACTCGAATTAGACAGCTACTCCTTGAGTATAAAAGCTTAACATTCATCTAGGAGATAGGAATGTCTTCTCGCTGTTTTGTGTATTTTAAATGCATCGTATTTACTTGTCTTTTGATTTGTTCAAGTCTCGTTACTTTATGTTCCAGTGCTCCAATTCTTTTTAAAGCATTTCTAATTTGTACGCCAAGATCATTATTCCAGGCAGAAAAAAATAACAGGCTATCTTCATAAAATAGAGAACACTCATCTTATAGTGAACATGCAAGTTATTAAACGTGCGAATAATAGCAGCTTCACTAAAAACCTATCTTACTCAGCGTTACAATATCAGCGTGTTCTTGGAACGTTTGTAAGTTATACATGTCTATTTTGACTTTTCTTGAGTAGAACATGATTGTTCTCTTTTTTTCAAAAATTTTACTGCAACGAGATAAAAATATTTCATCTTTACCGTGATTATCGCTTCTTTTATTCCTATCTTTCTCTATTTTAATCTTACTTTCTTTCTCAATGCTGGTCGCGTAAATCAATTTGTCTTCTGTTTTTTTACGATGCAACAGATGGCATAACAACTCCGAATAAAAGATAATTTTATCCGTACTAACATATCTGCTATCAAAAATAGCCATATTTAGTTCCAGACTAAATATCTGCTAAGATCGTGTACCATTGAGCTGTTTTCTCAGTAGGTGCAATTCTGTAGATTCTGAAATTACGAACAATTTATCTCTCACTTGTCCATCTATAACAAGGTGGATAGGTATAGGTCCACAGCCATTCAAAATTATTGATAAAAAATAAAAAATATCTTTATAGCATGACCCCCTCCTCCCATATTAGAAGACCTCCTGAAGAAAAAGTTTGTCCGACATAATAGAAGACCCTCTTTTAATTAGTTAATTTTTTGCTAATTACGAACTTTAATTGGCGTTTTCCCATCAAATATGCCTGATTCTTAGCATTTTAAGCTGGAAATATTAAGAGAATGTGTTCACAATTCTAATGATACCGTTGAAACTCTGAAAATCCTGATGGAAATCCTGAAAATCACCTTGGTTTTCTGGAAAACCTTTTAAATTAAATACTAGGAAAAAATGCGGTTCTTAATACAAGACACCCCTGGAAAATTTTTACGCTAGCACATAAGAGAAGCCCCGGGGTCTTGTATTGTGGGGGGGGGCAGGGGAGTTAGGTGTAAATTTGGAAANTCTTATCAAATCTGGTTACCGGATTCTCCGAGAACCGGCCAGATCTACAATGCCGGAAAATATCAGGTCAGATGATACGATTGGGCCGTATACGACGTGATCCGACAATATCCGGTAACGAAACTTTACCGGAATCCACCGTGCCGCATGACCGCTCGATTTCATGGTAGATCTGGCTTAATCAGTCTCAACGGAACCAATCGGATCATATCAGAACCGAGCGATCCCACTCACTGGATTAAGCCACTTACTACAACACAGATCTGATCGTCAACATCTGCAACTAATTACCAGATGCTAAAGGATTATCTTGTGATCCATTCCGACCCTTAGTTATCAGCTCACACAACCGATGAAAAGCATGAATTAAAAATTATGGCTCATCCAATAGCTTATTTATGAAAAATCAATCCACTTGAGCAACATGATTAAGTATTTACTGATGCTGCGCGAAGTTATCGACCCGAATGAATCTCACTCAACTCGCTTATCATAACTCCAGCTAATATAACTTAATTCTATAATAGACTCCTGGTCTAATCCGAAATCCACTGCCATTAATGATTACCCAGGGCAAGATAAACTTGCTATATACTCATACTAGCTTATGCAACTCGATAAAATTTAAAACGCGTTACACGTGTTTCCTCGGTCTGACAACACCAAAAGCATCATTTCAAATCACCAACAAACGTTTTTTGTGGACGCTCGAATGTTGCGTACACATAATATTAAAAATTCCATATGCCATTAAATCGTTTTCGAATGTCACTCAGAATCCTGTTTCACGAAGAAAAGCTACGTTGAAACCATCGAGAATGATTTTCTGAGCGATTCTCTATGTCTTAGTGAATTTTCGATACGTCAAGGTTGAGCTGCTGAGTGATTTTCATCGAAGGAAAGTGTGGTTGGATCCGTAATGAAAGATATGCTTAGAATCCTATTTCACGAGGAAAAGGTACGTTGGAATGAGCTAAAATGCTTATCTGAACGATTCTCTATGTCTTAGTGAATTTTCGATCCCTCAAAAATTATGTTTGGAGTGATTTTGTGTTCGCGTTTATGCAACAAGATAACTCTTCAATGATGTTTACAATGGTAATGATTGATGAAAAACAAAGCGGTGATGATCCGAAATGATACTCCGATGGATTTTCTATGAATTATTAATGATTTCGATGGGTGCAAAATGATGTTGGGAGCGATGTTTTCAAGAACTGAAATGCAACAAAATGACGTAGTAAACGAGTTTATAATGTGTTTAATGAATACGATGTATAGTAAGTTGGTTCTGGATCATTCTAAGTGTGTGTATTGGTGAGTCAGATGTTGTTGGTTTCGGGTTACAATTTTTTTCAGGGTGGTTGCTGTTGGGGAAAATGCTTGTTCTGGACCCATTTAGGCGGTGAGGCTTTGGATTATGTGCCATTATTCATGAGGCGTAGTCGTTTTGGTTGGTGTGCGTGCTTCTGGAGACTACAGCTGATTCATCTTGTGATTAAAGAACGCTTGTATGAGAGATTTTTTATGAGGTCCTTGTCATCGGAATCCGGTCAAATATGTGCTGAAGCCCTTGTGAACCCGGGATCATTCGGTAGTCCGGGTCGATCGGTTGCGATAATGTTCGGTTTTATTATCCAGCAGGAACGGACCGGACCATTTTCCTTTGAATTCCGGCAAAATCCTTGTCGGATGCTGCCAGATTTGAGTGGGAAACATGCCGGCTTCTGGAGTGATACGTTGCTGGTTCCAATGGGTTACGGCAGGATCCGGAAGTAGAATCGAGTATCTTGGGTAACGATCAATACGACCCTGTTTAGGTTGATACGTAATGACAAACTAGAAAGAGTGGAAAGCTTACCGCCACTCTCGGCGATGACTTTTATTCTCTTCTTCACATATCCAGAGTGTAACAATTTCATATATAACACACGTATACGTATATAGGAGAGTGACATGAGATATATATATCTTAGAACAATGGGAAGAGAGTAGAAAGAAAAGGAAGGTGAATCATCGAAGCGTGTCATTTATGTCGGTGCAGCATTATTTTAACTTTTATGAATTGGAGAATTATGACTGGACTGATGACCAGTTCTTGTTTCCCTGAGGAATAATCATGACGTTGCTAATAATTCCTCTTCCGTTTAGGAATCCACATTTCTCAGTTCTTGGACACTGCTATACTTACACACTCATGTCGCCTCTTTCTTAACAACTGCGCAGCAGTTACACGTAACTATGGCGGATTGATCGTAGTGAAGACCTCTATACCGTTATACCCATATAAAATGCTTTTTGTGAATATTTCGCTGCACCTGATTGGTTTGTTACCTAATTTGCCGCAAATTCAAATTTCCGACGAACTCGGTTCATCACGTTTCAGTTCATAAATCATTCTACTATAAACATTAGAATGCATATTTCGAAAACCTATTAAAAAAATTTTCTAATCTTTTAATTTTTCTAAATATTTATTTTTAATTTTCCTCAGTTCTTTAAATTTTTGTTTTTAATTGTTATAAAAATTTTAATTTTATAGTTTTCAAATTTTTTACTTTGTGTACTGAAAAAATCTTTTTTTAAGCTAATAATAAAAATACAAATAAAGTGAAAACCTAATCTACGCCATCTCTTGCAACAATTACGTGTAACTGCGATTTTTTTCATCTTAGATACACGTAACTACGTCGCAATTTTCCGCAATTACGAGTCACAGTGCGATCGCAATTTCATCGTAATGAAACATATGGGACTAGAAAATATATTCGCTCGATTGAAAACAACAGTAGTTCTAATGATTAAGAAAGTAATGAAATTGTTACATTTGATTTTTAAATAGAACAAGTAAAGCTAGCCATTAAAAAAAATACAACTGTTTCCAGTGGACAGTGACTTATTTAAATTATTGACAATAAAAAGCAGAGTAATTTGTATTTGAACTAAAAAACGGTATGGATTTTTATTTTAATTAAAAAAATCACCCATGGCTATTCATTTACTCTAACTGGTCTTTTACCTTTTATGAAAATTAATTTATGAATCTTAGTTTAGAAGTTTATCAGTAGAAAGATTTGATACAAAATGATAACCAGATAAATAAATTTGAGTATTATATGTACAGATCACGTCCGGATTAATGATCCGAAATTCCACTAAGTCTGATGTCCTGTCAAATATCAGACCATGCTGATAGTTTTGCTTCAAACGATTAGTCTAGGGTTATGCTGGGCAAGACTTTGAACTACAGTTCACCGATACAGTAAGGGATAATGAAACAATTTTTTTCTTCCAAAGTAAAATTTAATATAGTTACAAAAAAAAGAGTACGATTAGTTCGCAACATTTATTCAAAACAAAGTGTACATTAATAATACATTAGATAATATGTTTGCTTTTGTATTGCAGTTTTTTATTTTTAATAGCAGAGCTGGCGTCTTAACATTATGACGCAAAGTCGTAACCAGTTCTGTTTGAATATAAAAAGATATTTCTTCAACCATACTCAATCTCTTTGTAAGCGCAATTGACGAAGATTTATTTACATTCAAAAGACAAATAACCAGTAAGAAAGCAAAATTATGTTTTTTTTCAATAAAAATAAGTGAATTAATACGTTTGGTTGCATTAAATAAAACCCAACTGTATGTGTTTTAAAAGTTCTCTCCTCTTCAAACTATGTTGAGTATTATTGACGTTGAAAAAAATTCCAAAGATATTCTTTTTTCTTTTAAAGATCTGTACAATAGTTGATTATTATTTAAACTAATGACATCGTCCACAAATTTAGCAACAAAATATGTTGTATTTTCCTATAGTAAAAATAATCAAGAACTTGTATTAAAAATTTATGGCTATTTAAAAAATGAAAATCTTCCTGTATGGATTAATGTTCAAGATGGCACCAATAAAGATATCCATGAAAGGTATTTAAATCAATTGATAAACAAAATTTATCCTATAAAACAGGAAAATATTTGATTTAGTGAAGACAATATTATAAATAATATAAGTATTCTTGTATGTTTCTTAACACCAATGTATCAAACATCAAAGTTCTTCCAAAAACAAGTTGAATCAGCTAGAAGAAAGAGAATACCTATTATTGCTTGTCGCCTGTTACCGAATTGGAAACCATCTGGCTGGCTAAGTAATGCACTTTCTTTTTCTATTAATTATGAATCTTATTTAAAAACTAAATAGATAAAATTACAAGTGATTTATTGACAATCGATTTACGGGGTATTAATCAAAAAAATTTCCTTGATAAAACGAATAAATTACGAGAAAAAGTCATCTGGTTATTAGATAACCAAAAAGATTCTGAACTTTTATCTATTTTACCTGTTCATGAATCTCTAATAGGTTTGTTAATTAAAAAAATTAAAAAATAAAATTCTAACTTATAATATTTTATTTTATATTTCTAATATAGATATTGCAGATCAATCAATATTATTAGATGATTCAGACATGTTTTCTTTAGTTGAAAATTTTCATTCAAATTGTTGTAAGAAAAAACCAATTAAATATCGAATTCTTCCAAAGAATTGTTGTTTATCGTTATCAAATTTAATGATTTGTAATAATGAATATATATTAATTAGTGGAAATAATCATTTGCATTTATTTGATCGAAATCTAAAACTTATTCGGTCAAATAATGATAGAAAAATAAATGAAGATGATCTGAAAGATTTAAGTTGGTGTTCTTATTTGAATTGTTTTATTATTTTAACTAAAAAACAAATCTATTTAATGAATTCATTAACAAGTAAACTTTCAATTATTGAAAATATTAAATTAAAAGATCATCGAGAAGAGTTTATTTCTTGTTGTTGTTCTGAAGAAAAATTTTATGTTATAACATGTCAATTAAATTCAAGTTCATTTTATTTCGAAGAATATAATTTACCAACATTTCGGTTCTTAAGAAAATTTCAAATTCTTGATTTTATCGAAAATACATTAATTATTCAAAATGGAGTTTTTAATAAAAATTTCAATTTAGAAGAAATACTTTCTTTGAGATATTATGATAAAAAACTTGCAATCATTATGAAAATAGGATCAAATTGGTTTATTTATTTCTTTTATTTATATGATCAACCTTTTTTTCTTAAAAAAATTCTTTTAGAAGATAAAAGTCGAATAACAATTATAGATTCACTGAATCAATTGATTATTTTTAAAGATTACTTATCAAATTCATTTATTCAAATGCCAATGGATCTCGAAAATAAATTTCAAACAAATCAAATATCAAATTATTCAAAAGCATTTATTGATTTTAATGGAAAATTACGTAGTATTGCATCATTTCGAATGTCAAATCTTGTTCTTCTTATTGATAATGCTCTTGTTATTTATAAATTGTAAATTTTTATTAGGCAAAACAATTTATGTTTTTGTTTCACATTTCCTGTTATGATTAAATGATTATTGAAAGGAAATGAATGAAGTACAATTACCTCATTATTTGACAACGCTTCGGAAACTTTTATTGATTTTGTTTCATGTGAGAAGAAATCTATCGACTATCATTTTTTGTAATTATTTATTTACACTACACTATCATTACCAATTAAAATAATAACTAAACTAAAGTATTAATCGACATATAAATATTTATTCTTCCCAGGTGAATGAATCCGATCACGGATCTTATCGAATCCTATGGGATCCGACTGCCCGACAGAATCTGATAGGATTCCTGGACATAGACCTATTGTCGGTTCCGAAGGAAAAAATCATTTTCTTATTCACGATCAAGTATGCATTTTGAGCCATCAGAGCGCAAGGGAGATTCGTTGGAGTTGGATTCCGTTAAAATCCAACATCGTATCCGATTGGATCCAATATCAAGGATCCGACTGTAGGTTCGTGTCCAGGAATCCGATAGGATCCTACTGTAGGAATGATTCTCCTGGGTTGACACAAAATTGCAAATAATTAAAAAACTGAGAGAAGATAAATGATTTTAAGTTTTATTTGTCATCGAGTATAACATGATATTTAAACACAAACAAAAAAAACTGAAAGAAATAAAAGATCTTAACATTCTTTCTTTTGTTTCTATTAAGATTTTATCTTCTATTAATGATAAAAGTAAGTACTTGCGAATAAGAAAAGTTTTATGATTTATATTGTTTAAGAAGATGTTGAGAAAATGAATTTATATTTTGTGAACCTCGAACTTCATCATCAAGTAGAGGTAATTTAATCACATTGAAATCTTCATAAAGATCGTCAATCTAAAATGAGAAAAAATTACAGCAAACGAAGTGTTATCTTGAGGAGTTGATGTTTTATAAAAGAAACCTGTTCAATATATTTTTGTTGAAGACGCATTCTTGATGCACATCTTTTACATGAATTTGGATTTTCTCCAGGCGTCGGAAATAAAACTTGATTAACAATAACTGAATGTGTATCAATATGACATTTAGCTAATTCTTGAACTAATCTTTCAGTTTCGTATAGTGATAAAAATTCTGGTATACAAACACAAATGAATGTTGTTAAATTCTAAAAAACAAAAATAAAAACAAAAAAAGAATTCTATTTTCAAATTTATTATTCAAGAAACAAAGGTCTAACCGGATCTTGAAATTGCTCCATAACTTGACGAATAACAGCTAAAGTTTCTTCTAATTTATTTGACATTAATTCTGATATCATAGTATCCATTCCAAACATTGATGAAATCTTTTTATTTAATTTTAAATTATATATATATATAAGATGAATATATTGTTTTCTTACCTGTGTAAGCATTGGCCCAACTTGATTTTTAAGTCTTAAGATTTTATCAAGACCTTTTTCGATAGCCGAAGGAAATGAAAGTAAGCGTAATGTATGACCTGTTGGAGCCGTATCAAATACAACAACACTAAAATTCATATTTTTCACTAATCTAAATAAAATGTTTTTCTCTGATTAGTCTTTTTCAAAGGAAAAAATTCATCGTTTTACTTCATAACTTCGGAGAAACTAACGGCTTCATCGATACCAGGAAATGACGAAAGCATTTCTTGAAACATTGAACGACCAACTGTCCATAGTTCTGAATTTATTTGAAATTTATTTAAAGGAATTTATTATTAAATCTAAAATCCTTACCACTTTCTTCATTATCGTCAGGTAATTCACTGATTCCACCAGATGGATCAATTTCCTAGTTGTAGTTTATTTAAAATTATTTGTTGAATTAATAATAAAAAAAAAGTCAAACCATAGCATATAAATTTTCATATCCAACGACTTTTGTTGGTTTTTTTGTAAATTTCTGATTAAATGCATCAGATATATTATGAGCTGGATCAGTACTCAGTATTAAAACTGTTTCTCGAACTTTCGATAAAAGGGATGCTAAACTGCAACTAAAAAATTTAAGGAAAAAGAAAAATGATGTCGTTTAACTTAACAAAAACAAACATGAAAAATTCATCAAATATACCTGCATGTTGTTTTGCCAACGCCACCTTTTCCACCAACAAATATCCATTTAAGAGTTTTTTGTTCAACTATATTCCGAAGACTTGCTTCAGCAACATTAGGCACTACTGCTACGGTTGACGACATTGAATAACTAACCGAATAATATTTAAAAATGATTGTATTGGAGAGTTGTATATCACGTTTCAAAGTTCGACAACAGAATCTCTACCATATTGCAATGACCTCTATCGAATGTTTTCCACGCGCGTCTACGGAGAAATCAAAAGAAACTATCACCGTCACAAAAAATCGACTCGTCATCTAGTGATGCTTCTCGACAAAGCTGTTACAAAAAATATCTATTTTTCTTCTTCTCTCTCTCTCTCTCTCTCTCTCTCTATACTGAAAATGTTCGAGTGAATGGTACTCTTTATGATTTTTGTTATCGACGAGCTAAGAAGAATAGAAATGATTAAAATGATTTGTGGCAAGATTTATGCTCGCAGTGTATTCCGTTAGCTAGTATGCTCAGTAGGAGCCGTCTTCGATTATCTCTTGGACAACATCAGTTGAAACTTGAGAATTCTGATTCGATCTGTCTGATCTAAAGCCTCTAGACCTCATCATGGATATACTTGAATGACACGATTTTTTTTTCGACTTTGAAATTATTTCTGTTCATACAAAATTGGCCTTGTAGGTCAATTAGAAAATAACGCGTAAGTGATCTACAAAAAATTATACAAATAAGACGTTTTTCAAAACTTAAAACTCGGAAATTTTGCTGATAATCTTGAATATCATTATATATTATATCAGAATACTTGACCTCAATGTATAGCTGACATGAATCAGTAACTCCTAATTCTTTCATTTCATTCACATTAATCTATATTCCCGACTAATCACTGAATTACTCATGTATAGAACTCCTTCGAAAGTTCTGTGTGATACAATTCAGTGACTGAATTTATTATAGTGTATTAAATATATTTCGACACCTTCTTGAGAATTTGACGGCTTATGGAGTATAAAATTACTCTTGGGCAAATGCGGGAAAATTAGGAGAGAAATTGATGTCTATTGAAAAATCACAACTCGTGAAGATTTCAAATACTATTTATTATGGATTAAAAATCTTCACTCGTTATAAAATGGCTCAAATTTAAGTAGATGCTTATTTTATAATACGTATCGAAAAACCATGTTACTTTTTAGACGTAGATATTGATCGATTCATCTAATCCTATTTTCTATTATTCGAATAGCATGGGAGATAAAGTACCTTTTTCCATTCAGAAATGCAGCCAAAGAACCAACTAGAAATCACTTATTTAGTTGAAAACTTCAATATATTGTAAGGATCATGACATCTACATATCTGCAAAAGGTTAGATGACGATTTGCGCTGTTTTATTCTACAGAAATACGTCACTATAACCTAGAATGTGGTACAATGGTCTCAGGTACTCACGAAAAGCCTATGGGGATGAGCCCTCTTAGAATTTCGCTCCTCTTACGGACCTTTGATCCATACTTTATACAGTTGCCTGTGATCTCTCATTAGCATGCTATTAATAAGCTTTTTCTGATCTATCTATAAAATGAATCAATAAGATTAGATTCAACTATAAATAAAAAAGAAACATTTTGCTGCTTAATCCGTAGAAATAATAATTCTAGAAATTAGTTCTAATCAAAAGGATATAGCTGAAAAATCGATTATATTTGAATTGCTTAGATTGTAGACAAGGCAGAGTAAATATGTGTTTCTTGTCAATACATATAAATAATTTCGTCACTGGTCAAGGATATCTCCAAGTGTCATTTCCTTGTTCCATATATTAAAAGACTGTTCTAACAGTTAGAAGTAAACGAACATGTATTAAATTTATACATTGCATACAATCATAAATCTAGTTTACTCTCCTTGTCATGAATCAGCCAGATCGTATTCGATGAGCATTCTAGGTTAAGTTTCGCCCTACTCTATCGATTGGATGCCTAGATATTGTATTCTTTTCAAATGAAATGTGCGAGCACAACTCTGAAGAGTGAAAAATATCTTTTTGAAAGTATTGAAATAGTAAATGAGAGAAAATCCTTAGATGCATGAAATTCGTCGATGAAATTATTAATCGATTAAGAAATAAAATTTATTTATAGAGAAGATCTCTACAAATGAGCGCTCTTATTAGTCACGAAGAAAAATATTCAGAAGATATAGCATTTTGTTTTGAATACAATATCAAATAATTCAAAACCAATTTACAGAGGAAAAGTAGATGATTAGGAAAGTCTGTTGAATCAGAATAATTTTTTATTTGAAATTACTATTATTAAAAGTATGATTTGAAAAGTAGTCGACAAAGATGTCGCTTTTACTAAATGAATTCATTTTACGAAATAGAATTTCTATAAAAATATATAAAAGTTTAAAAAAAAATTGTTTATTCTTCTATAAAAAAAAAAGCTAGTGAAAAACATCTAAATAAAATTGAAAGTTGAAGAGGCTTGTTATAAGTTCAAATGGTAATTGTTTATTGTTATTCTAGTGTTGATATAAGGTGATTATCTATTGTTTGATTCGTTTTTTTTAAATCTTTATCTTATTGATAATATTAAAAGAAGATAGAAAAAAGAAGAGATGTCGACTAATAATGAAAATGAAATAAACAATGATGAAATTTCAACAAAAGAAAATGAAGATTCATTATTTAATCTGGAAGATGATGATAATAAGCAAGAATTAAATGAAGATAATCAGTTAAAATGTTTTTTATGTAAACAATTATTTAATCAGCCAAAATTTTTATCATGTACTCATACATATTGTCTTCAATGTTGCGAAAAATTAATTAAAAATAATTCAAACAAAGATCAATTTGAAATTCAATGTCCAATATGTCAACAAATAACTGAAGTTAGATTATTTGATTTAATTAAATTATTCTTATGTTTCTTGTTTTCTTTTTCTTTTACTTATTTAGATATCAAATATAAATATGCTTGTTGATAATTATTTGTTAATACATGAAATAGAAAATTTAGCTTTAAAAACTGGTTCAATTCAATGTCGTGCATGTACATCAAATGATGTTGGCGTTGCACACTGTTCAACTTGTTCATCTTATTTGTGTTCAAAGTGTTGTCAAGCTCATCAATACATGAAATGTTTTGAACAACATCATGTTCGACGTTTATCACAAATTGAAAATGACGAAGAATATTTAAATCGAACATGTCAAATTCATTCAAATAATCAAATAAATTTTTATTGTAAAACATGTTCATTAAATCTATGTGAACAATGTTTATTATTACATCCAACATCACAACATGATATACAAAAGAATCCATTTGAACAAATACGTTCTGATTTAAATGATAAAATAAATCAAATTGATCAAATACGTTCAACTGCTTTGGCTAATTTAGATCATCAATTAACATCTCTTCAACATGATTATGATAAAGCTAAAACACAAGTTGATTTGGCACATACACAATATCAACAAGTTTTAAATGAAGTTTATGTAAAATTTTCATTTTTATCTTTTTTTGGAAATCTTTAAATTTTTGTTTTGTTTTTTAATAGAAAGAATGTTTATCATCATTAAGTATTTTGCAACGTGATGAAGAGATGCGTTTAATTGATAAATTAGAAACAATTCAAAAAGGTTCTCAATCATTTGACGATAGTCGATCAGTTTTTCAACGTTGCTTAGATAAGTGTTCATTAAATGAATTAGTGCAATTGAAAACAAAATTATTTGATGATAAATTAAATTCATTTCATCAATTATTTCAAATTGAATCAAATTATTTTAAAATCAATGATGAACAACAGCAAAAACATGATTTAGTTCAATTTTTAAGTACGCCTATCCAAGAATTTCAACAAATTATTAAACTCAATTTTGGACAATTAATTAAACCAGAATCAAAACAAATATCATCACCAATTAATAATCATTACCAGGTAAATTAGTTACGTATAGAAAATCTTTTTTTTTTGTTTCTTCTATTTTATTGATGTTTTACATAGTTAATTTATATAAGAAAGAAAATTTCTAAAAAAGTCAAATCCTGTTTTCATCATTTGAATATTTCAAATTTGATTTAATTTTCTCAATATTAATGATTTAAGATTGAGTTTTTATTGCGTGAAAATCTATGTATTGAGTATAAATCTAAAATGACGTTTTTTTTTCCCGCTATAGTTGAAGCTCATGGGTGAATAAGTACGAGTAAATAATTAATTGTGTTCTAGAGAGGATCATTATTATCATCAACAAATGGTGATTCAGTATCATCATCATCAGGTGTTGGTAGTATTGGTCTTGGCCAAATATCATCTCGTGGAACAATATTATCAAATGGTGTATCACCTTCTGGTACGAATCGTGATGATTATTTTGTTAATTGTTCAACAAATGAAAATGAACCAGTTGTTGAAAATCTTCGTGCACTTGAATCAATATTTGTTGATTCATTATCAACAATTCATCCAAATGTACAAAGAAATTTAGAGGAAATGCTTCAATTGAATCATCAACAACCGCCACTACTACAAGAAAATCGTTCGTTTCATTCTGTTTTTTGTTTTCATTTTAATAAATAAAATAATTTCTTTTCTATACATCTAGCGTATACAATGCTAACACGACAATCATCAGCACCACCATTGGGACAACGATCACCATCAAACAGTAAGCTGAATAGATAATTGTAAATAAAAATTAATTAAAACTCTGAAAAGGTATAATTCAATATCCTCCACCATCATTAGTTGCAACATATTCAAGTACAAATAGTGGCGGATCAAGTAACGGAAATAATAGTCGTTCAACAACTCCATTTTCAGGCGTAACACAAAACTCGACAATTGATGTTAATTTAAATGTTCTTTCTCAAACATCATTAATGCGTCGTTGTGGACAATCAATGCAAGTTCGAGCCAAATTCGGTTCATTAGGACCACAAAAATGTCAATTTAATGCTCCACATGGTTTTTGTCTTGGAATCGATGAAGAAATAATTGTTGCTGATACAAATAATCATCGCATACAGATATTTGATAAAAATGGTGAATATAAATATCAATTTGGTATGCCTGGAAAAGAAGAAGGGCAATTATGGTATCCAAGAAAAGTGGCTGTTATTAGACAAACGGGAAAATTTGTTATTTGCGATAGAGGAAATGAAAGAAGTCGAATGCAAATATTTACAAGAAATGGACATTTTATAAGAAAAATTTCAATTCGTTATATTGATATTGTTGCTGGCTTAGCTATTACACAACAAGGTTTTTATTTAATCATTGAAATAATAATAATAATAATAATAGTTTTATTTCAGGAAATATTGTTGCTGTTGATTCAGTATCACCAACTGTTTTTTGTATAAGTGAATCAGGTGATCTTCTTAAATGGTTTGATTGTTCAGATTATATGAGAGAACCATCTGACATTGCAATCTTTAATAATGAATATTTTGTTTGCGATTTTAAAGTAAGTTTTTACTTTTAATTAAAAACAAACAGAAAATATCTAAACAATATTTATATGGAATAATTTTTCAATGTGTAGAACATAATATTTTACTATGGATTTCAATTCTTGATATGAGTTCTCGATAAATCTATCAGATATATTTTTGATTGTTTTCTATAAAAAAAGAATTTTTTAAGGGTCATTGTGTTGTTGTATTTGATGAAGATGGAACATTTTTACGTCGTATTGGTTCTGAGAGTGTAACTAATTTTCCAAATGGAATCGATATCAGTGATGCCGGTAAGGTTTTATTTTTCAAAACGATTTTTCTGTTAAAAATATAATTTTAATTGCAAAATAGGTGATGTAATCATTGGTGATTCACATGGAAACCGTTTTCATATAGCTGTATTTACACGTACAGGTGATTTTTTACAAGAATTTGATTGTCCATATGTGAAAGTATCACGTTGTTGTGGATTAAAAATAACATCGGATGGTTTTATTGTAACGTTGGCAAAAAATAATCATCACGTACTTGTATTGAATACACTTTATTTAACATAAGTTGTCTTTTTATTTCTTGTTAAAAGTGAACAGTCGTGTGAGAAATGAACTTGAGAGGCTGGTCGCTGTGATATTCATAAAAAATCTAACTAATCTATCTATGCGTTTGTTTTTGATGTTTTTTTTTCGGTTTTTTCTTCTTTGAGAATCAGGTAGTCAAAGATCATAATTGATTGGAAGAAAAAAAAATAGTGCGACCACTCTTTTTTTTGTTTTTGTTTTTTTATTTTGTAGGTATGTTCTTTCTGTTTGCGTGTTAATCCCGGTTAAGGAATCTCGCTCAATCCTTACCCATTTATTCTATATTTTCTATTTTTTTTTGGTTTTTTTTCTAAACGCATTTTTTGTTTCGCATCATGATTGCCAGATATTAAATTGATTTCTCTTATATATTGAAGACCATATGTGCTAGCCTCTTCCAACACCTTTTTTTGGTTTTTCTTTCGTTTCGAGTTTTGTGATATGAGAGTGGTCAGCTCGTTTTTTTTCGATATTCTCTTTATCTTATTCCCTGCTCTGTTTTTCTTTTGTGCTCGTTTTTTTTTCTTATGCTCTTGCTCTTGCTTGCGCGATTCATTTAAATACATATAAAAAACTTCACTAAAGGTGACAATGAAATTCAATTTATGGTCTAAATTCAAGCAAACTATAATCAAATTTTTGTTTATTAGAAATATTTCACATAAATAACGCTATCGAGACTAATGAATTATTTATAAAATAAAAAACTTTTACTGTTACATAATTGATATTTCACTAAATTTTGAATGAAAATAATTATATTTCAAATACATTTTCAAAAAGCCAATACAGATATGATTTGAGTATCACTAATTTTATTGATCAGAATTTCTCTATTAGATCCAACAATGTTGGCTTTGAAATCGGTAACCAATAGAGATTTTAAAAAGAATCTTGTTCGATTGATCAATGAAACTCAGATTGTAAATGAAAAAGAAAATAAAAGATAATTATTCTTGAGTAAATCCATTTAATTTAAACATAATTCAGCATGGTTTAATGAAATTTGATGAAAAGAAATTAAAATAAAAATCACTTAAATTTGTTCAAAAGTATCATTGGCATTGAATTTCTTAAAATTGATATTCATCAAAATCTATATGTAAATTATGTTAAAAAAATTATGATGAAATATTGAATCACATATACGTATGTTCACGGGATCATTTCAAGAGATAAAATTTCATAATTCATTTTTTGTTTTTCACACAAGATATTTGAACAAAAACGAATCCAATCATCCTTTCGATTTGAATATTGTTCATAAATGAAAAAATTATTTTATTTATTTATTTTCTTTCGAATTGGACAATCCGTCATGCAGACTGCATGAACTTTCGTTGATAGACTTTAACAGCAATCGAACATTCTTTCGGATATTAAATAAATATTGTTTTCGGAAAATTCTTGGTAATAGAATGGGTCTAGTTAATGAATATGGGAAAAACATTCAACTGACGTGAGACAGCCCTTCTCAACTTCATCTGATGAAATGCAAATATAAACAATACGCCGTTTACGAACATGAAGAAGCTAATAAGAAAAATTCAAAGAGTTCTGTATCCTGAAGGTTTTCAAATATATAAAAACTTGAAATGTATCTATGGAAAATATAATAGATTAATGTCCTAAATAGATAAACACAAAAATTTGTTAGAAATTTTTCGGGTTATTGAAAAAATCGAAATCGATTGTAATATTATATTTCAATATTTTGATTACTCCAGGCTTTCCACATCTCCTGATTTTCTAAGTTTTCTCCTGGCAAAAAACCTCCTGAACTCAGGAACCGATGTTGAAGAATTTTTCCTTATTGTTACTTGTTTTTTGCAGATTCGATTTCCATGACACATTGAACAAATTAAAAAAGTATAACACCGAAGGAGAATCGTTGCTATATTAAATATATACAACGAACTAAAATCGAAAATAATTGTTCATTAAAATAGCTTTCATATTAATCAAAGCAAAATCGTCTTGAATTTGCGCTGTAACTTTATCTAATGTTAAGTTTTTAATCGAAAACAGCCGTAGAAGTATTGGTAGATTCAGAGTATCTGCAATGCATATGAGAATATGTACTCACAAGAATGATTTTTTCCTTTACCATGGTGAAAATTTTTGAATAAAACTTGACAAATATCAAATTTTCATATACCGTAAAGAGATCACAGATAAACTTAAAGATTTCTCGATCTCCCATCAAGAACACAGGAAAAATAAAGATAATATAACGATAGCTATGGGTATGATGTGAAAGATTATTTACCATCAACTCGCACTGATAAAAGTATCGTCAGAGAGATTATATGTATCTATAGGGGAACTACTTAACATATTTTCTAATAATCGATACAACTGACTTAAATAACTTATCTGCTGTTCATGAACGCATGATGCTTCGTGGTGTCAAATGTTCTCACAGTTATTTACCCTATGTAGGTGCAAAACAGAACCTTCTGATTTCTAAAAATTGGATCTGACATCCTCGATCCAGCTGTAAATCTACATTTCCTAAAAATAAAATGGTTTTGAACCCACCATTGATCTCAAATCAATGAATAAATTATTTGCATATGATGCTTTACTAACATTGAAGGACTTCAATCATTGACGAGTATGACTGATTCTAATGTTGTTCACCATTTAATATCGATGCTTTCGAGTCAATCTGTATATTTATTCGATGTGAAGTGGCTTATGAGCACAGAAGAGCTAATATCGAAAAGCAACAAAATCCTATCTGATAGATTTCCAAAAGGTTAAAAGATCAATGCAGATTGAATTAGAAATATTTTTAAATTATAACATGTACACTATTAGAGTTGTCGCAATTCCAAGAATGGATAACTCTCTAGGTGTTTATTCTTATCTAGATCAAAATGTTGTTCATGAATATAAACGCAGATAGCTCCTTTTTTAGAATAAAAATGTCTTTTTTCCAAAAAGTCAATTATTGTGTTTGAATAATATCATAATGAATGAAGATTATTTCGAATCAGCGATGAATTTCTTCTTTGTCATCATCTGTCACTCCTTGGCATCGAGTTCGATCGTTTACTATTGTTGGTTCAATTCAATTCAACTCATATTCATCTTCTCTCTTTGCAAATGACTAATTTACGTACTTTAGAACTACGTTACAGATATAGACGTTGGAATCGTTAGGTTGAGTAGGCTCGGTAAAATACAAAAATTGTTTGTTGTTGTTGTTCATTTTTTATATTCTTCTAACAGAGATTTCCTATTACAATATCAGCCCGCATTTTCAATAATACTAAAGTTGTGTGATCGAAAATATTTGTTGCATTTTCTTTTGATCTACATTGACGTTGAAATCTTCATTCTTGATATATAACCCAACTTTATTTTTGAAAACTTCTATTGAAAGCAATTTTTTATTTAAGAATACTTTGATTAGATTTCTTTGTAGTATCTCAATATTAGTTAGGCACAATTCGAATAGTTTTTTCCTTCGAGTATAAGAAAATAATTACAAGAATAGTACTAGTTCAAGCCTATGGTCTGTTGAAATCTTATCGAAGAGTTCGAATCATGTCAATGGATAAATAAAGAAGTGTGCATAGAGATGTAATAATTTGAACTTGCAAATCTCACAGATGTTCGTACTCTTGAACCGACTCAGTTAAACAAATTGTTTTCACAATTTCAACTTGAAACAAGTTATATTGAAATGCTTGACGAGAGACACGCGTTCTATATTACTAGCGTCTACTTCTTCTCAACAGAAAAATAGACGCCTGATTGTGTTTATTAGTACCGAATAGAAGAAAAAAAGAAAAAATCGTCCTCAACAACCGTTTACTACCATAAACGCGCGAGCTGTTTCAGTATTATTTTTCTCGTCCAAATAGTGTTTTTCTCTCTGCTCGTTCTGTCTTTATGCGTGCATTTCTTTTTCTCGCCCAGTCCTGTTCGTCTTCCGCTTGCATTTATTATGTGTGTAGGTCTCCGACTTTTTTTCTCTCTGTGCAGTAGCGCTCGTCAACATGAGATCATTTTCTTTCATATAAGCCTTGAAACAAGTTGGGTTTGGTTTGAAGTTCTACTTGCGAAGAATTTTCTAGATAGATCATATAGAAAAATGATTCTATCACATCGAAGTTCACATTGTTAATTGATCATATCGATTGTATTCTTTTATCAATGATACTTTTTTTCTGGTAATAGAACTGTGCCAAGAAGATAGTTCCATTGGATTAGTAACTCAACTTGTTTTTCAGTTTTCTATGCTACTGTGGCAAAATAGAAAGATTCTTATTATTAATACTAGTGTAACATTCGAATTTAAATAGAATTATTCGATTAACATTGAAATATTTATAATGATTTTTCTTTCATATATTCTATTCTAAATAACTCTTCTCAATGTTTAGATATTCTAATCTGCACGTATTACAAGTAACTTTGTCACTATGGGTGTATTCGATATCGTTCCAGCAGGTAAAACCAGATTAGATTTCTATTACAAACAAAATGATACAATAATTGAGTTTAGGTGTGTTGACCGGTGACAATGTTATGAAATTATTTTCATACGCAAAAGAACATCACTTTGCTATCCCAGCCATTAATGTGACGTCTTCATCAGCTATTAACTCAGTACTTGAAGCCGCTCGTGATTCAAAATCACCTGTTATCATACAGATTTCACAAGGTGGAGCTCAATTCTTCGGTGGCAAAGGTCTGAACAATGATGGTCAAGCAGCAAGTATTTTAGGAGCTGTTGCTGGAGCGCATCATGTACGCACTGTGGCAAAAAGTTATGGAGTGCCTGTTGTTCTTCATAGCGATCATTGTGCCAAGAAATTAGAACCATGGTTAGTTGATGTCATAGAAATTTCGTTTTTGTGTTATCACTTTAAACTCATGATATCTGACTTGTAGTTTAAAATATTTAGCAGTTATATTTATCCAATCGATTCTGATTGCTAACTAAAGAGTAGACGAAAATGTTTAAAATATGAACGATTTTTAACTTCTCTAACAGAACTTGAACGAAAGTATTTGTACTCGTACTTTTCCCAGTAAAAGTAAAATTAGAAGTACATTTTCTTAACGCACAAATAAAAGCCTTTTACTTGCAGTACGTGTACTTTTCGTACTTTTTCAAGTAGAAGTTAAAGTACAAGTACATTTTCTTAGCATACAAGTAAAATACTTTTACTTTCATTACTTTCACTTGTCCTAATTGCGTTATTTATTTTTTTTTATTTCACGAAGTTTGAAATTATCATTCAAGTTGAGAAATCTATGAGAAATCACTTTAATGGTTCCGATTGTTGTAGAAAATGTTTGTGCACATGTACACTAAATGTCTCAATTTTCTAGGCATCATTTAAATTAACTAAATAATTAGTTGACTAATAATAGTTACTAAAATTATTTTATTTCTTTAATTTTTCTTTTCTACTCTATTTGAAGCATTAGATACAATCTTATCATTATTTTCTACATTTTAATTAACACACAGAATGGTTTAAGTGATTAATTAATGAATTTTAATTTTTTCTTATCGTTTGATTATTTATTGAACAATTCAGTTGAGTATGACGCATTATAGAAAACAATAGAAATACATAAAATAAACGTACGATGTATCATTATGAAACTGATTTAGTTAATCTATCATTCTGAAATAGAAATACATCATGTTTTATCATAGTATAACTCAATCCGATGACATATGAGCTATTAAAGTAACCACACAATTTTTTTTACCTTCAACTCCATAACTTACTATTTGATTAAACCAGAATGATGAGTTGAAGATTTAGCTCACTGATTCAAATATCCCATAGAAGTATGAAAATAAAAGTATCATTATTTCCAAATTTTCTTACGTATGATACAGTAGTATATGTTGTCACTATATCATAATTAACAAAATATTTTAGTAACTTGTCTAAAGATGTGTGTCACAGATGATATCGGCTGAATATTATTACTTAATTAATGTTTGTTTATATTCTTCATGTATGTCTACCAAGAAAAGTTTGAAGTAGTATTTGCAAAGTGACGATACAAGATAATGAACCTTGTTTTCTTAGTAAAATATTTCAGGATTTATTAAATAGCGTATGTTATGAATATTCAAAACTGAACGCTTCATAGCTTTGAGTTGCACAATATAAAATAATAATAGTGATAAAATCAAAATCTTTCTTTTAAGTATTGCCCTTTAGTTTTGATAAACGTATATATTCAACAACAAAATATTGAAGACATAAAATCATATGTATTTATATTGTTTAGGTTTGTTGGAATGCTCGAAGCTGATGAAGCCTATTTTAAACAACATGGTGAACCACTTTTTAGTTCTCATATGCTTGATTTCTCAGAAGAAAGTAAAGAACATAATATAGCTGCATGCAAGAAATATCTTACACGTATGGCTCCAATGAAATTATGGTTAGAAATGGAAATAGGCATTACTGGAGGCGAAGAAGATGGTGTGGATAATACAGGAGTTGATAATGCATCACTTTATACACAACCCGAAGATATATGGGATATCTATCGAGAACTCTCAGCTGTTGCTCCTCACTTTTCAATCGCTGCTGCTTTTGGTAATGTACATGGTGTCTATAAACCCGGCAATGTTCGACTTCATCCAGAATTACTTGCTAAACATCAAGCTTATGTTAAAGAAAAATTAAATACAGTTGACAATCATCCAGTATTTCTTGTTTTTCATGGTGGTTCGGGTTCAACCAAAGATGAAATAAAAACAGCTGTGCAGAATGGTGTAGTTAAAATGAATATCGATACCGATACACAATATGCTTATTGGGAAGGTGTGCTCAAATACTACAAGAAAAACGAAAGTCGACTTCAAGGTGTACTCGATGCTGAAGAGAAACCAAACAAGAAATATTATGATCCTCGTGTTTGGCTTCGTGAATCGGAATTATCAATGAAGAAACGTGTCCAGGAAGCATTTAATGACTTGGGCGGCGCAAATTCATTATGAACACAATAGATAGGCTGACATAATTCTCCTGCGATCCTATGTAGTTTCTCGTTTTTTAGTTTGAATAACGATCGATATGCATATTGATTTATGATCTGAAAATGTGTGTCATAGAAAATAATATTCCTTAGTTTGTATATCCTTTTATTGCCTTGTCTACTGTTATCTCTACAATTAAATAGATAGGATTAAAACAATTGCACTCAGAATAACAAAAATTATTTTTACTTTAGATGCTTGATCGAATAAATTGAAAATATTTGATTTATTCAAATACTCATGAAATTCTTATCTTTATTCAAACAGAAAGCACTGTTTGATAGTTTTCTCACATATGTTTTTAGAAGAAGATAGCTTTTCTATTGTAATACTGTTCACTGAAGAAAGTACATGGATTCAAAAAACAAAAGACCATGACCCTTAACAAAAAAAAGCACTATAGAAGCCGCTGAAGACATTACTCATTCAAATAAGGAGTTGCTGGAAATCTTCAAAAATTGAAAATTGTTGCCCGCCGCCGTTCAACCCTTCGGCTGACAACTCTAATCATAAGAGGTTCCGTTCAATTTAATCAAATCATATTCGACATTGAGTTGTGTCTCTTTCCCCAACCATTAAAAAGATAGTTTGAATTATAAAAGAAATACATGTTTCCACCAAAATTAAAACTATCTGGGCGTGAATGTTTTATATTGATATGCATAATAAATCTTTCTCGTTTTGATGCAGTTACACAGCTACTTCAAATCCCATAGATAAAGTATATCATTATGCTCATTGTTTTCCCCTGTTATCCTCTTCTCTCAACGGTAATGATCCTAATAATTTTTCTATGTATGGTATATTGTGAGCAAGTTTTCTTTCAGTTTTTGCTAAAAATTTTCGTACATTGTGTAGCATGCTAGCGATGTTTCAGTGATCAGCTGCCTGCGAGTGAGTTTTCAAAACATTAGTGATATATAAGATACAAGAAAGATAACGAAAAATAACAGTAATAATGACTATCACATAAGATCATTGTTTGAAATGCTAATCAATTGGCGTTAGTCAAGAAGTTACCTTCATTTTTATCAGGCCTATAATCATACGATGTCATATCTTAATATAATTCATGCACTCCTACGTTGAGTGAATAAGGCTCCCTACTGACAGAAAATTACAAAGAAATCATTACTTTATCAATTCGAAACCCTGACATGTTTCTCTTCACTTTCAAACTAACAAAAACGTAGATAAATACAGTGCATACTGAAAATAATCTCTCAAGTTTCAACATTTGACGTAATGACACCCTTTTTCTTTGTCTCTCAAATATTCTATCAAGAGAGAATAGAAAATAGAGCATTTCGCACTCGCATCGTATTTTCAAAACACTACTTGACGCTGAAAACTATACCGATATAGCCAAACTCAACATAGATACGTCTGAGTTAAGTGTATGCCATTGAGTGTGCTCTACCGCGATATTCACATCATTTAGATAAAGATCCTCGAACCAAAGATTATCAAATAGCTAATTTACAAGAGATTCGAATGTGTATATTGATGCTCTCTAATTCAATAATATTTATTTTAGGTGAACGTTTTTGACCATATTTTTTTCCTCGATGACAAACACTTTTTATATTTTTTTACTTCTCACCTTGCTATATCTGCTCTTCTATCTTTTTGCAACTATCAATCGAAATATCTTGAAAAATTACACTGATAGATCGAATCTTACGTTGCAATAGGACGGACTTCACAAACTGTCATAGACACAAAATTCAGTATGTTAGAGAAACTGTTAATCTCTGCTGGGGGATCGCTAGTTCCTTTGCAAATGTTACAGTTTATGATTGTAAAAGTTTAGCTTCGTATACAACGCAGAATTATGAGCTAGAAAAGCTATCTTTTGCTGAGTTTAAGTGAATAATTATGCTAGAGGAATCAAATAATCAGGAATGCGGCAGAAATAGTGATTAGAGCTATTTCATGAATAAAAGCCTTTTGAGAGCTCTCAGGATGATATTCATCATCTACACTCCTAAATCTTGAAACTCTTACGATTTTGGCTCGTCAACAAAAAAAAATAATATTCATGAACCATGATACTTGAGGGAAACCACAGGCACAAAAAGTTTGAATATTGTTGTTCGAGGAATAGACTAGATAAAAATGGCCAGAAGCGATCGCGTATTCTATGCCAAAGAAACGCTCACGCTCATGAGCGCTCATAGGAGCGTGAGTTGGATACCACCGAGATTCTTAAAGAAGCCTACCGGATTTTGACTGGTTCGTACACAAATCGATTGGATTCCAACACTAGGGATCCGTGAGTGGGTCCACAACCCGGAGTTACCTAGAATACTGTAGAAATTGATCGAAATCTAATGGAATCCGATTGGATCCAGTTATCGGACTGTTTGTCCTGGGTAGTCTGTGGCATGATGTAGGTTGACGAAAACATAGTCAGCATAATTACAACACAAATCTATCGGCTGATAATTTGCATTATTAATCGTTGGTGTGCCACGTCTAATCTGAAAAGAGACATTTAAATATAAACTTTTTACGGTACGTGAACAGTATGTTTCTATTGTCGTGCTCTCATTCTTACCCAGGTCGAACACTCCGACCTCGAAACGACCGGTTCCGGATAGTTCCGTTGATTTTGTGGAAGCAGTATTCCGGTTGGAAATTTTTCGGATTTTTCCACTGATTTCCGATCAATTCCAGTAGGACAGCACTGAGACTTGGCAGGAATCCGCCGGAAAAGTCAGGCCGTATTTTTGACCGGAATACTGCTTCCATCTTCCAGCGATTTTCCGTGTTTTTCTACAGGATATGGTGACTCTCCCGCATATATCCTGGACTATCCTACGAGATCCGATGGCCGGAATGTTCGACCTGGGTATTTAGAGGTCGCGGTCACCGAAAAGAAAATTGTTTCTATCGATAGAAATTAGATAAACATGTCAGTAAATATTTATACACATTATAAAACGGAAATATATCCGATTAGCAAGAATAACACGTAACAGACTATACCGGGTGTGACAAAAGTTTTGGAACATTCTTTATTTTGCACGCATCTGTTTTTAGGAACATAACAAGGCATTGGTCTTTCTCTCAAAAGATGCGCCATCGAATTCTCTACAAACTTCTATTTGTCTTAGTTTAGAGCGATAGAATTGAACTTTTTTTTATAGATCGCATAGTACGATTATGTGAAACGATTGTTTGTCCGGCACATTTTTTTCTATTTTTCCAAATTTTTTTCCACATTAAAAACGGACACCTAAGAAACTCTCTCATTGGAATTGTAGTATATATGGAGTGTTGTTTCAGAATTATTTGTAATTATTTGATCATATCTATATTTTTCTCAGAACCATATATGATCTATTTGAGCTGCTACACGAAAACGGCGTTCTTGACACTATTCATTCAGTGGAATTGCTTTTTATGCGTCATTGGACTGCGCATAGAAAGAAAAATTGATTTTCTACAAACTACTGCAAAAATGAAAACGATTTGACGATAAGTGATATCTCTAGAATGATTACTTTGAAACAGAGAAATCCGACATGAAAATCCCGCTATTTTCAAACCTATCCGCACATAGATAGATAGGCATGCACCGAACCCGAACTACCCGGTTTCGGTCATACTCGGATTGGATAACGGGATTCCTGTGTCTACTTATTCGTATCCTTCGAAGAATGGAAATGAACAATAAATAGTACCTATCGATAGATAATAAAAAGATGATTTCATCTCAAAAGTTTATCGTCTCTTCCTCAATTTATCATAGATAATCTTTTTTATCAGGAAAGCGCACAATTAAATAAGATTTTCTTAATATTTCTCTTGGACTCAACTACAGAAAATCGTTGAATGGTCTTCTTATTGAATGATCCTTCTGATAGTAAAAGGAGGGATGTGAGAATTCGAATACTACCAATACCAATACAATTTAGCAATAGTGGTAATGATATTTGCATTTTGAGTATTGAGATTGTTAGTAGGCTGATGGAGAAAAATCATGCATCTGTAACTCTGGAAATTTTAATAAGGAGAACCATTCAACGATTTCTTGTAGTTCAGTCCAAGAGAAATATTATGAGAAACTCATTTAACTGTATCCGTTCCCGATAAATGAGATTAACTATGATAGGCTGAGCAAGACAAAGAATCTTTGGCATGAGCTCATCGTTTACCACCTATCATATATCGATAGGTGCTATTTATTATACATTTCTATACTTCGAAGGATACATATAAATAGATCTGGGAATCCCAGTACCGAATATGGACATGATGAAACTCGGGTTTGACCGAATCCAAGTAGTACTGAACCGAACTACCCGGTTTGCATCCGGGTTCGGTGCATGCCTAAAGTTGGCTGACAATAAAGCCAATATTGGAAACTAAATATTTATGAAATTTCGCTAGAAGTATTAAGCAATCTATACAAAAGTTCTCAACGAATATATACATATTTTAGCTTTCACTATTTGAAGATTCATGGATCTGAAAGGTACATAATTATAGTACTAATTCATTTGGATAGATTTCTTTTGTGAGCTATATTTGAGATGATGTATTTTCATCAAGGTCTGAATCTACATATTGTAGCAACAACTTAAGCTACTAGGTAAAATTCTGATAAAAACATTGTATTACTGGAAAATTTCACATAAACAACTATCAGTATTTATTAATTCATTTCAATTTTGCTTTAATCACTCTCACATAGCTTCTGCAAAATGGATAACATCTTCTAACAATAAGATCGAATCGATTTCGAATTACTACTATGAATTCATCAAAGAAAATTTTATTTTTGAAAAATCTCACTTAATGAAAACTAATAGATTTGTCATTAAAACCCTAAATGATTATCACGAATTCAGAAAAAATAACAAATATTCGTGCTGAAAAAATCATCTGTAACAGAATAAATCCTATGATGTAAAATTATTTAATTGAAATAATATCGAATGTAAAACTATTCAACTTTGATCTATATACTAATTACCTCTAGATGTACGTTTTAGAAAAAAAAACAATTGCTAAAAATAAAAACTTGATCAATTCTGGTGAGTAAATTAAGATTTTGATATTTTAAAATACGATGTACAACTGATACCATCGTCGAATATCATCCAAGCACTGATTATACTACATGTGATAGACGTGATCTTTTTAATTATCAACTATTTTAAACAATACAATTGGTGCAAGTCAGATAATAGCAGTGTAAAAATAATATATGCTATTGGTAATACTTTGACATGAAAATAGTAACATTATCAAGTTATTTTCATGTGTTTTATATGTATTTCAAGAATGAAAATTTATTTTTCTCATCGATGTGAATAGTTTGTTTGACGATAGAAAACGATTTGATCATCGCTAGTAATGGAATATTCATGGGTGATCTTCGAAAAATTATTTTTATCAACATTTATTTCGATTTATAAAATCATGCCAAATGGGTTGTATTTTGGGATATAATGAACATGATGATGATGAAATATACAGACGAGATAATCGTCATCATCATCAACGAGCTCATAGTCGTATTATACCATATTATAGTTATTGTCTTAATTGTCATTGTCAACAATATATTCAGCATCAACGAGTCTTCAATCAATGTCTTTGTGGACATAGCACACGTGAACATAAAAAAATATTAAAAAATTTTGTTTTCATTTGAATTTATATGTTTTTGTAATGATCACTGATCATTTTTGGTTTTCTTTAGAATGCGAAAAACACAAAAAAAAATGAAAACTCACTTTTTTTTAAAAGAAAAACTGATAGCTAGAATCTTTTTCACAGGAATGTGATAATGCCACTACTATTTATTGTTAACAAAGTGTGTACAACACGAGCCTGTTCTGAAAAACAGTTCAATGTCAAGGCGAATTAGTTTTCGTTATAAAGTTATGTTCATTGTCTAAAGGATCTATATATGATCTCGCTTTGAAAGACCCTCCGATAGCGTTAAAAACGTATGTTAAATAGAGCAATCAGTCTGAAAATGAATGAAAGATATTATACAAGAATTTCTGAAATTATTCATTTCTGAGAGTTGCATTGATGGGATTTAATTAAAGACTTCTATTTTCTGACACGAAATGCATTTCGTAACAGCGCTTATCAACTAAACCTACGAGTGCATTGCATGGACATGTTCCATGATTGTTGCGATATTTTAAATAGTTGAAAAGTTTCATCATTGTTTTTATTTTTTATTCGTCAATAATAATGAGAACTATCACTCAAAACGTTACATAAAACTAGAATTTAAACTATAAAAATGAATTTCTGATTAATCGAGAACACTAGTTATGCCTGTTAATGATTTTTTATCGTACTGAAGTTTTCTCGAGTTAAGAAACCATTTTTTCATTTAGTTTAACTGTCAATATAATAGATATAAATGCTTTTCTGTTGAATAATAATTAGAAGGAAATTATCTCGATTTAGTTTTTATCTTGAATCATCTTATAAACATTAAGAAAAATAAGGATCAACATTAATTTATTTTGTTTTTATTGTGTTATTAAGATGAATTTATAGTTAAAATTTCAAATAAAATGGATGAATTGTTGATGACGTGCAGATGCCAAAAGATATCGAAAAACAAATCTTTTTTTTAACGATAGTCCTCACAGAATGAATTAAATATTTCAACAACTGAAGAATATTTTTTCAAGGGCGCTTGCGTAGGATTCCTTAATTACTTGCCTCTACATTAGATGTAAAAATCACTCAAATAGTGGTAATCGTCGATTGAGCAATTTCGGTAAAAGTCAAACATCCCTGATACGTAATGGTTCTGTTATCTATTAATTTACATATTAATAATTCAAATGATTATTTAATGTTCATATATAATTACAAAATCATTTCTTTTTACTTTTTCAACAGAAGAAAAGTTTTATACAGATACAAAACAGTTCTGAACAATCAGCAATTTAGAGTTTTTTGGTATGAGAGAAAGTGGTTTATTTGCTATTTTTCAATAATATCAATATTGACATAATTAAAAAATTTCCGAAGGAATTAAATTGAACTGAAACGAATCATTGACTAAGAAAACTAATTAATATTTTGAATTTCCTTCTTATCTTTTTTCAATAAAATCTAGTAATTGAAAAAAGCCTTTATCTCAACAACATACTCATCATTTTAAATAGAAAATCTAGGATAGAAACAAGCTAGTAATTATAAATATAATAGGGCTAAATTCTATGAAGACGAAGCAGAACTTTTATTTTATATACAAGAAGATATGTTTACTTATATAACTACATTTTTTTTTCTTTAAAAAACATTTAAAAATAAATAATAATATTAATTTTAAATTTATCCAACATAAATCACAATAAAATAAATGCTAAGAAGACCACCAAGAACACCAATCAATTGTCGAAATGAATGTCTAAAAAATAATTGTGATTGTGAAAAATCATTTAAGAATTTGATTTTAAAAATGAAAAGATCTTACTTTAAATCATTTTCTTTTAATAAATCAGGTACTGTTTTAACTAAAGCTACATAAAGAAAAGCGCCACTTGTGAAAGGTAAAACCCATAAAGTGCCTAAAAAATAAAAATACAAGAATATCAATCGAGAAGTTTAAAAAAAGACGAAATTTCGATAAAATACTATGAAGAAAATTTGAATAACAAAGTGCAATAGAAGCGCCAAGAATTCCTCCTAAGCCAGTCATAAATTGAGCTTTCGTTGCTTGACAACGATCAAAACCTGATTGTAAGAGAATAGCAAAATCTCCAATTTCATGAGGAATTTCATGAATTATAATTCCAACAAGCGTTGTCACACCTATTAAAGGGCTAACAGCAAAACTACCACCAATAGCTGCACCATGTGTTAAATTATCTATAAAATTTGCTAATAAATTTAAATATCCAGTCGCCTAAAATATTAACAAATGCACTATTTTATCTCAATTTTATGTTTAAACATACTTTGCTTTTTCGATGTGTAATTTTGCAAGATTTATAATTAAAATTTTGATTATAATGAACTTGAGAAAATATTTGCTCAATAATAAAAAATATAAAAAGGCCGACAAGTGTCCAAAGACCAATATATGTTGATGATGCGTGTGGATGTGAAAATGCTTCTGGTAATAAATGCAAAAAAACATCAGCTAATTGACTGCCAACAGCTACACTTAGTAGCAATTCCAAATACGGTTTATCTTCTATTTAATGTTAAATAAAATACTGTAATATAATCAAGGTTAGGTTTACTTTTGCTTTGTTCATTAGGAAAAATAAAAAGAGGTAAAACACCAACAAGACCAACAATCGTAGCGCCAGTTAACGCACTGACCCATGTTTGAACTGAATAATTGGCCAATAGTGTTCTCATTTTATTATATATCCAATACAAGACAAAATAACAACTGTTCTATATCTTCGTCTAACAATATCCATCATCTTTCTTATTCTTAACCGGGTACAGCATACAGAAATTTTCCCTTAGAGGCAAAGTAAGCGGAGAAAAAGAAATATTTCTACTGATTCTCGCAACCATACATGTATGACTCATTCGTATATACATTTAGCAATAGGAACAAACGAGAATCGATCCGTTTTTTTTCTGTATGTTCTTTTTTTCTCTTCATATCGTAGACATTAATATTGATCATCTCATTAAACAACTTTATATCGAGCGATTATTGAATAAAAAAAACAATATCTCTATTTGTTTTTCGAAAATTTATATATTTAGTTCACCTTTCCATCGAACATGGTTGAAAAACAGCTGACATCTCATGACACAACAGACACCACAACGGGAATGAATCATTTTTTCATTGGAAAGAAATCCACTTGTTTTCAAGTTTTGTAAATCTTCAAACAAAAAAAAAGAAAGAGAAATTCAAATGGTGATACTTTATTTTTATCTTCGATTGAAGCAACAAATTCCAAGAAGAGAAAATTTATGGCATTTTCTATGAAAAATAAGTTTCCTATTGTTTTGTTTTTCATAAAAATGAATTTCATTAAGAAATGAATTGAAAATCTGTAATTGAGGATTAAAAATATCCGCTGTATTATTTTCTTCAGATAAAAATGCTTGGTTGATTATATGAAGCCAATTTATTTTTAATAAGAAAAATATTTATTCAGAAATCAATGCAATTTCATAATTCTTTCAATTAATTTGGTTTTCAAAGATCATGGAATCGTAAATTCTCGTTGTTTTTTATTAAAAAAAAGAATTTAAATTCGTTGAACATCAATTGAAGAGTCATCGAATATTTAGTTGATAAATTTTAACAACAATTGAATTGAAGCGAATGTTATGAAATAAGATATTCCTATTCTGTTGAATGAAAATAAAATCATATTTCTGATTCTATTATTTAAATAACTATTCAATCATATTTTTATAGGAAGTGGCTATGTACACTCAGGTGCACATAGCCATGCAGTTATATGCACTCGAGTACACATAGCCAGTTGGCTATATACACTTAAGTGTACATAGTCGCATGGCTATGTACACCTCACCTAAGTGTGTATAGTCAACTGGCTATGCGTACTCAGAGGATAGAATCAATTTATTAAGAAATTTCAAGTTGCCGTTAGCCTTGCGTACTCATTATTATTAATATTAAGAAAAATACGAGTCAGGTGCTGCGCAACTAAATGAATATAGAAAAAAAAGTAAATCATCCCAATAAAGATTAATTAATGTAGAAACATTACTAGGTGTCGCCCTATGACTCTTGAAAAACAATGTATGCTGTTTTATTATTGTCAGAATATTTAACAAAAGTTACATTGTATCAACTTTCTCTTAATTACATCTTCCTTCCGTTGGTTAATCATGAAAGACAAGATTTTTTTTCGTAAATAATTGGATTACAAAATGAACTATCGAAATATATAGAAGTTGATTAGCGTTCGACGTCGAGATATGCAGTCTATTAAGATACGCTAATTAATGTTCGGTTCAAAATTTCGTTTAGCAATTTTTATTGACAATGAAAAATCAAATATACACATTCAAAAGTCTGATCTATAATGAGAAATAAACTATTGTAGAACTAAATAACTGTAACACTGTCATACTTGAATCCATGTGTTTCATTCATACAAGTATATGTTTATACTAGCATATTAGTTTTGATTCTTGTGTTAATACTCAACAGTCGATATTAGGAGTAGCACCTTAACTTCACTTTAGATGTTAAAGTTAAAGCAAGACACTTTACCAATTTAACTTTTACGAATCCAAGTTAAAGTGAAAAATAATTTTTTAGCTCTTCATGATTAATTCTCTATTGGTTTTAACTGTAACTTTACCTTTAAAATCAAAGTTGAAGTGCCACCCTTAGTCAATAATTAGATCGTTATTTCTCTTCAAAATAAATGCGGTAAAATAAAGATGTTTCCTCACAAAAAAAATCCAACAATATTGGCCATTTTTAAAGTATTTAAAACTTATTTTCATCATAATATCAACAATCATGCGGCGAGGGTAGAATGCGGGTGAGATTATTCTTAAGAACTTTCAATCACCATTGTTTTCTAAGCAAAAATTTTCACGTGACAATTCTATTAAATATGTTTGAAATATTAAAATATAATTATTGTCTTAGAAGCATAAGAAGGTAACCGATACTGTTTCAAAAATAGTTGTATTTTATTCATATTGAGTGATTTTCCTACATTCGTTTGGTTGCGCAGCAGCTGACTCTTGCTTTTCTTGATCTTAGGAAACCATGTATCAGGTAAAATTCATAAAAATTTAAACTACCGAATTTACGTTAATAATGATGAGTATGCAAGACTAAAAGTAACTTGAAATTTCTTAATAAATTCATTCTATCCTCTGAGTGCACATAGTCAGCCGGCTAAATGTACTTGAGTGCACATAGCCATGCGGCTATGTACACCTAAGTGTACATAACCACTTCCTATAAAATTATATTTATTTGCATCAATTGAAGTTCCATCAATATTAAGATCAATTTATATTTTATATAAATTTGTTAAGAATCGTCCATTTCGTTCTCATTTAAATAATCATGCAATAATTGGATTAACAGTAGTTTCATTCTTGAACACAACAACAGAATTACCAATAGCACTCGAATATCTTCGCACAGGTTATGTTCAACCAAATAGAAATAGTGTTTGTTTATTTTGAATTTGGTATGACTTTTCTCTTCAATCAACAAATTTATTTTTAACGACATAGACTTCTATTGAAAGACATCTATTAATATTTCATTCCAATTTAATGAATACAAAAAAAGGAAAAGTAAAATGGTATTATGTACCATTAATAATATCTGTAATATATAAATTCCAATATTTTATTTTTCGTGTACTATTTTATATACATGTGAAAATGTTTTTGATTATTCATCACTTCTTTGTGACCCTATTTGTTATAATAGTGTTACTTGATTATCAATATTTGATTGGACAATAAATATATTATTACCATCATTATTAATACCATTTGCAAGTATAACTTCATTATTATGTGTGCTGATTCAAGCAAAAAAATGAAACGAACATTAAATTGGCAGTCAACAAGAAAATTAACATTACAATTGATGAGTATTTCAATACTTTATTTTATATTTTGGTTTCCTTTAGCTTTAGTTTCACCTATAAGAATTAATTTTATTCCAACATTTATTGATGAAATAACCTATTATTATTTATATTATACACATTATCTTGTTCAACTTCTAATGCCACTTGTTTTTATTGCTTGTTTACCCGAAATATGACCAAGAAAACATCGTATTGCTAATGTATCATTAACTGTATCTAATCGAGCTTAAAACATTGTCAAGAATATTTATTATTCAATAAAACTATATTTTCGATTCCTTTGATTAAGATTTCATCTAGAATTATTTAGATTAATTTTTTTAAATAAATAAACTTCAGCTACTTTTCATCGTATTCGAATTATTCTTTTAAAATAAAAATTCGTAATCTAATTAACATCAACATGATCTATAGTATAATGAGAAATTTATCGTAGAATTATTTTTCGACAACAAAGAAGAAAAAGAATTCGATTGAACTTTTAAAATGATTTCAAATAATACAAAACATTGATTATATTACATTTTCAATGAGACTCATTTCAAAATGCATTTCAAACATGAGTTTTCCATCGATTTACTATCGAGTACTCTGGCTAACTAATAAAAACAACTCTTCTCTTCTAAACTTGTTGACTCAACTTTCGTTATATGATAAAGATACTTTAAGTTAATTGTTAATAGTAAGTCTATATATATAAATCAATACAGTTTTTCATATTTCCATTTTCTTTGAGAAAATGCTTTGAACTAACATAAGCTATTCAAAAATGAGACAAAATTTTTTTTAGATTTCCAACGATTTTGAACCTGAACAGACTTTCTATTCTTCGGAATATTCTTCAAATTCCAAATCGATCATGTACGTCTATAAGGATAAAGAATCAGGAAAAAAAACTTTCTTTCAAGTGGATTTTCAATATGGAATTATTTTTCTTATTTCAGAAATATCTTCCAGCAAAAAATTCACTGGTATTATTTGTATATATTTCTTATGCAACTGTTACAGATATAATTGTTTTGATAATCGTTTAATTTTGATGTAAATATTCGAAAATTTTCTCATGCAAGACAAAAATTTAATGTCAAATAAAAATTTTAAAAGTATTATTTGAATTTGAAAGAGTTTTTTGAAAATATACTCTCAATTTTTTAAATGAACAATGTAGGTTTTATTAGATTTCTAGCTATAACCTCTAGTCTATGATTTATTTGCAATTAAAAACTAATTATAGATTGAAAATCGATCATTGACTTTTGCTGATAGATAATATTGAAATATTTATATAAAACAAAACAAAACAACAAAATATTGTAAATTCAATATCATTTATTTCTTTCGAAGATTATTCGTATGAATAAAAGTATTTTTAATAAAAGTAACTTGTCAACTCAATTTAATATGAATTACATGTTTACTGGCTTTCGCCGTCTATATTTTAGATTTTTTAATTTTTATGACCCTTGCAATGAATATCAAAATTATTCTCTTCGCTTTTATATAAATCACTAGAAAATAAAATTAGATGTTGTTCGCCAAGAGCTTTTTTCTCGACTTGTTCTTAAAAAAACCTTTTAGGACAAAAGTCAACGTTAGTATAACTCATAAAATGTTTTATTTGTCGATATTTTTGTGCAGGTGTTTTATTGAGAATGATTTTTGTAAAACGCATATTGATCGATGAATAAAAAATATTTGTTTTGGTCAGAGCTATTCATAATTTCTGGTTGTTATAATTCTGACTAAAAACTGAAAGCATTTTTCTTGTTCTTTGCTAGACAAGTAGCTATTATTTCACGTGTTTGTTTTTGACTGTTATTTTTTCGTGGAAAAATAATATAATAACAGTCTGTTTTTATTTTTTCGTTGAGGCTTGTTTCACACCGCTTTTTGCGTTCATGTGTCGTCGCTTCCGTTTAGATTTAAGCAAGGCAATGTTTTTATACTTGCTGTTGTTACCGATGTTGTCGAAGCAAACAGAAGGAAAGAAAGAAACAAAAAAAAAAGGAAGAAAAAGAACAGAGTATGTCATTTTACCTAGCAACACAAACTTAGCAACAACATTTTAGATACAAACGAAAAAAACTCAGATGGTGTTTTTTGATCAACTACTGTGAAAAATATTTTTTGATATCGATGAAAAATTGTCTATCTATTATTTAGATTAATTTATTAGGTTTAAATAGATTTAAAAAAATGTCCGACGAAACCGAAGACAATAAATTTCATTTGAATGCATCCTTTGATTCTAAACGTATATTAAATAATAATTCGAGAGATGTCGATGGCAATTTAAGAGAATCACGATTATCAAGTGCTGCTTCAAAGAAGAATCAAGAACAAATATCTAATTCTATTGTTCATTTTCGAGTTGATCAATTCTCAAATGAAACACAAAGAAGATCTCCTGTTCTTTCTCAATATGAATCTAATCAACTTAATAATGATAAATCATCGAAAAATTCTGCTGATATTTCTGCAAACGATGAAAATGGTGAAGATTTCCCTATAAAAGGCAGAAATTCATATCATCTTAGTAATTATTTAATTAGATTTTTCTTTAGAATATCAATATCAAATGTTTGCATTCGACTTTGATTTAGATGATCATCATAATAGTTCTTCTATCATGTTCAACGAACAAGAAGATTCTAATAGTAAAACTTTTGCAAAGCCGCAAATTGATAATTCAAATGAAACTCATCGTTATTGTCAATATTCGACAGGTCAGTCAAAAAGATTAATCGATAAAAGTATTTTCATTTTCGTTTTTCGCTGTTTTAATTGGCAAAATTTGCAATATATTTAGCTTTTATTCTCATAGAAGCAAACAGATAGTCATTCAGTTTTTTATTCAAATAAATCTTTCGTTGTCACTAGTTTTATAGATATATTCTCCAAGTATCATTCATTACTAAAGAATAATCGAAGAAAATCTCTTCATTTAATAAAAAAAAAATGTCTATTTCAGTATTTTCTATTAGAACTTAATGATAATCTTCATTCAAATCACGATTTTCTTTAAAAATCTATTTTTCATGCATTCAATCAAAACTTCTGCAAATAGAAAGAATAGACATTGTTATTTTATTCCTTTACTAATATTTATAGTAGGGCATGGCAGAGATTAATTGATAGCGCTTTACATTTCAATGTCTGAATCACTGAATACATTTAATTAAAAACAAAACCTGTTATTTTCATTATATAAACATGATGTTCTACGAGGAAAATTCGACGATAAGAAAAGAAAATTTTTTTAGACACGATCACTTCGTGTTTTGTTATTGCATCTTGTCATGCATTTTATTAAAGTAGAAATAAAATATCATGTGAAAGATTGTAAAAAATTATATGAAAGCAGTCAATCTTTTTTATGCATTTTTGTGATTTTGAAATCGATACAATGCTCTGTAATCAATTTTTGAGATTGCGAATGAAAACATTCCATTGCTGTTCATTAATCAATATTTCTTTAGAACTTTGCTTTTTTTTTTATCGTAAATTTAGTATGTTATCCTTAAAAAAATATCAGAATACACAACAGGATAATCGAAAAATTTATCAATTTGTCTTAAATCGCCTATCCATATTGATTATCAACTGAAAAGATTTTAAAAGAAGTTTTCGTCATAGAACATCATATTTATTATGAAAATAATAAGGGAAACCATAAAATAAGTATAAACTTTGTATAAATGGTCCCACGTTTCGTTCAGTATCTTCTAGTATACTTTGTTCTTTTCTGTTAATTATATGTATTAATTTATTCAAATATTGAAAAGCAAAGCGCTGTCAATTTATCTATCCTACTCATTATTATATCTTCACTCTTAAAAAAACATTATTATCAGTCGAGTAAAGATATTACGAGAAACTTGTTCTACTCGAAATCATCTATCACGTGTTCATTGACATCGCTATAGAATGCGTTTTCGGAGTGTTATTCAGTCTTAAGATTGTGCCAATATGTAAACGAAAATAATTTTATACAAGAATATATATACTCCAAATCAATGACAAGTTAATTGTGAACTAGAAAATATTCTAACTCTTGAGAAGCCTAATATACTTCTACCTCGATAAACATAAGAAAATAACGTGGCTTATTATTGTATTATTTGGTAGAAAAGAAATGGCTAGATCTACAATGGCAAGAAAATGATACGATGCCAATTTCGGAAGACTTTGAAACGATGTCAATAAAAAAACCTGATGAATTAAAAATGGAAGCCCCATCTGGTCCAATCGACGAAACCGTTTTAGATCGTATCCAAGGCTCTATCATCGGAATGGCATTAGGAGATGCTCTTGGAGCACATGTCGAATTTAGACCTCACGCATATATGAAAGCTAATCCAGTTACACAGCTGACAGGAGGAGGAACTTGGAGCCTCCTAACAGGACAAGTATTGTTATTTTATCTTTATTTTGTTTTGCCTTACTTAAAATATTCTTTTATAAAAATTTTTGAATCACGAAATAATTATATTGCCCAAAGAATGTTTATTGAAAAATAACTTCTCTCGCAGTTGTTTATCAAATCATCAGATAGTTATACTAAACAAATGTAGATAGAATAACTTTGAGTGTTAGCAACTTTGTATTATGAAATTTCATTTAAAAACTGTTATATCAATTCAATACATTTTCCTTGAATAATTATTACTCATTTGTATGTCTCATTAGATTCTTTTTACTCTATTTAGAGTTCTTTCAATGAATGAAATGATCACTAACAATAAATACTCTCTAATTCTTTATTACAACATGTTTCAAACACTTGAAACATTGCAATAACTAGAATGACGTAATATTATTCAAAGATAGAATCGAATAATCAGCGAATTAGATGAAAATTGTTTTTCATTTTTGGTTTTGTGATTCGTTCACATTCATAGTACTATTTTTGTCGTTTGAAATTGCTAAAGATTTTGTAAGTTCTGTATGCATATTATATGAAGTATCAATACATTTTGTTTCGGATCAGTAGAGAAATATTTTAGATTGATGTTTTTTCTCTGAGAAAACTATTATATATATATTATTCTCTTAGTTCACTGATGATACTTCAATGGCCCTCTGCTTAGCTAATTCATTATTGGCTCGTCGCGATTTCATTCCCTATGATCAATTAGTTCGCTATAAATGGTGGTACAGATTCGGATATATGTCATCGACTGGGCAATGTTTCGACATAGGTGCAGCTACTAGTCAATCATTGCGTGAATTTGAACGTCGTCAAAAGAAATTTGCAAAGGAAAAAAGCATTCCATATGAGCAAATAGACAAGCTTTCAAATTTGAACATGCTTGATGAATTCGATCCGTATTGTAGCGAAAATGACGTTGCAGGTAACGGAGCGTTGATGCGACTAGCCCCAGTACCTCTTTTCTTCTTTCGAAATAAATACGCTGCAATCGAATTTTCGGGTCGAAGTGGGGAGATCACTCATGGTGACAAGCAGGCTTATGATGCTTGTCGATTCTACGGCGCATTAATTGTAGCTGCGCTTCATGGATTTACAAAGAAACAAATACTTGCTAAGAACTTTTATTCTAAACATAGACATTGGTTCGGTGAAGAACCATTACACCAAGAGATTGAAAAGATTGCTAAAGGATCGTACAAAAGAACGCGTGGCTATAACGGTGGTATTCGAGGAAAAGGTTTTATTGTCAAAGCCCTGGAAGCTGCTTTATGGGCTTTTTGGTCTGATGGTGATTCGTTCGAAAAAGGTGCTCTTGCCGCTGTTAATCTTGGTGATGATACAGATACAACAGCTGCTATTTATGGACAATTGGCTGGAGCTTATTATGGTTATAAAAATTTACCTGAACATTGGATTAAAGATGTCTATGCTCACGAATTTCTGAAAACGTTAGGTCAATGGATTACATATGAAGGAGAACAATGGGAAATTGAAATGAAAAATTCTTCTACTAATAAATGAAAAGGTAGAATATGACATTATATTTTAATTTTACATAGTCTGTTTTGTATTTTATCAAACTTAATAAAAAAAATTATATTATTGTCTTATACTGTTTTTTCTGGGAACATTCGTGTTTAAGATTGAAAACTGATGAATTCATTTGATATTAAACTCAGTTTTATTGAATTTCTAATTTCATAAAAGAAGTACATCAGTGTTTATTCATTCGAAATTTGCCAAGATTAAATTATTGAAAACATGGGCATCATACAAAGGTGAGTTCGTACAATATACTTTAAAGCAATGAATGAAGATTATTTGCTTCTTTCATTTACCATGGTGACCAAAAATAACTTACATTGTAAAAGTCTTCTGTCTAAATGCAATAATGTTTCTTTTCTAGATTGTTTTAAAATTCTTAGATCTTTATCATGTTAAAGTTTCCACCGCCCTGTGATAAAGTTCTTCCACATGATATTAATTTGGAAAAAATACCTCGTATTAATGTACAAAATGACATCTGTGATAGAGTGGTTGGTTCTCTCGTAGGTCTTGCTATTGGTGATGCTCTTGGAGCTAGTGTAGAATTTCGTCCACAACAATATCTTGCTGTTAATCCAGTTCGTACGATGGAAGGGGGAGGTACATGGGGCCTTGAAGCAGGAAAATGGACGGATGATACATCAATGGCATTATGCCTGGCTTCGTCATTAATTACTCATAATAGTTTCAATCCTTATGATCAAATGATTCGTTATAAATGGTGGCACAAATATGGATATTTTTCATCAACAGGACGTTGCTTCGATATTGGACAGGCAACACGTCAATCTCTTAAAGAATTTTCTGATCGTCAGAAAATTCTCAAGATACACTATCGTTGTCGAAGCGAGAACGAAGTCGATACATTAACACTGGATTCTGTTGAGCGCATCAACAATTTTAACATCTATTGTGGTGATAAAGATGCTGCTGGTAATGGAGCTCTTATGCGTCTTGCTCCTGTGCCATTATTCTTTTATAAAACACCGAAAAATGCAATTGAAAATGCTGGTCTTAGTGCTGATCTCACGCATGCAAATAGAAAAGCAATTGATGCATGTCGTTATTATGCAGCATTGATTATTGGTGCAGTCAATGGCTTCTCGAAAGAAAAACTACTTGATAACGATTTTTATCAAAAACAAAAATTATGGTTCGGTGAGAAACCTCTCGATAATGATATTTTAAATATTTGTGCAGGATCATATAAGAAAGATAAAAATAGGGGTGGATACGAACAGGGTATTCGAGGTAAAGGTTATATTGTTAGTGCTCTAGAAGCTGCTTTATGGGCTTTCTGGTCTGATGGTGATTCGTTCGAAAAAGGTGCTCTTGCTGCTGTTAACCTTGGTGATGATACCGATACAACAGCAGCTATTTACGGTCAACTAGCCGGAGCCTATTATGGATATAAAAATATTCCAAAAGAATGGTTAGAAAAGCTTTATGCTCGTGATTTAATAATTTCTATGGGTGAATGGCTTTACTTTCAAGGAAGTCAAATTACATCGAGTCACTCTAAAAATGAAAATGTTTCTCCAACAACGACATCAAACGATAATGCAAAATTATCAGAGAAAAAAATTCAGCGAACTATTAGTGCAGCAGCAACAGCTCAGTCAAGTTCTTCTGAGACTAATGCAATTAATAATCAATCTGAAAATGCGAAGAGAAATTCTAAGACTCGAATCGCCGATACTCATTCTTCTCCCTCTTCAGATAAAACCAACAATACTTCTATCAATCGTATTTCACTGCCTAGTGATGCTCATGTTCAATCGTCTAGTTCGAAATCATTCACGGAAAATTCTGAACATGATGATCTTAATTTAGCATATAGACCTTCATTTTATCGCACAGAGAAAAGTATGTTTGACGATGATTCCTAGAAGTAAATTGATAATAATTACTGAAGAAGAATTTTGTTGAAATTCATTTTTAATGTGTTTTGTTTTCTCGAAATCTTGATGTGTTAAATAAAAATTCATAATAACAATAAAATAGCTCTCTATAATTTGTTATTCGTCTTATCTAAGAAGATGTTCAATAATTAGATTTTAATCGATCATTGATAGATTTCTTCGAAAAACATTTGTTTTCTGAAAAAAGAACCGTTTTGAATATTTCTTTTTGGATTCATATATTCTTATTCTTACATTAAGAGTAAATTATTTTCATATCAATTTCAAATAAACTTTGATTCACATTTAAATTCGACTAATTATTATTTAAATTAAAGGATATAATGATCTGTCAAAAATTTTGTCTTATTAATCAAGACTGCTACTCAATATATATATATGCGAAATAAATGGTGACAAACACGTTTGAATGAAAGAACATGCAAGATATATTTAGAGCACAAAATTGGAGTACTTATAACCTATAGTTTAACTTTGGAAATGTAAATACATTAAACTTAGAATTAAACTGTAAAAAAACAATTGATCAAAGAGAGTTTAATACAAGAGGATAAGTGCTTGCACCTAGCATCCTGACATCTCAGTGCTAAGTGCCAGCACTTCCCCCCTTGATTTAATAACTCATCAAACACACAAAATAGAAACTGAAAGTAGTCGGTTAACATGATTGTATCAAAACGTACAGTTTGTTGACCCAAAAAAACAATGTTCAAAGAATATATATGATCGATCATATTTAGCCCATAAAAATAAGAAATATATTAACTAAGGAAACTTTTCAATTAATTATTAACAATCTTGCCGCGTTTACGCGTGCCATGAAAATCAAGGCAATTCCCGTGAAACGAGTATCTCCTGGATATTAGTTGAGTATACGTGTAATACGTTCTCATCAAGTATAAATGTTCGTGGCGACACTGCAGTGTTAGATTCTCAGTCGTGATGAGCATCTCTAGTCTAAACCAGTTCACAGCATAATAGCAAAAGGTTAATACAACCAACAATGAAATTTATAATGCCCTTCCATAAGGAGAATAAATCAAAACACGAAAACTATGCTAATTTTATAAAATAAAAACATTCAATACTTATAAAAATGTAACTCTTTGTTTTCTGTAAAACAATAAATAAAGATAATAGTAATGAAAGACGATGATCTTTTTATCTACACCGATGAAATTGAAACAAGACACTGATCGAAAGAAATTCAATATTTAACAACTAGGTAACTCCTATGATGATATACGTATATTAACATCAAATTATTGATACATTCAAATTCAATCATTTAAAACATTCGAAAAATAAGAATATAATTAACAAAATTTACAGTAGACGAAAATAGAGATAAAAGTTTTCTTGAATTTACAATCATTTCTTTGCACGTAAAGTAATTCGAATGAAAAATTCGTTCTTGAAAGACATAACATTGGAAGCTACAAAAGAAAGTAACATTATTGAAAATAATCCTGAAAACATATTGCCAAACTCTGCAAAACAATTAAACAAAAGCAATATTGAACTAACATGATATTTTCCTTCGCTAGTGTTCTAGTTATCCATGTCCTGAAAATCATGATTAATCTTATTTTGTAATAAAATCAGTGATTTTATCGGATTTCATTGCGATTATGATACAAAAATCGTATTTAATCGCTTGTTAAAATGATTGATTACTTTTTTGTCATTTACTTTGTTCTTTAATTCATTGGTGGCGAATTCCATATTATTATGGTGAAGAAATTTTTTAAAAGAGATTCAAATGAATAGTCATGATTTTTTTTCTTCTCTTTTTAAATAATTATAATGACAGTTGACTACTTCTTGTTGTTCGTTTTATTAGAAAAATTGATATTAATTAATTAATTTAACAGAACACCAATAATCTATCAATATTGGAGAAATGAATACTATTTTCGAGTGTAATGAACATTAATTTTCTTTCATCTGATACTATTATATTTTAATAATCATATTAATGTAAAGAAATAAAAGTCTATCAATGATTTCACTTCATTATTAAGTAGTAGCGGAGGTGCGTGTTTGTGTGTCTTCTGTTTTTTTTTCTTTTAGTTGCTCTCAAAGAATTTTTGTTTCATCAGTTCGTATAGAAGAAGGACAAAAATGATTTACTTTTATGTAAAATTCTATTCGGACAAATAACAGAAATTATTCTTTTCTTATTTTATTTTACTAAACTCAATTCCTATTGAATAAAAATCAAATGTCAATTTCGAAAACTAGATGCATTGTCGATAAATGTATAAGAGAAACTGCTAGCAAATGTAACTCATGTGAACAGAATATTTGTATTCATCATTTAAACGAACATGCTGATCAATGTCGTAATATTGAATCATCATTATGTTTAGTTGATGATATTTATGAAATTTCAAATCGATTAAATAATTTTGTTATAAGTAAATCACAATTTATAAAAACCTTAGAAGAATGGCGTTATGAAGCTCATGAAACAATTGATAAGTTCTGCAAATCGAAACAAGATGAATATATAAGAATAATAAAAGAAGAAATTGCTCAATCTCAAAGAACAATTGCTACATTAAGTTGTGATCCTGATGCTTCAATAGACTATATTGATTGGGCTAAACATAAAATAGAAACAATTCATGAACAACTTAATGAATTAGAACAAATTCAATTGAAAATTTTTCCATTAAAAATCGATAATTCATTAATTAATATTGAATCTTTAATTTATGATTTAAAAGTTGATTCTTCTCCACCATTATTAAAAGATCTTTTTAGTTCTTCGTCATCAAAAAATGAATTAACTTCTGATTTAAATTCATTTTCACCATTGAATTCAAATAAGATTGACTTAGAAAATAATTCTTTAGTTTATTACGAAAGTGCAAAACAATATTTAAAAGTTCAATCTGATAATTGGTATTCGTTAGCATCAAATGAAACAAATTTATTAATTAGTGAAAAATCAAATCTATCTTTAATTGATCAATCTTTAAGAATTATTAATAGAAAATCATTTTTAAATATTGGAATAAAAGATCTTTGTTGGTCGAAAATTCTTTCTCGGTTTATTTTAATAACACCAAAAGAAATTTATACTCTTGATGAAAATATGATATCATTAGAATTATGTCCAATAAATATAATAAATAATTATCGATGGGAACGTGGAACATCATCAAATAAAACATTATTTATTTCAACTTTTGGTGAAAATCCGCTTATTGTTGAATACAATCTTTTGCCATCAATACATCTAAATAAACGATGGCAATCAGCAATTAGTTTTCAAGAAAATGATATTATTAATGATATTAAATCAAATGAGACTTATATTGGATTAATTATTGAAAATGATACAATTAATCAAAGCTATTTTCAAATTCGTTTAATTAAATCTTTTCAATTAATTTATTCAGTTGATCTTGGCAAAGGATGGGCTTATCGATGTTCGAATATAAATGGCATTCATTGGATTATTGTAGATTCTTATAATCATAGATTAATTCAAATATTGAATAATGGGGAAACAAATAAAAAAATTTATAATTATTCAACGAAACCATTTAATATTACTCATTGGACACAACAACAATTTGTTATCAGAACAACTGAGCATATTTATATTCATGATTATTGTTGAATTTCTTTATTTGTCAACAATAAGACATCTTCATTTGTATTCGTTCAATCAGTTTTTAGAGAGTAGAATTATTAAATTACAGCTTAGCAAAAATATACGAATGATAGACAAATTATCTTTATTTGTCATAAATGAGTTTTTGTAAACTTGAAAAGTTTTCATTTTATTTTGAAATCTATCTTATGTTGTGCTTTTATATTTCATATTAATATTAAATTAACTCTCCGAATAAATATTTTTATTAAATAATTGAGAAATCCTTTAATAATTTTTATCTTTATCTTTATCTGTTTTCTGTCTGATGATTGAATTAAATCGTTAAGAAAATAAAATAATATCATGCATATTTTGATTGGGTCGAAATTATTGCAAATTATAAATACTGATAAATTCTTTTCATAGATATAAATAATTATTTTAATTTTAATTACTGTTTAATAATTTTCCTGCTTTTTCAGAAAACAAAATCACTTATAATATTTCAGAAAGAAACAAAAATGAAATGAACGAATTGAGGAATTGTTTTCCATGTATTTAAAAGAAATAGAAAAAATAGTTATGGATCAGATGAAATCTGATCTATTAAATCAATCAACTAGTTTTATTATTTACAGTTTAATTAACATGAAGCTCGATATTATCATCCTGGTAGTTCGATACATGTATATTACGTACATATAACTTCAACTAACTGCTAAAGTCATTTCCCAGTTCGATATGCAATCGAATAAAAATATACAAGAAACTCGTAAACATATCAAAGATAATGAAAAATATCTGTTCTCACCTACTATCGTTAGAATAGCTTCATTTTATAAGGTTAATTTTAGAAAACGAATTCTCTTGTAAAAATCATGCAAAACAGTTCAATTCGATTGATCATTAAGTTTTCTATTCAAATTTTATCTGTATCTACTTTTATGATTCTCAAATTCATATGCCTTTATTACGTTCGTTCGAGTAAAGTATATCAAACATAATTGTAAAGAAAGAACTAATATCTGTGAAACTCTTCAGGAATTCTAGAGAGAAAACAGAATAGAATCTTAAAGAATAGAAAGACAAGAAACTACAATGACTTTTTGAATATGAATAAAACTGATCACAATAAATCGATTATTTCATGTAATTTCTTATAAGCATTATCTGTTTATCTGTGTTTCTATCTAATTTAAAGATGTGACTTATCGTTAGATTTTGGCCATTAGAAATTATGTTTGTTGAATAAGAGAAAAAATATTTCATATATTTACTACGTATAAGATTTTGAGTTTGTGCTGTTCTGTTTCTTTTTGCTCTTTGGTAGCAACCGTCTTTTTTTCTTTCTTTTAAATCAACAACCAAGAGAAGCACATTTATATATAAAATTGAAAAAGAAATTTATTTCAATGTTAGATATAGCAACAAAAAAGATATTTTTTTCTTGTTGTTGTTGCCCAAACTATAAGAGAATCTTTTTTTGTATCCAGAAAATAATTCAATGAAAAACAAATTTGATAAAAAACATAAAACTAATGATAAATGATATGCTCATAGACAAAGATGATCTGAGTTTTACTGCATAATTACAATTGTCGCGATTCGAACAACAATAAGCAGTAGTAATGCCACGAAGATTCGATGTTAAACAGGTCGACTCACCAAATCTCGTAATAAGACCATTCGCAAAAACATTTTTCTGTTGATTTAACAATTTGAAAAGTAATAATTCGAAATTCGAATAGATTGACTTACTTGACAGTAATTATAACCTGATAATTGTAGAAATGATGCATTTGATGAATCAAATGGATCGGCACAAGCTGAACTTGTTTCACTAGAACATACTGTACAAGTAATACCATTTGTTAAAGACATGGACACTAAGTAAATAAATAAATAAATAAATAAATAAATAAATAAATAAATAAATATTTTCAAATAGACAACACACATGATAAATAAATAGATAATAAAATGTATTGAATCATTTTTGTTGATATCTCAATAAAATTAATTTAATTCAATGCCAATGAAAACCAAAAAGAAAATGTCTAAAATACGTTTCAATGGTGTCCTTCGTTCATTTTTTTTTCTTTCTTTGTCAAATGTCGTAAATGCAAACTTGTGCATTTCTCTCTTCTGACAATATTTGTTTATTTTTTCTAATAACTAACACATCCCTAGTCGAACTTTTTTTTGCAAGCGCATGCAATTCTTGACTTTCTTGATCCAGAAAGTCAAGAACCATGTACCCTTTCGGTGAGCTCAAGTTCTTAAACTTCTTGTTCATGAGCTTGAATGTTTATCTAAGCGTTTCTGTTATTAAAGAACTTTTCCAACTTATTTTTTTCAATTTTACATTCACAATAACTCAACTTTTAATAAAAAATTATAGTTGCATCTTTTTTGTAACTCATGCAAACATTGAAGCGTTTGTCTTGAGTGAGAAAGTCATGCGCTATGGATACATCTTGAGCTTAAGTCTTGCAAGCGCATGAATAAAAAAGTTCCACTAGGGATATTACTTGTATGAATAGTATTTTGCAGTTTAGCTAATGAATCAATTTTTCTAAGCGATTTGAACTTAAATGTTAAAATTTGACATAAAATATATATACGTATACTGATTATTTTCTCTTTTTCAGTATAATTAAATAATAAATAAATGAGTTAGCATTGCAACCGTGTAGAATTGGTTTGAAAAAGGAAATAGTTTTAGTTTTTAAGAGGAATATTCATATTAAAAGTAACTTTATAGAAATTTAAATCTCAAGTAAAAAAAAACGAAATCTTTCTGAAGAAAGAATTCGACACATTTCGTTTTTCTTTTGTTATTGATCTGAATAATATGACATGAAAAGTTTGTTCGATTTTTATCTACTTAGTTATAAATAACTTGAGAAAACAAACAAACAAATAAATGAATGAACAATAACTGATACAAAGAGAAATCTTTTTTTAGGACAAACTAATGTTAAATGATCAGTAACACGCTTTTTTTTAGAAAGATTCATTTCTTTTTGTATCTCTACACTTGAACAAACGCATATATGGATAATTAACATGGAGTTCATACTTTAAACTATATAGAAGATTTTTGTCCAAAAGTAATCATGCACTTTGAAGTGTTTGATACAGTTCAAAGAATGATTAATTTTCCTTCTGTCTTATTTTATGTTTATTAGGCTTTTCAAATAAACAAAAAATGAAATGTATCATTTTTTATTCGATAAAGAATTCTTTAGAGAAATGATGCTAATTAATGTGTAACATAGACGGAGTTTTTCTTTTCAATATGTACACTAATCTTGTTCTGAGACGAAACTGTAAGATTATTTTAATAATTAAATTCTATTGATTGCATTTTATTTTCTAAAGTAATTCTTTTTAAGCATTGGCATTAGATTTATTTTTAAAAGTAAAAACTAAACATATTTTATTGTAAAGAATTTTCACGAATTGATCAACAAAAACAGTTTACGTTAGAAACATTTACTCTCATCTATTTAATATTTTTCAAAAAAAGGCACTGATAATTATGGATCATAACAGATAGAAGTCTTTTGACAATTCTGATATTTGTTTTCAAGTAAAACAGATAAATAAAGCATTTTTTGTTAATCACAATCACAAATTGTCAATATATTAATCTCATTTTTAGTTTACGTAAAAATAATAAAATTTAGATCTTATGAAGAAAAAGTTCTATCAATTTTAATTTAGTTCTTACTTTTGTCAGAGAACAATACCAATTTTATGTTAAAAATTTCAGCGGCATCCTTGAAATTCTTGAAGAATTCGTTTACTTTGACGACATACATTAGCTGTCTTAATCTTGAAGTGATTGTAGCAGATAAAAAGAAACAAAAATATACTCATTTGTGTAGAAATTTTCATTCAAGATGTGCTGTTGTCATTGTTCGTGGCTCTATCGAAAATTACCCTATTTACATGCTTTAACTGATCTTCTGAAAATGATTTTTGTTATTGTACATATAGCACTTTTCTTTTCACCACTTTCTACGAACAAGGGTGTTGTTCCAAAAGAATATAGCAAAAAGTACGTTAGTGCATTTATCATCGATTGGATTAGTTCGATTATACCTACTTTAGTTGGTTTATTTACGGCTCTTATTATTCTTGTTATCTTATGGAAACTATTCGCTTGTTGTATTAATGTATGTAATAAAAAAAGGGTCAAACAACAGATGAAATAAATACAAAAGGTACATTACGCAAAATTATTTAAAAACAAAGCACTTCGTCGATTTGTAATAGCTGATTGCAATTGTCCCTGTTATGAATCATGACCAGGATTTCGATTTCAAGTACGTTTTGCTTTATTATTTATATTTTTTACTTTGCTTATTGTAATTAGCTATTGGACTCTATGCTACAGCTCCATCAGGTGATAATAATTGTGGAACTCTTGCTGATATTTGTACTTTCTCATTAACATTTATATTCAATACGCTTTGTTTGAATTTTTATCGTTATTATGTACGGTGGCATTATCGCCCGCAACATGATAATCATTGTCATTGTCGATCAAAAAAACATGAACGATATTTACCATATCATATGGTTGGAGAATATCGTGATTCAAGAACGTTAGGAAATCGACCATATAGTGATAAACCTTGTCACAAGAGGACACTTGATCATATTGCTGTTTTTCATTCAAGTGATTTTCAACCACAAGATCGTTGGCGAGATATTCCACAACCACCGGCGATTATTCCATCAAAAAATAGTAAATTATTTTGTTTGAAATCGAAAGAAGAAAATAATCAAACTCATTATATTGGTTTTCATACAACTGATCCGACGTCTACCATTTCTATTGCTCATAGTGACTTTCGATCGGGTAAAAATGGATGGCTTAGTCCTGGAGTTTATTTTGCTCGATCAATTGATGGCACAATTGGAAAAGCAAAAAGTTCAGGTGGTGCTCATATTATTGCTGAGATTCGTATGGGTAAAGTCTTGAAAGTTGAACGAGAAGTTATAACTCGAAGCCATCTAAGATTCAATGCTGAGATGTATGTATTAGTTCATCATATGGAATGGCAAGAAAATTATGATACATGTTGCATGATTCACGAACATGATCATCGAGATGAATTTGCTATTAAAGATGCAGCTACACAAATCATTAAATGGGTTATTGTCATTGATCAAGAATTTGATCCGAAAGTTGAAAAATATGAACTTACTACAGAATTTGATTCCACAACATGTGGTTGTATTTAATTATTTATTTTGTATTGTATGCACATTCAATAAATTAATCAGTTATTTCTCTGTCTCTATTTTCGATCATGTTTAAAGTAGAAAATACTATCTCCCTCGGACAAAATAAATTTAAAAAATGTCAATCTTATATTTTGCTCCTGCTGTTTTATAATATAATTAGTAATACAGGAGTGCATAGCTATCTCTGCGCACTACACAACTGGTGGTGGAATTTGATTTCTATTTTTGTTATGTTTACTATTTAACTATTTTTCTGGAAAACTGTAAAAATGACAACCATTTTTTTCATCGACATTGAGAGTTAATATTAAAACGGTTTGATTAAGATATTTGATTAAAGCGCTCAAATGTTGGCTACATAATGCAATCAATTTGGGAAAACTGAGTCGGATTAGAGTTCCAATTAATATATCATGCTTCTTCCTACACGTATATTCTACAGTTAAGATCGAGACATTCTAGTCTAAGCGGCTTTCGAGGAATAAATATATTTCTATGATACCCCTACTGTCATACGTGTATCAAGATCGTTTAACTCATCACAAATTCTCTCTGCTTTGTGTGGTTGTAAGTAAATATTCAGTTACTAAGTGCTGCATAGAGACGCTTATACTGTTGTGCTATCATTTCTAATTTGTTTCCGTCGTTCACTCGTTTTACGTTACTTTTGGAACAGATTCAGCATCGCTACTATACCTCATTTTTGACTCTTCTTAAAAGAACAAAAAAAAACAGGAAAACAGTAAAGTAAGAAATCAAATTGCATCATCAATTGTGTAGTGCGCAGAGATAGGTATGCACGCCTGTATTTCTAATTATATTATAAAAACAACATGAGCAAAATATAAGATTAGCATTTTTTTTATTTATTTTGTCCGCGAGGGAGTATGAAATTCATTTGAAATTCAATTGACATTTGTTTTCGTCTAATAATTAGTCAATATGCCCGTAAAAGTCAGATTGAGTCACTATGCTGTTGTAGCCGAAAATGAATGAATCAATGTATTTTTTTCAAAGGCAACTATTGAATTGTTTGTTTATAAACAATTAGAGAGAAATCAAACTTATCACCAATTTATTGTACATGTTTTTTTGTATCCTAATTTTATTTATAGTTTTTTCTAACTTTTTTTCAAGTTCGATGTGAATCATGTATAAATAAGTAAGGCGTATAGTTCGCAATAGTATCGATGATTTCTCATTGATCGATATAGTACTATGCTTAAATCATCTTTCGAAAGTGAATTGCATATGTTTAAGTAAGAAGATTTCCTTTTTGAAATGAATTTTAGAGATAAACAATTTAAAGAGCATTTTAAAAAGATATTCTAAAAGGTTCTTTTTATTAGGTTTTATTCGATGGTGAATGTGATCGAAATTACTTTTGAAAATCAATTTTAAGTCACAAACTATTGAAATTATATATTCTCTACTGATCATGTGAATAAAATTTTAAGAAATTTAGAATTTATTCGATTAAGCTTAGTTAGTAATAGGCAATCAATCCCATTTATCATAAGTTTAGATAATTGATATAAAACTCTCAGATAAAGTGTTTTTTTGAATTCTAATTCAATCGAAGCTACGATACGTCAAACTATAAATACGAAAATTTTGAAAAGACAGTTATTGTAAATGTGATTGCAAGTATCGACCATTTGCTTGTAAATTTGGTTGCTAGTGACTGTTGAGTAATCGGTGGAATACCTTGTGGAAAACGAAAGTACCATGTTGGATCCCATATTGTTTTGATTTCTCTTAGTCGATTCCAATTATTACGATAGTACATTGATTGCCAATTCGGCATATATGGATCAATATAATTGAGATATGCTCCTACAATACTTTGAGTAGGCGCAGCAGCGTTAAGTAGTCTTTGCCACCAACTTTCAGCTGCATTAATAGCAGCATAATCACCATCAAGTGTAGTCCATACAAAGCCAGGTGCAATATCAAATGAAATATCCGGAAAAGGCCATGCTGTATTTTTATCTTTATTTGCATTATTAAGATAAATAATATCCATAAATTGGGCTATCGGTACAGTAGAATTTGGTTGGGATTCTAAAATAACATCTAACATAGTACTTGTAATATTGATTGCCATAGCAGATACAATATGCTGTCTTTCTCTAACTGGAAACGGATTGATTAAGATGCCTATCTTTCTTGCTATATCCATTTGTGTATAATTGAATATTGAAAAAGTATCTGGCTTAGGATTCTTTGTTAACCATGAATTGAATAACGGTTGAAGTTCTACTTGAGGACCATTGAACGTACCCCACATCATAATAAATCTTCGTTCAGATGAAACATATACAATTACATCAAATGAAATACGAGTATCCATATCGGCAACATCATTGAGAAAAATTAACCAATTAAGAAGAGCTTCTTTTAAATCTTGATTCTCCCAAGTAATATTAAAAAAGGAGATTTGACCGGATGGTAGTTTTGTGTCAGTGATTCGATGAATTTTTTGTGTCATTTCTAATACATAACCAAAATTGCCACCTCCACCTCCTCTCAATGCCCAATAGAGATCTGGATTCATTTGAGATGATGCTGTGACAATAGTGCCATTGTAAAGTGCAACAGTAAATTTAAGAACATTGTCTAAAGCTAGACCATACGAACGTGTGTACATAGAATTATAGCCACCTCCTAATGTAAAACCTACGACTCCTACTGATGGACAAAGACCACCAATTATAATATATTCTGATTCTTTTAAAACATCGTAAACTTCACTCCATACGACACCAGATTGCATTGTTATTGTTTCATCTTCCCAGTTTATTGTTATGTTTTTTAGACGTGAAGAATCTAAGACAACACCTCGATGACTACAATAACCACCATAACTATGTCGGCCACCCATGATACGAATAGAAACTTTAGCAGAATAGAGTGTTGAAAGAGCTAATGAAACATCGTCATAAATTGCTGGTTGTAATATGAGACTAGGCCAAACTTGTATTGCAGGATTCCAAAGTGTAGCCGCATTTTTATATTGTGAATCGGTCACTCGTAATACTTGTCCACCATGAGAAATAATAGTTGATTCCAATGTTGGAAATGAATCACTTTTTGTATCATCAATAAGACAAATGATTAGAAACATCAGTAAAATGTGAACTGGCCATTGTCGATGAATATGTGAAATATTCATGCTGAGATTTAAACTGAAAATGAAATAACAAGCACGATGTGTTGATGAATTATCAAATGAAAATATTGAAAATAAATATACTATAATACAGTCTTACTTTTTCTCAAGCATCGTATCGATTCCCTAATTATTATTTCTGTTCTAAGGCATCTAAATATAAAAGACTCTTCTTTGTTTGATTATCTATTGTAAGAGGAAAGTCTAAATTCAATCAATAAATCAAAAATATACCTAGCTTTCATGATTTCTATTTTCTGTTTTCTGATCAGCAAGTAAAATCAGTCTAATCCTTTTTGTTAACAAAATTTACTGAAATACAATTTTCATGATTCACGATCGAAAAATAAAAAATTACATTGGTCACTACCTAAAATACGTACGACTGTCAATGCCTGTATATTAGATTGACTGGCAATCATATTTAAAACTTCAGATATATTATTCATTGAATAAAGATAAAGGACTAGCTGTAGATATATATTACAAAAGAAACAACAATAACTATCTAGAGAGAGAGTAATACAAAACATATTATGATGCAGTTTTATCAATATGTTCTTATGAATATGCTTGAAATAAATAGAGATAAAACGATAAGATCAGCAAATATTATAACAACAAGTTATCCATAGCACGACATTTTTGTGTCAACAAATGAAACGGTGTTGTAAAATGTCTTCTTTTGATATTATTTTAATGAAATGGTAAACCTACATAAACAAGATTATCATCAATGCTACTACGAATATTGCATCGAGATCGAGATTCTGCTTTTATTTGGATCATCTTTGGTTCTTTTTTTGTTATTCATACCAGAAGTATTATAAGGGCAAAGTTTTTGTTGTCCTGCTCTCCTTTTTCTTGCAAATTAACAAGAAACATTTTCATGTTTATACTTTGAGTTGAATTGCTCATGTTTTGTTGGCAAAGTCGCCACGAAAAAAGACTCTTGATTAATAAAATGTTTTTGATCTTTTTTATTTTTGTAAATTAATTTTCAATTCATCTAATGAACAAAATTTAGTTTCGCTAGTGGACGCATAAACTAATTTCAGAATAGCTGCGAGAGCAAATGATCGCTTTCAGAATACTTGAGTTTTTATTAATTCATTTTTTAAAATACAAATTTCTTTTTTCTATTTTTAAAAGTTGTTCTAAAGGAATAGTTGTACTTATATGATAAAGTTGCACTACTAACAGAGATATCTGACTTACATGAAACAGAAAAATCTCATTTTCATCAGCAGAAGGTATGAAGGCAACATTAGCGTGCACATCAGTAGATGATGATGATACGGTCTTACTGAAATAAACCTCACCGAGTTATCTAACGCTAAGAATAGATAAATGTCTGAAAATTTCTACGGCATAATTCAAACAATGAAAAGCCATCGTCATTTGATAGCAATTATTAAAAAGACGGCATCCACAAGATATTTTAGATATGTTTTATTTATGTTTCTTAGTTATAACAATAAAACAAAGTCACAGAAATAAAATTCAAGGTTTAAGCTCAATTATCATGCCAATTTTTTTTGCAAAATCCCGTGGAAACAAAATTCAATCGATCAATTAAATGAGATTTGCGAAGTTGTTGTTAAACAGAACATACTTTTTCTTATGCATATCTATGGAGCAAGTTTGATTAAATAGTTTCGAAAGTATTGAAAGAACGTTAACAAAAGAAACGAACAAACGAAATGCAATGCTATGTAATTGCTTGACTTGTGTTAACATTAGTCTGCCATGACATTACGATCAGCAAGAAGCAAAACATTGCCATTGACAGACTGGCAACTCTTTACGAATAATGGAAATTTTAATAATCCATTACCTCCTGATAGAAGATTAAATAGACGCTATCCTTATTTTATAGGCGAGATAGATACCAAAAGTATTCGTACACGTTGTAGAACTGCTAGAAGTCGAAGTAATTCATTTTTAGTTTTCTTCGTTAAATATGTTTTCGATGTTCAACTTTTAGATCAATCGGCAATCACTGCAAGTACAACAAGAATATTAAGTGCAAGATCTATCTACTATCGACGTCAACCAAGAATAAAACCTATTAATCTTGATCTTGATGAAGGAGGCGATGAAATTCAGGGTGAGATGTTTTTCTCGAGCATTTTATTTAATTATCGATGAGCAGTAATTTTGAAGAAGACCGACGTAGAATCTCTATTAGAATCAATGAATAATCAAAAACTTCTTAAGTATGAATTTGAGTTGATTGAATCAGTATAAATCAAACGTGAGCAATCTCCTTTTTTTCCCTAATAATTCCTTGAATAATATCCTGATTTCTAAATGAAATTGCTGCATATTTTTATTTCAATTCTATTCAAATAAGACCAAAGTTAATTAAACGTACGAAAATATATTTCTATTTTAAACTCATGTCAGGAGAAAAACAAATGACTAACATTCGTCTATGCGTTCTGTAGAGTGTATTGTTTTATGATCCATAGTGAAATAAATGACATTGCATAAAAAAAACTGTCGAATCCGAGTGATTTATAATATTTAATAAATTATTTAATTTTCTATTATTTGATTTAGTTCTTCGATCTCCGAAGTTACCAACAGGTAGAGCATCGACAACTTGTTCACAGCGTTCTCATATTTGGGAACCTCAAGCTTGGTCATTCTCTTGTCTACATCGAGCGATTATTGCTATCGACGAACAAGCTAAAAAAGATTATCTAGCTGGTCGAACAATGAACGCACTTGCGGCATGGCAAAATGCACTTACCTTCTGTGACCAATTAAGTCAGCGAACTCAATTATGGCCCGAAAACGTATATTTAGATAGATCTAAATCTAACTACATTGATACATAACTATTAACAGAATTAAAAAGCAAACAAATATCTATTAATACACATTTTCTTGTAATAGATTGATAGTGAGATATGATATTTATATTCACAAGTATCTTTTGTTGAGTCAAGAAGATATTACGTATAGAAATGACCTAAGATCAATGTTTCGATAGAATAATTAATCATATACAAGAAAATGACACGTAGGAATAGTTCTTAATTTATTGATATTTTGAATCAAAATTTGTAAAATAGATCAAACATATAGGAATTACTTTACTTTTAACATTAGCATCTAAAACGTTTGTGTAGAATTTTTAAACAAATTCACATCTTATGGAAGATGAATATTATATTTAACTATTAATTTAAACGAAGAATTTAAAACGATTAGATATTTCTTTACTTTTTTTCTTAACAATGCATATTACATAAGAATGCAATTTTAATATTATATCAAATGTTTTATTTTTGTAGAAAGTTCAACTTGATGAAGAAATAGCAGCGTTAAAACGAACATATAAAAAACATATGGAAGAAATTATGAGAAAAAACATGAATATTCGCCCAAAGTAAGTGAGAGACCTTTTCAATTAGTAAATATGAGTAAGATTTTTACTAAGAATAAATAAATTGTTGTTGTTTTTTCTTCTTCTAAAAACTAGTCCATTTTTGGTACCAACAAGAAAATGTACGATGTGTCGAACAGAACAATTGCTGGACCAATTTCATGAATGTTTTAGTAATGCTTGTCAACATGTTCAACGTACTATTTGTGACAATTGCATTTACAAAATTGCAAAATCTCGACTTCAGAACTCTCCTAATATACAAACAACTTGTCCAGAACCGAATTGTACGGCAGCGTTTGATATTAAAAAAATTTGTCATATGATTCCATCTGTGAGTAAAATCGAATCGGTACAAACTTCTAATCATCACACGAAGAGCCATAATCAAGAACGAAAAACTGAATTCATTTGGTGTGCTCATGAAGAATGTGGATCAGGACAATTTCATATTCTAGGTCAAACTGCGTCTCCAATAGTTACATGCGTTCTATGCAAACGACAAACATGTTCTATACATCATATGAAATGGCATAAAGGAGTTACATGTGAAGAATATGATCGACAACAAGAAGAACTTAAAAAAATAGACAAACAATGTCCCAAATGTCAATTTATAAATGAAAAGAATCCTGATACAGATCGAACAATATGTTCAAAATGTAAATATGAATATTGTTCAGAATGCAAAATAGATTATAAACAAATTCAAAAGATTGGTGTTAATCATCATAAAACTACATGCAGCCATTATAACAATGTTCCGAAAAAGCAAACATCAAAATCAAGTACTTGTACAATCTTATAGATAATAATCACTATTATTCTAATAAAATATGACTCGACAATTAAATCCAATTTGAATCTTTTCATTTTCGAAAACTTTTCAGTTCTTAAGTATATCATTAAGAAAATTTCCTCGCGATTAAATAGTTTTTCATTTCGACGTGTAATTAATATCAATGATAGTTCTTTTTCAGCGAACTAAATCGAATAATCTCGATTATATTTCAAAGAATTTTATATTTTATGTCCTTTTTCTTTTATTTATTAACACCCATTTGATTCAACTATCATCGAAAAAGTTCATCTTAATTGTACAATTAGTATCGACATAGCTAACAACATGTTTCGTATCGCCGTCGGATTTTTTCCTTTTACAAATTTACTAATGTATTCAACTTAGTTTGATTTGAAATCTGCTGAGCTTGATATTTTCAATAACAACATCTATTCTACTAATTGTAATTGAGAATCGGTCTTGATGGCTTCAACAAAGATAAGTCAATAAATGAAATCAGCAGTTGTTATCAATAAATTCGGGTTATCACAAATGACATTAATCAACAATTGATTTGTAAGGCTTTTATTCTGAAAGCACCTAAATAATTTTATTTAGATCAATAATTTATATGAACATGAACTAAGAGAAGTCAGAGACAATCGAAAATGTTCGAGTTTATTAGAAACCACATACGATTATTTATGTATATGCATCCACAGTAGAATATCTTGCTTTCATTATCGCAATTCACTCAATCGATATTATATCGAAAAACAAAGTATTCTGCGAGTATAAATATAGTAATCACTCTTCGTTTTCTTGTTTACATGTTTAAAGAAAAAATGATTTAAAATACACTGACTGAAAGTGAATCTATGTTTAGCTTTTTTTTGTCAATCAGCAAGAAATGTTTTTAAAAAAATATGATATAATAAGTAAAATTTTAAAAAATATCGGATTAATATAATATCTAATCTAGCGAAATATTATATTCTTCTTTTGGGTTATACTCAAGTTTTTATTGGGTTTTCTAAGTTTTTTACTGAATTTCCCCAAGTGTCGATTAGTTGATCACAGCTTTCTCTTATTATTTGACATAAAATTAAAATTAAAATTAAAATTTCAATATATCCAATGCAAAAATGTTTTCGTCGTTTAAATCGTTCATTCAAGATTAGAATTGTTCACATCGTTGAGCAACTCATTTGATCTAGTAGAAAACATGGCATATCAATTTACTTATGGTGACAGTGTTAATAATATCTCCTTTCAATGAATAAGTAGAAAGAAAGATCGACTCTGATTTTTCTCAGTTAAATAGACGAATCAAATATTGAAACAAAAGTAGAGAACGACATTCGGAAACTACAAAAAAAAATTTTGTTTTTCTTATGACAAATAATTATTTGAATTGAACTTCAGAGAAAAATATAGAACTACGATTGGCAAACAATTTTCTATATGTTGAAGTTCGATTGTTTTATGTCTCTAATGTGTAGAAAAATTAAAATAAAGATTCAAGATTGAAGACAAATAGTTAAATATGTGACAAGGCGTCATCTATGAAGTGATAAATTTGTTTGGTTATATTTAAATAGAATTGATTTGAACAGTATTCTACTGATATTATTTGGTATGAAGAATGAAATGAATCGATGATATAGACAAGACAAGATATAAAATATGATATCTCAATTATTTGTTATATGTTTTCATTTATTTGGATTTCTTCTTTTAATGCAAGGACTTTTTCCATATTCATCATCAATAAATAATATTAACAATCGATCTTGTTTTGATTCTCAAGGTTTTCTTTTTAAATAAATTAAATATTTTTATTTAAAAAAATTAAAAAAAATAAAATTTATGTTTAGAATCATCTAAACATCATGTGATAATTATGTTAATAGACGCACTTCGTGCTGATTATGTGTTCAATAAAAATCATTCGTATGTTTTAAAATCTATTGAAAAATTCGAAGAAAAAGGAAAAGTTTTATCGTATAAATTACGTAGTCATAGTCCAACAGTAACATTACCTCGATTAAAAGTAATTCTTATTCATATTTATATGTAACGATTAAAAATTTCTAATTGAAGGCATTATTAACAGGTACAATACCTTCATTTTGGGATATTATTTTTAATTATAATTCAAGTAAACTTGAATTAGATAATTTATTATTTCAATATAAAAGAAAATATCCTGAAAATAAAATAATTTTTTATGGTGATGATACTTGGATTAAATTATTTCCAAATGATATATTTTATCGATCAAAAGGTCTTCAATCATTTTTTGTTACAGATTTTAAAGAGGTTTGATTTCTTTCAAATAATTTTTATTTGAAAAAATGAAAAGAATATCTAAAAATTAATTTAGATTGATTTGAATGTAACTGATGGTCTTTATGAAGAATTAAATCGAATGAATGATTGGAATTTATTAATCGTTCATTATTTAGGTCTTGATCATATTGGTCATGCATATGGAGCATTCAATTCTTTTATTCAAGATAAATTAATTGAATACGATCAAATAATTGAAAATATTTTATTAAAAATGACAAAAAATGATATATTAATAATAACAGGTGATCATGGAATGGCTGATAAAGGTGGACATGGTGGATCATCATATGCTGAAACATATGTTCCAGCTATTTTTATTTCTCATCAATTTAAAGAAACAAAATATTCCAATTCAATGAATGAAGAATATCTTCAAATTGATTTAACACCAACATTAAGTGCTTTACTTGAAATATCAATTCCATCCAACAATCTTGGAATATTAATTGAAAATATTTTAGAAAAATTTTATCAAAAAACTAAACCTAATTTATTAAAATGTTTAATTAATGATAATGAAAGACAATTATATTCATTATTATCAAATAAAAAATTATCAATTTATTCAAATAATCTTAAATTAATTCGTGATCAAGCGATGTTAATATCGAATCAACAAGATTTAATTATACTTCTATTAAGTATAACACTTTTCTTCTCTGTAAATAATTTTCTTTAATTTATTAATAAATAGATCTAAAAAATTAAATTTTATTTTTTAGAGTACAATTCTATTATGGTTTAATATTGAAATAAAATCGTTTTTATCAATTATTATATTAATTCTATTATATACAATAACAAGAAAACTTTTGATTAGTTTGTCTATTTATGCCATTTGTTTTTGCTTCATTGTTATTCGAATGAACAAAACAAAGCAAATTCATTACAAATTAAAATATGAAAATAAGATTTCCAATTTATTTTTAATATTCTATCCATTATTACATTTGATATCATTATTTTCAAGTAGTTTCATTGAAGAAGAACATCAAATTTGGTATTATTTTTTATCAACCTATTTATTATTAAAAACGATTGAAACAAAATCTTTTAAAATTCTAATTATATTTATTTTATCTCGTTTCATACGTTCATGGAATCAAACAGGAAATAAATGGTTAAATTTAAAAGATGTTGGTGATTTTCTTAATCAGTAAAATTATTTGATTTTATTATTTCTTTCAATGAATTCGTTTGATTTGATTTTTTTATTCTAAATAGAAGTGAAAATGGAAATATATTAATTTTAGTTCATGTAATATCATCAATTATATTCATTTATCTAGTAAATAAACCTCGACAATATTCGATATCATATTTATTACCATTAATTGTTATTATTTATCGATGGAATTTAATCGGGTTGGTATCGAATTTTTTCAAATTCTTTTAAGTTTTACTTTATTTCTATCGAAATATATTAAATGAATTGATATCGATGTTAAAAAGAAAAACAGAATTCAGGAAAAAAATTAAAAATGCCTAATATCTAATTTTGAAGATTTAGTCAACAGTATAAAAGAAATTTCTTTTTATCATATCGTATATTAAGATTGAAATCATGAAAGTAAATCAACCATTTATAAGAAAATTTCATAATCAAGGCTTATCAATTAAGAAATATTCAAACATCATTTATTATTCATTTAGTTTTTACTGAGGATGATCACAATATACTGTTTTTTAAATAAACTAAAATATTTTAATATAATATAGGTAATACTACGAAGAGAAATTCTTTTGAGTATAACAATCATGATTAATATTTTCCGCAGTAAAAAAACCGATAAATAAATTGATTAACGTCGAAAATATTTGTTTTTATTTTCTTCTAGTGATTTATCAAGTTTAACACCATTACTGTATTATGCATTAATAGCTCTATTGATGATTGTCAATCGATTTTCATTGGAAACATTTTTATTCAGTTTATTATATATATTATGTCGTTCACATAATTCTGTTATAATTATTGTTCATATGATATCTTATCGATTTATCAATGAAAATGACGCTCGTGTTTTATTTTTATTTAGTCAATCAGCTTTTTATCATCTAGTTTGTATTTAAACAGCATTTTCCTCTTGCAAATATTTATTTATTACAGGGCAATTCAAATTCATTTGTAACAATTGATATTTCATCTGGTTTTGTTGGTATTCCAATTTATATTCCAATAATTCACGGAATATTTATTTATTTATCAACATATGGTTTGTCAATAATTTGGCTATTAAAATTATCGAAAAACGAACAAATCATCTATTTAATTCAAATGACATTGATAAATTGTATATTTTCATTGTGTATTTTTATTCAACGTTATCATCTATTTATTTGGACTGTTTTTGCACCGAAACTTGTTTATTTATGTGCTCAAACAGCTTTTCATTTATTTCTTTTTTTTATGATAAAATAAAGTTAAATTTTCGTTCGTTTTTTTCTCCTTTAAAATGCAATCACTTGAAATCTTCATAAACCTTAGGTGGTCGATAATCATCTATATGAATATTTTTTTATTTCAAAATAAAATAAAACGAATACACTACTCTACGTCATTTTTTATTCGAATCAGTTATGTGACATAACTTATGTCATCTACATTCGATGGCGCATTAAGTGTTGCTAATGTCATTGGAATAGTTATTGGAATCATATCAACAATTGCAACAATAATTTGTTTAATCATTATGATTTATTATTGTTGTAAGAAGAAAAAACGAAACAATGCATGGATAGAATCACCACCACCACCACCTTATAATTATCATAATCAATCTTATCAACAAGCGATAAATAGATCTTATCATAATTAATTTCAACAATATCAACACTGATTGAAGTCAAAACGAAAGGACAAATGAAAACTTTAATCGCAAATGTTTTATGAACTATTGTCATTATGAATATATGAATAAGAAATATTATTCAATATAAAAATGACTGTTTACTCTAAAAAAAGAATTTTTCAGAGTAAAAAACATTTGACCGAAATAATGTTTGATCTATTCGTATTGTCGATAAAACTTAAATTATTAATAAAAGAGAATAATCTTGTTTTACTTTTAAAAAAAAAATTCTATATAATTCGAGTACAACCGAACAAATTGTCTATTTTATGTAAAAATAAATTACTGTTAATGAAAAGAACTCTTATAACTATGATCGATAATTTGAACAGATAAAAAAATGTGCTTTTTCTGAGAAAAGTTTATTATTCTAGCAGATAGAAAACGATCTACGGTGTTCTTATTGAATATTATTATCATAAATGACTAATAACAATCAAATAGACTTCAAATAGAGAAAAATGTTTTGATTGTTTATAAATTTTGTTTTTTAAATATTATTATATTTGATTAAATGAATAAAGAAATCTATAGTTTAATTATATTGACAAGAATGGACGGACATATAAAATAAAGAAAGAGAAAAAAAACTGAAGGCACATGTTTATAAATATCGATGATTACCAACTGGAATATGAAGACGTTTACCAGATATAATTGGTGGTAATAGTTCAATTGTTGTTGTTGTTGTAGTTGTTGTTGTTATTGTTGACGATGATGGCATTGTTGTTCGATGCACTCCAGTTTTTGATGATGATCGATTATTTGAAGGAAATTTTCGAATATTTTGCATTGTTTGATATTGGTCATTTGATTTTATTGAAGTTTCATGTGATAAGAAATTTTCATTCGAAGAAGAATTCGTTGTTTCTAAATTTCTTCTAAGAATAACTTTTTGCGGTTGTTGTTGTTGTTGTTGATATGTTGATGATGGAAGAGGAACTAAATAGATATATTTTGTTTTATGTTATTTTATGATTAAAACAATAATTAGAAAAATCTTTATTACTTGGTTGAGTTGAAGGTCTGCTACTTGAAACAGACGACGAATCATTATCTTGTAGAAAAGTTTTTTGAGCCATTTTTTCAAGTGAAACACTTTGAAAATTCTTTTGTGAAGATAAATCAACTGGTGTTACTGTCAGACCAAATGTTGGTTTCGGATAGATTACTAGAGGAGGAGTTGCATTCGATTTTTGTTGTTGAAATGATAATGTACCATTTAAATCTTCCATTTTCAAATAACGATCTTCAATTAATTTTGATTCTATTCGATTTTGCTGTTTTATTTCAACTGGAGGCACATTTACTAACGAGCGATTTCCATTTAATGTTGATGCACCACGTGTTAATAACGATGTTAAATGTTCTTTTAATAAACTTTTTAATGTATCTTGATTTAATGATGAATTTGTCTGTTGTTGTTGCTGAGGAGGAGAAGGAGATTTATGTGTGGAATGGCGAAGTGGAAGACGAACTTCATTTGTCTGTGATAATTGAATAGACGTAGCTAAAAGAATGAATTAATTCTAATATTATAAATAAATATTGAAAAATAAACAAACATTGTCGAAAAGTATTTGTTGGAACTGGTGGCATTTGATCTTCAATCAATGATTTTTGATTTGACCAACTGTTTTCTGTTAAAAGATCTTTTTCTTTTCTTAACAATTGTCGAATTCTTTCTGGAGTAAAATTATTTGTCGTTAGTTTTGCATTTGCATGAAAACCTTTCAATGAAATAGGTGCTGAATTTGGTTTTTCATGACGAGGTAAGTAAAGTCCAATATCATTATGAAAATCTAAATGGCGACGAGTTAAATCATCTTTTGTATTTGAATTTTCAACTGATGTCCATCTATCGAGACCATCAACCCATTCAGGTCTATGAGCAAAACGAGAACAATATTTAAATGGACTATTTGATACTTCAATTAGACGTGTTGTTAATGATCGATCAACGGATGGACAACAATAGCCAGACCGGGATGAACATTCTTCGAATTCCGACAAACCCATCGTTTTATATTGATTAACAACAAAAAAACATTCCTTTTTCTTCTTCTTTTCATCGAGTTTTTCAATGGAACTATTCGAGTAAGACTTTTAACCAATAAGAATAAAGAGGTATAAACACTAACAACATGATTTATCTTCATAACAACAATAGATTTTTAATAATGAGTTTTTTTTTCTTTTAATCTCGAGAAACATTTCAACAGAGAAATTAATACGAGAAACATTATCGAAAATATTAAATTGTTTACATTTATAATTCTTTGTAATAATAAAAATCAATATTGGAAATTTCAACTGTAATCATCAATCAATCCATTGATTTACGGTTCTATTCACCGATAAGAAATACTTATGAGTTATTAAAATGGTAATATTATCAAGTTGTATTCAATATAAAAATGAGTAGAGTTTATTGAATTGTTTATATCCTAAAGTGCCAAACATTTCAAGTATGAAGTTACAAAGGCATTTATTTTCTTTAAGATTTATTGGTCGTATATTTTTTATTTTTTGATGAATAATTAAGACCAACGATCATAACTCAGGAACACTCTTTTTAGGCTTATAATCGTAGAATTCAAATACTTTCATAATTTAAAAAGCAGACAAATTATACTGTAGAAGAAAAAATCTTCGACTATGAAACCATTTTCATCGTATGAATGAGGAATACTTTTTAATTCTATATATATATATATATCTTAGCATAAAAAAATCAATGAGAAAAAAATCCTTGGGTGTGGGTGTGAGTGCCCATGTCGTACAGTTTTTGTCACTACCGCCGGTATATCGCGGTACTCATAATAACCGACGGTGCACCGGCGGTTTACCGGCGGTAGCGCTTGTAAGCTCCGGTTCCAGTTAAAAAGGCTTCCAGAAACCGTTTTTTGTCAAATCACTATTTATTTCAGAAAAAGAATTCGAATTAATCGAAAACAAAACTATTGTAGTTTATATTTTGAGAATTATTATTTTTTACAGCGACATCTTTAATAAAATATTTATCTCATAAATGTGACTAATTTGAGAAGTGTGCCCATGTCATCAAAATCGCGTCACTTTTGGCGATTAATCGCAAAATTGAAGAAAATCGCCAATTAATCGCGATTTCACGGGAAAAATCGACGATTCATTGCGATTAATCGGCGATTTTTCAATTACCAAAAGAAATCGGCGATATATCGTGATATATCGCGATTAATCAGCGATTTTTCTAACAGAAATGAAAATCAAAGATAATTCGCGATTAATCGCCGACTACGCCGATTTTTGCGATTAATCGTAATTTTAAAAAAGACAGAAAATATGCGTACATAGAGGGAAATTTATGTTCTTCTTATTTTTTGAGGACACATATATTAGTTTCTGTTCGTTTTTTATAAACATTTCAAGAATTTTAATAGTAAAGTATATGTGAGAAAAAAGTCGGATTGAATTTTTACTGGCTAATTTGTTGTATCCAATAACAACATGGACACATAGCCATTGTTCTTCTCATGCATCAGTGTTCCTAATGGGAATCTGAAATAGAATGTATAAATACACTACGATAGTTTTGAGCATCATGGTTTCGTACACTTTGTTTCGAAGATCAAAGTGTACAAAGTGTATAAGACAAATTTAAACTACAACAAAGTCATTTTAAGGTGATTCTAGCGTTTGTTTTTCTTTTATTGTTTTCTTCAACAATAATTTCAGTCCGCTTTACACTCATATGAAATAATAAAGAAGCTATAACGACAAAGTACAAATGCAATGGCATGTAATCTACTTGATGTATGAGTATGATACTTGTAGCGACTTTTCCGAATAAACTATTATGTAGTATTGTTTTTGGTGAATGGTTTACAAAACATCTCTCACACATGTTTTATTCTTTTATTAGGCGATGAGACATCAACTGTAAATGAGAAACCTGCTAAAATAATTATCTTCATTATTTTGTTAGTATGGTTCGATCAATGCTAAATCTGATTCAACCTCGAAAATTCGAGTATTAGATAATTGGTAATTGAAAAAATTTACTCTTGATTAGTCATGTTTCTTATTTATTTTCTCGAGGAACAGAGCATGAACGAGATTCGCCAAATCTTGATGATGATTCAAGAATAAAGAAAATATATGGAAAGAAGACATAAACGAAAGTGGTATTCATGATATGTCGCACTTTTTTTAATCTGATTTAGATGCAGTAGAACATAAATTTGGTTATCACCCGACCGGATGTCAATTATCTGGCACCTATTCATGACTCTATGTTGTGCAAAAGAAGAAATCAACAGAAAATTTTATTCAAAATCAACCACAGGTAAATTTTGATTAATTTTTATCCGTCAGCCTTCGAATATTGATCCTTCCGTTGATGGGTAGGCACACCGAATCAAAGTATTTTATCATCACAAATCCAATCATCAGAAGAAATCTAATTTTTCACGCTTGGAAGAAACAAACAGAAGACACTGATATTTTATTTGTTGCTAATACGAAAACGATAACCTAATGTAAATGCACAATTTTGTGTTATACGAAAAGTGTTTTCTGTAATTACTTAGCTGATATTTTATTTATTATCGTATTATGTTACATTGTTCATTGTATTGCGCACGCATTGTGTTAGAATATCACGTCGCTCATGAAAACTGCTGTCATAATTTCATGAAACGTATTGTCTGAACAATAGCTTATTAGTAAAAACTGAAGAAAAAGTAGTACACATGCATACTATGTATTAAAAGATACCCATAACATTACTGATTAATAATCAATATTCAAGAAAAAACAACGCGCAAAAATTGCGATAATTTATCAAAATCGGCAAAAGCCGACAGTTTTGGCGATTTAATCGCGATATAATCTCACGGTTATCGGACTAACATATCGCGATTAAATCGCCGATTTTAGCGCGATTTCTATGGCATGGGATCTTATTTATAACAAACAGTAAATATTTCTATTTTAGACAACAGTTGTCTCACTATCAACAGCTCTTTATGCCCCTATTGTTTCACATTATCAGTAGCAGTTTATTCGATATTTATTATTCCTTCCATGTCATTATCTTGGAGATGTTGAGTGCTATCAACAGCTGTACCTTTATTGGTTTTGTTTAGAGTATATATTATCGATATTTGACATGCAACATCAATCAATGTTGAAATAGTGCCTTGAAATTCTATATTGGAATTCCTAATATTTTTTATTGATATTAAATCTAATAATAGATTTTGTAAATTTCCAAAATAATAAGATAACTGATATTTTTCACTGTTTCCTACTTTTTATTTGTAAAAACAAAAACAAAAACAAAAACAAATCCCACGTACAAATAAAAGCATTAGATCTAATATACATGAAAATATTGAATGATATTTTGTCGTTGTATATAAGTATATCCTACATAAAGTTAAATGCGTATTTAATAGTAAAATAGACACATTTTAAACCGTAATATATGTCATTGAAAGTAAAGTAATAGAAAAATTGGAATTTTAAGACTCAAAATAAAACATTAGTATAAAAAAATTCTATAAAAATTTTAGTTAAAATTTTCTAAATGAAACATTCTTGGTTATTTTGTTTCGAAAGTGTAAAGCATGATTTGAGAAGCGAAAATGAATAAATATTGAGAAAGAATATAATTGAGATTCATGAAATTTCATGTCTGATCGATTCAATTGATTAAAGATCAGCTGTTTCTTTTACTTTCTTTTTAGCTTTTCCGGCTGCTTTCTTCACTGTATCAGAAACTTCCTCCGGATTTGGTGTAGTTTTGTCAGTTGCATCAGAAGCAGTATTTGATGATAATCCTACAGGTTCTAGAAGATTATTTTAAAAGAAAAAGAAAAACAAGAATAAACTTTTATTAATTCAAGTTCTACTATACCAAAAATTGAATTTTTAACATCTTCAAACATATGAAAAAATTTACCAACGAAACCATCATTTGTTTTTTCTTCTTGCTCTTGAGTTTCTTCAACAGTCAATTTTATATTTTCACTGGTATCACTTGTTGTATGTTTCTCCTTTTCATGTTGGTCTACATAAAAGAAACGTATTTGTTGTCTAAAAATAAAAGCGATTTAACTACTTACCGGATGCCTTTTCGACGACTTTTTCATTTTTTTTCTTATTTGATTTGGCTGCTTGACTAGCTTGATGTTTTCTAAAAAAAGCAAATATATATCGTATTGTATTTCAATATACTTTGAGTTGAACTCACAAGTTTTCTGTGCTCTCACTAGCTTTTTTCTTCAGTTCTTTATCTGCTTTCTTGGTCGCGTCAAGGTTTTTGCCTGACGTTGCTTTAGCAGTTCCTGCCGATTTTTTACCAGCTTTGTGTGTTTCAGCTAAATCAACAATAGAATGAAAATGCAACACATACTCAACTGCACTGTAAGTTTTTTTTAAAAGACAATAAATTAAGAATAGCTTTGTTCTTGAACAAAAATTTATCATTAGAGACATTAAAATTATGTTGTGGAAAATCTTAACGTGATACATTTAGTTGTAAGATACATCACTGATGAACATTTAGATTTTTACCATGCTATCGTGATTTTTAAATGCAAGTCTTGTCGATAAATATGTGAATAAATCTTTGTTTTTTTTACAAATATTAGTATTCGATTGATCTGAAGAAAATTTTTTTATTTCATAAACTAATAGATTAAGAAACCATTTGTATCCCATCCATTACTTTTTGTAGGCTGCTATATCATCCTATTATCAATTTTTCTTTTTAACTTGACAAAATCCTTTTTTTTTCAAACTAAAATCAGTGATACTTATAATCAATATTATCATTGGAAAAATAGATACACACAACAGTTACATATTCCATAGATGTTCGATTCACTATAATATAATCACTTAATTTTAAAAAAATGATTTTTTTTACTATTGAAGCCTAACCTAGACTCTAATAAAAGAAAAGTTAAATTAAGTTTTTATATATGGCTATTTGTTTACTGTAAAGATCGTAGTGTAATATAAATTCATTTATATGATTTTCGAAATTTTTTAAGGCTTCAATAGCACGTTTGAATATGCGTGTCTTGAATCAAAATACATTTATTCTACTCGTCACTGTAACAAGTTATTATGGTCACTAATTTGACTAATCAAAGAAGTGAACATAAATATTTCTAAACTTAGCAGATGTCTCATTAGTTTTCTTCTCTTATGGATTGAAATATATATTGAAAAAAAAATCCGTTGCAGCCATCCCATGTGAATGAATCCGACAACGGATCTTATCGAATCCTATGGGATCCGATAGAATTCCTGGATACGGACCTATTGTTGGTTCCGACGGATAATATAATTTGTCTATTCATGATCAAATAAGCATTTTTAGCCATCAGAGCGCAAGGGTGATTCGTTAGAGTTGGATTCCGTTAAAATCCAATATCTGATCCGATTGAATCCAATACTAAGGATCCGACTGTAGGCCCGTGTCCAAGAATTCCATAAGATTTCGTCGGTTTTATTGAAACACATATGGTATTCGGTATATTCACTGTTTGACCCTTATCGGAATCCGATAGGATCCTACTGTCAGAATGATTCTCCTGGGATGAGTATGTCACAGTGATATTTGATGTTATGTTCGATATTTTTCAGCAATTATTGTAAATAAACCTCATCGGTTATTTTGATCAATTGAAGAGTTTTATTTGTTAAATAAAAGAAAAAGCTTACAGGTTTTTCCTTTTAATTTGTCGGCATTGTCCTTGCTGGCATCATCTTTAGCAGAATGATGACGCTCAGTAACAATATTAATAGTGTGTTGCTATTGAAAAACGCTATTTAAAATCTGATGAGAATAATTATTCAACATACTTTCACTTTTCCTCCTTGATTCAGTGTTTCTTTCAGTTTTTTAACATCATCGTTAGAATCACCATTAATAATGATGAAGTAAAGAACAACAATTATAAAACATTTCAGCATAATCAAAGAACTTTCAATACTGAATAAATATATATGTTGAAAAATGGATCAATCTAAAGTAAACAAAAATTTTTTATAAATTATGTACTTTCGCATTTCATGTTAAATGATCAAAATAGAATAATGCGAATACGAATCAATAGCAATAAATTTTTAAAGCTAATCCGTCTCGTTGGCTTCGTTTCGAAAATCACAAATACCTTATGAATAAATGTCGCTACATGCATCGTTAATAAAAACGTTGATAGTACTGATTCCTAGACAAATAAATTTATATATTGATTTTTTTCGCTTGGTTAAATCATAAATATAGTTCAGAAAAAATAAATCTTTCACTAATAGTAATTTTCGAATTCTTAATATGCAATAAATCTTATCAATAAAATTTAACTCTATTCAATGAGTAAAAATTCTTTCTCATTTTTGATTATTTTAGTAGTTGGAGGCGTGAAAGAAAGAAGAATGACTCATCCAATACAAATATCCATTTTGTTGTATCTAACAGCCGTCGACATTCTTATTTAAAAGATAAGATTATATTTTAACCAAGACCACAAAAATCTTCATTTCTATCTTCTCTTTTTTTTGATAAAAACAAAATATAAAATTTTCATTTTACATTTTCTATCTTGAAGATCAGAAACATGGCAGGACAATTGCCTATTAAATTTCAAGAACATCTACAAGTAAAACGCTAGTTTCATTAATGATTAAATTGAAATTCTTGTTGTTGTTTTAGTTACAAAGTGTCGGTATCAATGTTACAAATATTGGTTTCAGTTCCCTTACGATGGAATCCGATAAATTTATATGCGTTCGCGAGAAAGTTAATGATACAGCCTTTGTTATTATTATTGATATGGCCGATCCAACGAATCCAATTAAGCGACCTATTACAGCAGATTCAGCCATCATGAATCCAACAAGTAAAGTCATTGCATTAAAAGGTAACGTAAATAATTTAGTGGAAAATAAAATAATAAGCAAGAAATGAATTTTCTTTAGCTGGTAAAACATTACAAATTTTTAATATTGAATTACGTAGTCGAATGAAAACATATACTATGACAGAAGATTGTATATTTTGGAAATGGGTTAGTGTTAATACCATTGGTATTGTTACAGAAACATCAGTTTATCATTGGACTACGGAAGGTGATAGTCAACCCGTTAAAATGTTTGATCGTCATCAAAGTTTACTTGGTTGTCAAATAATTAACTATCGTACTGATGAATCTTTGCAATGGCTTCTTGTTAATGGTAATAGAATGATTTTATATACATTTATTTTCTTCTTTTATTACTATTATTTTTGTTTTTGTTTTCAGGTATTCAAGCTCAAGAAGGTCGTGTTGTTGGTCGTATGCAACTCTATTCAGTTGAACGTAAAGTTTCCCAGCCAATTGAAGGGCATGCAGCTGCATTTACACAATTTAAACTTGAAGCAAATAAAAAAACATCAACACTTTTTTCATTTGCTGTTCGGGGTCCACAAGGAGGAAAAGTAAATAGAAAGCTTCGTTTTATCTTCTTTTATCTTTTCCTTCTTTTTATATCTTAGCTTCATATTATTGAAGTTGGAACACCAGCACCAGATAATCAAGCATTTCAAAAGAAAGCCATCGATGTTCAATTTCCAGCTGAAGCACCAAATGATTTTCCTGTTGCTATGCAAACATCAGCTAAACATGGTGTCATTTTTTTGGTTACAAAATATGGTTATGTACACATGTTTGATATTGAAAGTGGAACACTGATCTACATGAATCGTATTAGTGCTGAGACAATGTTTGTTACAGCACCCTATGAACCAACATCAGGCATTATTGCTGTTAATCGTAAAGGACAAGTAAATAAAATAAATGTGTTTTTGAAGAAATTACTATCTTACATCGTGTTTTCTTTCATCAACAGGTTCTTTCAGTTAGTGTTGATGAAGAAAATGTTGTTTCATATGTTCAAAATACATTAGGCAACGCTGAACTTGCTTATAAAATGTCAGCACGATGTAATTTACCGGGCGCTGATCAATTATTTCTTGCACGATTTGCACAATTGTTTCAAAGTGGAAATTATGGTGAAGCAGCTAAGGTTGCTGCTACAGCTCCACGAGTAAGTTATTTTAAATTTACATAAACATTTGTTTCATATTTGAATATTTTGAGACTTGAAACATAAATCAATATATATCACGGATATAACAAAAACTAACGAAGAGGAGATTGCTGAATAGAATGAAAATATTAAATATTATTACAGTACAAAGCTAATATGGGAGTGAACAGTTAGGCTAGTTATATTCAAACTAATTATGTTTCAATATTGCTACAAATTTTGCATGAGAATGAAATATAAACACGACCTTACTTGATCATTCCGTACGCTTTCTAACCGATGTATAGAATATGAACAATTTCGATAGAATTAATTCAAATGGTTATTATACTGTTAGGTGGAGAAATTTTGGAATTTCGGTTAATAAATTTAAATGGCAGATCTCTGCAAAACAATATTCAGTACAATATGAAAATCATTTCTGAACTTAAATAAGATATACATATAAACGACTTTTACTGGCAAAATAACAATTGTTTGACAGATGTAAAACGTTTTTCTCTCTTAATTCAGCGTATTTTGTGAATTGAAACTATTTGCTTAAAGATAGATCTTTAGAAATCATTTAACAAACTTGTTGATGTGAGATTAACAGAATGATAAATTATTTTATGTTTAGGGAATTCTTCGTACTCAACAAACAATTCAACAATTTCAAACGGTACCAGCACAACCAAATCAACCATCACCGTTACTTCAATATTTCGGTATTTTATTGGAATCCAGTAAATTAAACAAAGAAGAATCAATTGAACTCTGCAAACCAGTCGTAGGACAAGGCAAAAAACAATTATTAGAAAAATGGTTAAAAGAAGATAAAGTGAATAAATAATATTATCATGTTTAATAAAAAAACAAATTGTTATCTGCTTTTTTTTTGCCTTACTAGCTTGAATGTAGCGAACAATTAGGTGATCTTGTTAAATCAATTGATCCAACATTAGCATTATCAGTTTATTTACGTGCCAATATTCCAATGAAGGTCATACAATGCTTTGCTGAAACAGGACAATATCAGAAGATCGTTCTCTATGCCAAAAAAGTTAATTATCAACCTGATTATATTTATCTTTTACGAAGTATAATGAGAATCAATCCCGATCAGGGCGTTCAATTTGCACAAGTAAAAACAAAACAAAAATATGAAATTGATTGTTTTGTTTTTTCTTTTCTTTTTTTTCATAATAGTTACTTGTTCAAGATAACGAACCATTGGCTGATTTAACACAAGTTGTTGATGTTTTTGTCGAACAAAATCTCACTCAACAATGTACAGCATTTTTACTTGAGGCTTTAAAAAATAATCGAGAAGATCAAGGGCATTTACAAACGCGTCTATTAGAGATGAATTTAATGCAAGCACCACAAGTAAGTTCTTAAGAAAAAAAATTCAATAATTGCTTATCTATTTACTGTTTGTAATAAGGTTGCTGATGCTATCTTGGGTAATAATATGTTTTCACATTATGATCGACCACATATTGCAAAATTGTGCGAAAACGCTGGTTTGCTTCAACGTGCACTTGAACATTATACAGATACTTATGATATTAAACGAGCCGTCGTACATACACATATGCTTAATCCAGAAGTAAGTTTTTTTATTGAAATGTTTTTATCAATGTAAAACGTTTTCCTTTTCAAGTGGCTTGTCAATTATTTTGGTCGATTATCAGTTGATGATTGTGTTGAATGCTTAAGAGCAATGCTTCAAGCAAACATTCGTCAAAATTTACAAGTTGTTGTGCAAATTGCAACGAAATATCATGAACAACTTGGAACACAAAAACTTATTGATTTATTTGAATCATTCAAAAGCTATGAAGGTAAAATGAGTTCAGCCAAGTTTTTATAGAGATTTTAAAAAAATGAAATATTCTATTTTATTTTCAAACCTATGATGTTGAAGTTAAGAAATAGAAAAGTTCATTGGTTTGCTCTCAGTAACATAGCAAGTGCTTATTGACTATTATCGAGACTGATTTGATTCTGATTAGATAGAACTAGAAGTAAAACAATCTATCTTTGTAATGTAACAGTATTCTTAGCTGTTAGCAACGATTTTTAAAAACGAACGTAATCATTAGATCATTTAAAGTTATGTTTGATGTCGATTAGATTCACTATTTAAGCTTCAGGTCAGCAGAGCACTATAAAAGATATATCAGGTAAGAATAGCATAAGTTGATGAGTTGATATTGTATTAAAATTCGCCTATATAGTTGTAGAAAACAAAGCCATAATCTACCGGACTCTATCCAGTCGATTATAATTTTTATGCATAGATATTAACTACAAGATGTCGTGATCAGAAATCTTTTTCTCCCTGAAACAGGATATGCGGGAATTATTAGAATTCCTCAGAGGTTTGAATCTATGTAAATATGAGTCTAGTTGCAATTCGTAACTATATTTTGTTTCATCATGATCATATTTCAATAAGGATAAACTGCGGGAGCCCTGACCGGATGAGGTACGTCTCTGACTCGTAATAAGAGCGTACGAGGTTCGATTCCCCCTCCCGCACAAAGCACACTGTCTTAAAAAAAATATATTGTACAAGCTTATTGACTTTAATCTTGTCTTACAAGCAATCTGGTTAGACACATCGTATATTATCTTGTTGGAATGTATCTGCATGCTGGAAGGTCGTGTTTCAATGTTTCGTTGAATGGCCACATAAAACAACCACTATATTCCATGCTTTGCTCCTCTATGCTTATGCTTGCTTTTCTCTTTTTGTGCAACTTGTTAATTGTAAGCTACACTGTCCCTTTAGGACCGACATGGTCAGAGGGTTTAATTTCCCATAATAAAAGAAAAAGAAAAAAAAATAAGGATAAACTATTTCCTTCCGAAGTTATGATCATTTTATGAAAAATGCAATCTATATTATTCTTTAGAGATAAAAAAATAATTGCTTTGATTAGTTCAAATCTCAATAATTATAAACCTTAATCGTATCAAGTTTTAGTTCTAATACTAATAGACAACTGTAATCTACGAGGCATTTTACCTGTTGTCAGGGAACGATATAAATTTAAGAAATCGATTTCGTAATCTCGAACTATCGAAATTTTCGTGCAGGTTATAATAGATAGCATGTTGTCTAGTTCTAGTGCGCATTTAGAAACGAAACAGTATATAGTGCAATTGATAAAACTATCGGTGAACAAGTTCGATCCTGCCTGGTATCGCTCGTATCATATCCTCGTAGTGACACGACGAATGCCCAGGCCATATTAAAATGGATTATGAAATTCAGCTCATTAAATTTCTAATATAGTTTAATGATCCTGAGAACTCCTACAGTTTTTTTACTATTGTTTGCAATGATTTTTGTTAATTTCCTATTTGTATTTTAGGTCTATTCTATTTTCTTGGTTCAATCGTTAATTTTAGTCAAGAGCCAGACGTCCATTTTAAATACATTCAAGCAGCATGTAAAACCGGTCAGATAAAAGAAGTTGAACGTATTTGTCGAGAATCAAATTGCTATGATTCTGAACGCGTTAAGAATTTCTTAAAAGAAGCGAAATTAACAGATCAATTACCATTAATTATTGTTTGCGATCGATTTAATTATGTTCATGATCTAGTTCTTTATTTATATCGCAATAATTTAATGAAAAATATTGAAATTTATGTCCAACGAGTATGATAAATTTTGTTATTCGCTTGTTAACATGAAATTTATTTCATTAAATTTTTAAATTTCTATGTAGGTTAATTCAGGTCGTTTACCAGTAGTTGTTGGTGGTCTACTTGATGTTGATTGCAGTGAAGATAATATTAAACAATTAATTCTTTCTGTACGTGGAAATTTTAATGTTGATGAACTTGTTGAAGAAGTTGAAAAAAGAAATCGGTTTGTAGAAATCATTTTGCTTTTGAATTTCAATTTAACATTAAATTGGTATTTATTTAGAACAAAATTACTTTTACCATGGCTTGAAACACGTGTTCATGATGGCAGTACAGATCCAGGTGTTCATAATGCATTAGCTAAAATTTATATTGATTCCAATAGCAATCCAGAAAAATTTCTTCGAGAAAATACTTATTATGATAGTCGTGTGGTTGGAAAATATTGTGAAAAACGAGATCCACATTTAGCTTGCGTTTCTTATGAACGCGGTGGTTGCGATATTGAACTTGTCACAGTAAGTGAATAAATAATTTGAAGGAAAAAAATGACTAAATCTAGGAATTGTGACTGTCAGCTATCATTCATTCTGACGTTCAACGAAGATTAAAGATGTTCTTCTAGTCTAACTGGTTAGGATATCTACCCGGTTAGCAGAAGGTGTGTGTTCGAATCTCAAATAGATCACTTCTTCTGCGGTCTGTCACATAACATTCGTAACACACTATTTGTCTTTTACATATTCTAAACATATATGAAAACTTATAGGAATGATGACAGAAGTTAATAATCATGAAATGCAAAAACATGATTCAAAAACACTTTTGTATTCGTACTGTCTGACCACAAAGATCTTTCATATGGATTAATTCATATATATATACTCAAGAGAAATAGGACAGTTTCTAAACTCGAATATTTTATTGCAACTAGAGAATTAAAGAAAATTTAAACAAGTTCAGGCTACATTTCAGAACTAAATTTCATTTAGATTCGAGTTTATTGTGTCTGAGTGTAGTTAGGTAAAATTTGCTGCTCTATAAAAGAATATGAACTCATGGATTTCTAATTGCTGCATGTAATGTACAATGCTTGAAGAATAATAAATACTACTTGTTTTAATTAGTATTGTTAGAAATAATAATTGACTACAACTAAAGTAATTTTCTTTCGTATGAATTAGAATAAATTGTAAAAAATGTCAAAATTTACTTTTCTTTTTCCTTGTTATGTTAAGTTTTTACATGTTTGTTTCAACCGTTATAGAATAACAGTTAGAATGACATTCAAATATCAAATTTATTTTCTAAAATTTTCTATTCAAACTTGATGAAACAGAAAAAGTATAGCTAACATTTTCAAGAGTACGTAGAATTCTTATGGATACGATTTACAGTTAGTTGATAACTTTGACATCGATGTGATTCAATTTTAGGTTTGCAATGAAAACTCTTTATTTAAAAGCGAAGCACGTTATTTGGTACGCCGTAAGGATCCAGTTTTATGGGAACAGGTTCTACGTGAAGATAACCAATATCGGCGACCATTAATCGATCAAGTTATTCAAACAGCTTTAGCTGAAACTCAAGATCCAGAAGAAATATCAGTTACAGTTAAAGCATTTATGACTGCTGATTTGCCAAATAATTTAATTGAATTATTAGAAAAAATTGTTATTGACAATTCAGTATTTAGTGAACATCGGTAAGTTTGTCATTTTAGGTTTTGCCATTTTTTTATTTTTATTAAATTGATTTTGCTTTTAGCAATTTACAAAATTTACTTATTTTAACGGCTATCAAAGCTGATCGTTCACGTGTCATGGATTATATCAATCGTTTAGAGAATTATGATGCACCAGATATAGCTAATATTGCAATTAGTAATCAATTATTTGAAGAAGCTTTTTCGATTTATAAAAAGTTTGAAGTTGCTACATCAGCCATTCAAGTCCTTATTGATCATATTAAAAACTTAGATCGAGCTTATGAATTTGCTGAACGCTGCAATGATCCTAGTGTATGGAGCTTATTGGCTAATGCGCAAATACGTCAAGGTTTAGTTAAAGAAGCAATTGATTCATTTATTAAAGCTGATGATCCAACATCGTATCTTGAAGTTGTTAATGTTGCAACACAGAATAGTAAATATATGACACAGCTTTCTTGTCAAAGCTAATTGTTTTTTTAAATTTCGTTTTGTTATATAGACAACTGGGAAGATTTAGTTCGCTACTTACAAATGGCTCGTAAGAAAGCACGAGAAACATTCGTTGAAACTGAATTAGCATTTGCTTATGCAAAAACAAATCGTCTTGCTGAACTTGAAGAATTTATTTCAGCACCAAATCATGCACAAATTCAAACAGTAAGTTAATCAATTTCTTTTACAGTTTCGCTCAGTTGAAAAACAAAAATTATGACGATGATTGAGTTGTAAATATTCCTAAGTATGTCTAGATCATAAAAAATCTTGTTTCGTAATTATTTTCGAGACAACAAACTTGATATAAAATTAAAATTCATAGTAATCGAAAGAGTTCATACATTTTATCAATTAATCATAATAATAAATAATTGATTTACATGTTTTCTTGGTAGGTTAAAATTTGATATAGTAAATTATTCTAAAATTTCTCGAGTTTTTAATTGTTTACGAGTGTTTCTGAAAAAATATTTTAGAGTTTTGTTTTTCAATACTTTTATTATTATTTAAATAAAAACTAAAATTTTCAATGGCTAATTTAGGTTGGTGATCGATGTTTCGAACAAGAAATGTATGAGGCTTCTAAAATTCTTTATAATAATATATCAAACTATGCAAAATTAGCTGTTACCTTATGTCATTTGGGTGATTATCAAGGTGCAGTTGATGGTGCACGTAAAGCAAATTCAACCAAAACATGGAAAGAAGTATGTTTGTCTTTAAACCTATTTCAGAAGACAAAATATAAAACATTTGTTTGTTATTTTAAATTAGATTTGTTTCGCATGCATCGACAAACAAGAATTTCGTTTGGCACAAATGTGTGGTATTCAAATTGTTGTACAAGCTGAAGAACTTGAAGAATTAATAAATTATTATCAAAATCGTGGTTATTTTGAAGAATTAATTCAACTACTTGAAGCTGCACTTGGTCATGAACGTGCACATATTGGAATGTTCACTGAATTAGCTATACTCTATTCCAAATATAAACCACAGAAAATGCGTGAACATTTAGAATTATTCTGGTCACGAGTTCGAAAACCAAAAGTAAAAGAAAACCAAAATTCAAAAATACATTTTTAATTAATTCATTTTTAAGGTTTTGCGTGCATGCGAACAAGCACATCTCTGGTCAGAACTCGTATTTCTTTATGATAAATATGAAGAATTCGATAATGCAATATTAACAATGATGTCACATCCATCGGAAGCATGGCGTGAAAATCATTATAAAGATATTATTAGTAAAGTCGCAAATATTGAATTATATTATAAATCAATTGATTTTTATTTGGAATTTAAACCAATGTTATTGAATGATTTACTTTTGGTTTTATCACCACGTCTTGATCATACACGTGCAGTGAACTACTTTATCAAAGGTTAGTTGAATCGCCTAACAGGATAGAAAGTTAATGTTCGAACCTGCACTTTGGTATCTCTGACTTTTACTTAATCATGTAAAACTCAGTCGTTTAGAATAAGTGCTAGAGAAAACATTTTCTGTCCCTTGCAACGTTCGATTATTTAAATTTCAAGAAGAATAATCATGGATTGTGACAGATATAAAAATTTTCTTTTTTTTAACTTCTAGTTAAACAACTTCCATTAGTTAAACCATATTTACGTTCAGTACAAAATATTAATAATAAAGCTATTAATGAAGCACTTAATAATCTATTAATTGAAGAAGAAGATTATCAAGGTTTAAGAAATTCAATTGATGCTTATGATAATTTTGACAATATCGCATTAGCACAACGTCTTGAAAAACATGAATTAATTGAATTTCGTCGTATTGCTGCTTATCTTTATAAAGGCAATAACCGATGGAAACAAGCAGTAGAACTATGCAAAAAAGATCGATTATATAAGGTAGAGTATCAGATTATGAAATGAAATCTATTGAATTTTCGAAATGAAAACCTTGATACTTGGAGTTTGAGCTTGAAAGTATTAAAATTCGTATACTTTAGGATGCTAAGAATCTGTACAGTCTACTCACAGGTAACATATTTACCCAAGTTTGAGCTTCACATTATCATAACTTGATAACTTATTATAATGACGAGCTGAAACTAACACTGCAGCTGGATATGAAAGTTGGAGTTGAACAAAAAATTTCATTTCATTTGCGTGAACTTTTATCACTTTACGGGACCGGAAACTTCTGAAGTAATAGACTCGTCCAAAATCACATTTAAATTAGAAGTATCCGAACAAGTTGATTGTCATTAATGTTCAAATTATAATGGAAAAAGGCTAGACTTATTGTTTGTATCATTAAGTTCTATTACTTATTCAATTGAGGACATCACATGTTTCCGTACCATAGTATAATATACATCATTCCAGAGAGATAGTATTTCTGCACAAGACTTAAGAATACTATAAACCTTTGTGTAGCCAAAACAAAACATGTAAATGAACAGTACTGACTAATAATCCTAATTTAACATATCACGACTCTAATTAATATTGGAATTCTGATACCAATCGTTTGTTTTAACCAGCGCAAGAAAAATCTTCATCATATGCTTTGCTATTTACTCTTAAAATGATGATATATCGGCACTATCTTCTTTAAAGTTTCTTTCATTAAGTTTTCTAGTTCAATCAATTTATTATATTTTCTTGTATGAAAAGTAAATATTTCCTTTTTTCTTTAAAGGATTCAATGACTTATGCATCAGAATCACGACTAATTGATATAGCTGAAGATTTAATATCCTGGTTTCTTGATGAAAAATTATATGAATGTTTTGGTGCATGTTTATTCCAATGTTACGATCTCTTACGACCTGATGTTATTTTGGAACTTTCATGGCGTCATGATATAATGAGCTTTGCAATGCCTTACATGATTCAAGTTATACGAGAATATATTACAAAAGTAATAAAAAAATTCAAACTCTAAAAGAAAAGTTTTATGCTAAATGTTTTTTTATTAGGTTGATAAACTTGAACAATCTGATCAACTTCGTACAGAAAACGAAACAGCTAATGAACAGAAACCTATTGATTTTAACTGTACGTAAAAGAAAGCAAACAAAATAAATCAATGCTAATTGTATTCTTTGTTTTTTTTTCCTTATTCTAGCACAAGGCCCATTAATGATTACGGGACCTGGTATGAGTGCTTTTCCACAAGCAGGTTTTGGTGTTGCTTCTTATCCACAATACAGTGGCGCACCAGGGCATTGAGGACTTTAGAAAAAGCAAATCAAAAACAATATTTACGAAGAACAAATAAAATAATCTGTCAATTGTCATCATGTGTAAATGTTTATGCGTTTGTCAGTGTGTTCTTTCTTTTTCTTTTCTCAATATTTATTACGATGATATAGTCGCATTCCTTTTTATTTATATTGATGTTGTCGCACATACTATCCATTCAGTTTATCTTTTTAGGCAAGAAAAAAAACAAACCAAATACACCTTTAGGAGAACCATTTATTTATGTAACCCGTGATTTTCGTGGTCAAAAAATAAATTTGGTTTATCAGTTTACAAACATCCATTTTATTTTGATTTTTTTTGTATGTTGTTAGTGTTGAAAAAAATTACTAATAGAGTAAAGAAAAAAACATTCTGTTGTCACGATTTTTTTGTTAGTGATTTTTGTGATCGTATGTGTATCCCTTACTTTCTATTCAATTTTTTCTCTCTCTATCAATTAATCGCAATACGTACATATATTTCTTCTTCCCCTAATCTTTATCTTTGCATTTCTTATCATCATTTAAACATAATAAATTTGTGCAACTTTGTTTCTTTAAAATATATTTAAATATATATATACATACAGAATATTCTAATTTAATTTTTTGAGAATAATTCTGTTGGAAAATTCTTTCGAAGAAATAGATATCTAATGAAACTATATCGTTCTTGATATGTAATTCTCTATTAAATTGAATAACATGCAAAAAAGCAAAATATGCATTTTTACAGATTTCTTCACACATTCCCTGATAGAATCAAAAGCAAATACTAATGATGCAACTAATTATTTATTATTATTTTACATTTATTCTAGAAAAGAATTTCTTTGGTTTTTACCATACAAATTATTATGATTCATAATTGAATATCTTTATCTATAATATAAATGGCCTTCCAACAAGATTATTTTTCTATTCCACCTATAACACGAGCATATACAACAACATGTCTTTTAACAACGATCGCCGTTGTAAGTGCACGTTTCTTGTCTGCCACATGAGATACTTATATTATCATGACATTTTTTTATTGATTACACAAATTGCTCTTGAATTTTCTAATCATTTATATGTAAGCAGTTGCACTGAAAACACATTATTTCTTTTGGATAAATAAATACTATTGACAAAGTATTTGTAAATTGAACTATGATTGAGAAAAAAATGTTTCTTTAGCAAGAAATATCCATAAATGTTTCATGGTAAGGTTCCCCTATCAATAAATCATTATATGATAGAAATGAAACTTGATTGTTGCTAATTATATGATATTATTTTTCCAGTCAATATAGAATATCGAGTTTGATTACTGTAAAATCTTAGATTCGATAGTCATTTAGAGAAACTTGAGTGTAATGCTCTTTCACTCTATCTCTCATCCTCAAGAATTATGTATGCCTTTTTTGCTATTTAAATAGAAGAATCGTATATCATTATGTTCTGTTTATTTCTAAAAATTTCTTTTCCCATCCAATACTTCTACTACTATTTGATAAACACTATATATTTTATTTTCTAGCAACTTGACTTTGTGACTGCATATCAACTTTATTTTAATCCTGAATTGATTTTTAAAAAATTTCAAGTAACTATAAAATAATTATTTGATTTCAATAAATAATATTACTCGATTCTTTTATAGTTATGGAGACTAATAACTTGTTTTTGCTTTTATGGTAGCATTGGTTTCAATTTTTTCTTCAATTTACTCTTTACCTATCGCTATTGTCGTCATCTTGAAGAAGGTTCCTTTCGTGGACGTGCTGCTGATTTTCTTTTTATGTTTATATTTGGTGGTACACTAATGATAATAATGGCACTATTTGTTAATATTGTTTTCCTTGGTTCAGCATTGACAATTATGTTAGTCTATGTATGGAGTCGACGAAATCCATATGTTAGAATGAATTTTTTTGGTTTATTAAATTTTCAAGCACCTTATCTACCATGGGTATTATTTGCTTTTTCACTTTTACTTGGCAATTCAGTTATTGTTGATTTAATGGGAATTATTGTTGGTCATGTATACTATTTCCTTGAAGATATATTTCCACGTGAGCAAGGTGGTTTTAAAATATTGAGAACACCAAGATTTTTGTACGTCGTTTACTTGTTTCAATGTTTGTCTTGTAGCGAAATGTTAAAATTTTCTATTTTTCTCTTCGATAGACATTGGCTCTTTGATGAAACTAGACGTCATCGTGATGAAAATGATACACGGCCTAACGCTGGCAATGAAGTACCGTTTGGTGCTGGTGGTTTTCATTGGCAGTGATAATATTTCTTGTTGAATTTTTATTTCTTGTACATCTTTATTCAGAAAGTAAACAGAAATATATTTAAATTTATATGCAAATCTTGTTGGAAAATTTTAAGAAAATATATGTTTGAGTTTTATTGTATGCACACAGCTCATTCTTTTGTCATTCGTTTATATAAAGAATAATATTGAAAATAAATGTATGGTGATAATTTTCTGAGAAAAAGAAGAAAATCATAACAGTCTTGTCAACAAACAACTATTTGTATTTTCATCAATGAATGACTACTGATATTTAGTATACGCCATACTCAAGAATCATTTGTTAGGATGTTTAAATTATATTGATTATATTTTCTTGAAATACTAGTATCCAGTAAATATTAGCAAACAACTTTTATTTCTAGAAAAGAACAACAGGTGGATAAAGAGCTGGCCACCCCTTGCTGTTCGTTGTCCAATTAATATTTATGTTTTACTAGCTATTCTATGGTCTACAACATGAAATAGCAGTAATTGTCCTAGACACTGCTTATCACCCATGGTGCATACTATAGTTTAGCTGATGATAGACGAAAAGAAAATGTAGTTTGATGGTAAATCTTATTAATTATCCAGAAATAATATAAATTTCACAAATGTATAAGAATAACTTGCGAACGATTTTAATTTAATTGAAGTCTTTTTGTTATTTATACTATGATCGTTAATTATAATAAAATTCTATCGTATCCTGCTGGTCATCAAAAATAACAATGAGGTGTTCTGTGTGATTCTATCACGTAGATGATATAAGTAGATTCCCATTAAAGATGCGTTACACCATCATAATAGTTCGTTTGATTTTTTTATGATTTTAACCAGCGACCTAGACCAAATTGATACGCAATCATACGATTTTTCTTTTTTGCAACAAAATTTTACAAAAGAAAAAAAAAGAAAAAGGTTCTAACAAGCTGTTGCACACACCTATCGAATTTGAAACGAGACAAAAAAAAGGGGGGACATAAAATAGTCGTACACCAGGTTGCGATGATGATGATGCCGTTATTGTGCAAGGTAAATGAAGGTTCTATCGTCATATAACCAAACAAGAAACTCACATGTAAAAGTATGTATTTTCCCAGATTTATAGAATTAATTCAATAAAGCGAAAATAATATATTATCATTGTTTCACTTTCACCTTTCCTTATTGCTTGAGACTGTTAACACCTGTATGACAAGTGTGTTCCAGCTGATTATCAACAAATTTTCATTCCATCGCGATCTAGCTAGAGGCTAAAGAAGGTATATATTTCCCTTATCGGTTGTATGCGAAAGAAAAGAAGAGGTACTGTTGTTTATCTTTTCTCTTTCTGCAAATGGCAACACCAACGGTATACATATATATATATGTGTGTGTGTGTGTGTGCGCGTGTGGTTATTCAATGTATCTTGAGATGTGCTCTCGGTCGTATATAGAGATATATGTGTGTACATCGACTATCTCATTATCATTCAATTATAAAGTAAACGAAATCTTAGACGAGTTTTCTCTCTTAAAGAAAAATAAATACGGAAAAGAAAATGATTGTTGCATCAATCTAATCGAAGAAGAAATAGGTATTCATGTTGTAATGGAAGCAAATGTCTACTAGTTTCTAAGCGGCACCAGGTGTTGAAAAGAAGAAAAAGTTGATAGAAAAAACAGGAAAGAGGAAAAGAACGACAGCATCGGTAGAATATATCTCTACTCATCAGATTATAATAGGAAGAAGAAGAAACGTAGTACATAAGTTGCACATGCATAAATACGCGGCAGTACCATACATACATATATATATATACACTTTTTTTGTACCGCCCTTTCCTCTTGTTACTCTCCGCTGTACATACTTTTTATGTTAGCTACGGTTTTAGATATATTTCCTGTGACACACATGCGCAATATGTGATAATAAATATAGAAAATCTTATTAAACTTATAGCTAGACTACATATGTAATGATGTTTCTCATAAAAAAAATACCATATATAGAATATGTATTAACGAGGTAAGTGGACTTATGTATACAGTGAAAAAGTTTGCCACTGATAAGAGAGAAGAAAAAAAAAATAGATATCATTCTCTATTGCTTAGTGTGCACCTATCAGAGGTGAGCAGAATAACATGAAAATGTTCGATGATTGGTGCAAGAAGAATATTCCCCGTTTTTCTTCTTCTCTCACGTCCCATTGTAATATACCATTTCGCTACAGCACACGTTTTATTTCAGTAGCAGCATCAGAACAGGATAAGTAAGGCATATACACACATATATATATACAACAAATAACAGCAGTTTCTCTCTCTTGTATATCGAAGGTAGAATATCATCCTCCTGTTATTCGTTTGCAATACGGTATATCCATCATCATCGTTTCTATATAGATAGCAAACAAAACGCATTCATAGGATAGTATTGATTCTTCTTTTTTTGTTGTACACGAAGTGTCTGTCTGTCTGTCTATCTATCTTTATTAATGTAGTAACTAGTAGCGAGCAAACAATTTCATTTTCCAGAACTTTGCTACTCGTCGATGAAGATCCATTAGCAATGCTAATATGTGTCAATCAGTCAAAGAAAAAAATTTAAACAGTACATTGTCTTTTTTTGCATAAATGAATATAAAAGACAAGCTTACTCAAATTACAAAGAAAAAAAATGAGTTGAATGAGATTTGTTGCTGTTTTTTTTAACAACTAGTCATTTTTTTCAGTGCATTTCCTCGTTTGCTTTTCATTTGCTTTTTAATTAGAAGAAAAATGTCATAAGAACGAATCATGTTTTTTTTACATTCATCGAACAGGTGAGAACCAATCGTAGACAAAAAAAAAGAATCTAATAATTGTCTATTATTTCCTTTTTTTTTCCTCTTCCATCTCATTTAGATGGAAAAGAGAAGTTAGTCGTCTGTTTATGTAAATCAGTGTTCGGTCGGTGGTCTCGTAATGACGTTAGTTTATAATAATAATGCGTATGTGTGCCTTCGTATCTTCCTCTATATTGTGCACAGCAGATCATGTCCATATATCGATTAGACAAAAGAATACTACTGTTATTACTTGTGTTCTTCGTAAAGTAAAGTAGCAAATTTGATTAAGTGTATATTATGTCTCAGCACATGCCGTTTATACAAATATGATCATATTTTTGAACACAGCATGTCATTTCTAATATTTTATAGATCGAATTACATTGAAAACAGGTGAAAAATAAACATTTTCTATTTGTTATTTTATTTAAATGGACTCGCTCATTCTTGGAATGATGGAACTTGATCACAGTAAATACATTTTCTTTCCATAAATTGTATTATTTCATTTTCTATTTAGGTAATGATGAATGTGATAGTGGTTCTTACCAAGCAAAACTTTCAGTCGGCGAAGAACATTTACTAAGAACAAATGAGACTGGTAATGATAAATTCCTATAACATCTGAAATAATCATTTATCTTATGTTTGATCGTATTTTTGTAATATTCACTATTTAGCAGAGAGTAAGAATAAATAATATTTGGTGAAAATTTTGAAAGTTCAAAATTTTTATCAATCATCCTCTAGATTATTGTTTAACATCGAATGAATTACATAAGATAAACACAGATCATTTAATAAGATCTGTCTATTCGCTGACTAATCGAACAGAAAGAAAAATTTCTATGCTTTGAGTTATACTTCTTATTTTGATGTACTACTAATAATAATTATGTAAGCTTGATGTTTTCCTCAAAGTTGACAAATTTCTTGTCATGTGATCATTTATCTCGCTAACAACTAATAGAGCAGATGATGAAATGGACGGTAGATTTTTCCTGTTCGAGCAAGCATTTATAATCAACATACAGATTCGTTTTTTTTTTAGGAAAACATATCACAAGGTTAAACTAAACCAATAAATATATGTCACAAGATAGTAAATATACTGTGAGGTAGCAAGAATCTGGAACAATAATTAGAAATAAGACGTATGATAATTAAATGTACTATCTTTATATTTATTGACTAATGTCAACTGATTTTAATTACTTAACTCATCTGAAAGATGTAAATGAGTGAGAAAGTCTTCACTATATTTCAATCTCTGCGCCATTTAGTTCATCTCTATATTTAGTAATATAACTTTTCTTTTTCTTTCTTTCTAGAAACTAACTCTTCCAAATATAAACTTACCAACGAATCTATAACATCCATTGAATGTCCTTCTGAATCAATGCATTGTATCCATTGCAATGCAATTTTTACTAACAAAGTATATTTATTTAAAACAAAAAAACAGATGAAATTATTTGCATTTTCCCCATGCTTGCTTTTTTGATAGAACGATTTACATGAACATGAATTAAATCACAATGCACATCAAATATCATGTCATATATGTCATAAAATATTTGCCAATACCTATCGTCTTCAACGTCATATGTTAAGTCATGAAGTAGATCCTCAAACACGTAAATTTCAATGTTCACAATGCCCAAAAGCATTTAAATTTAAACATCATCTAAAAGTATTTGAAATCAAATAGTAAACAAAATATTATGTTAATATTTTCATTTTTCTAGGAACATATTCGGATTCATACTGGTGAAAAACCATTTGTTTGTTTGAATTGTAATAAGCGTTTTTCTCATTCTGGCTCATATTCATCGCATATGGCATCAAAAAAATGTTTTATACATAATCCTGAAATAGAAGAAGGTGAAATATTACCTATAAAATCTGAACAAGCTCAATTTGATGATCTATCGAAATGCTTTGCTATCAACGAACAATACATTCAATATTATTTTCATATTTTACAAAATACAGTTTTACAAACGGAACCATTAGATTTATCAATAAAAAAGTCCGGTGAATCTCATTTAGACGAAAATGATTTAATGGAATCGTTAAGTCCAAATAGTTCATCGGAAATAAGTCTTCTATCACCTGACGATTTATTAAATAATAAACGTTTATCATGTGATATATGTGATAAATCATTTAATAAACAAAGTTCATTAGCACGTCATAAATATGAGCATTCAGGTAAAAATAGAAATATACTAAAATTATTGTTAGCAAAATCAACAATTATTTTTTAGGTGTTCGACCATTTATTTGTGATATTTGTAAAAAAGCATTTAAACATAAACATCATCTTGCAGAGCATCGCCGATTACATACAGGTGAAAAACCATTTCAATGTACGAAATGTTTCAAACGTTTTAGTCATTCAGGTAAATAGTTTTAATATGATGAATGAAATTCAAATTCTTTTATTCATCATAGGATCATTCAGTCAACATATGAATCATCGATACAAATATTGTCGTCCGTATCAGACAGAAATGGATAATAAATTAAATGAATGTTCCAATCAAGAAACTATAATAGATTAATATATATAAATATAATTAAATCCATGGTGCCATATTCCGAATATTTTCGAGTTTGATGTATCAGATCTTTTCATGCACATCATCAATGAAATGATTTTCTTTATCTATCAATCCTTTACTATTCTATAAACAAATATTTTCATTTTCTTTTTACCCTCTCGCTACTAATGAGTTATCAAGTGTTCATTGTTGTCTGATGATGTTCTTTTTTTTCTTGTTTGTATAAATATGTGGTATGTTCTACTCAAGATAAACAGCCAACCTCTTTTTTTTTAGTAAAAATAAAACATAAACGAAATAGGGAATGTTCGAATGTCTGACTATAATAAAATACATTTAGTTACATTTAACGTTGATTCATGAGAAAATTCTATGATAAGAAGATGTCATATGATACACTAGGAAGTTGCATTAAGAAAAATAGCATCTATTTATTTCATCATTCTAGTGAAAAGAAGTGAATGGCTTGATTGTGTTTCTTATAGATGTGCTTTCATTAAAAAAAAAAGAATCTTCTTGTAGTAAATGCTTTAGTAACATTATCTGAAAGGAAGATTGCTTTTTTTTGATACCATCATACAGTGCTGTATAAGCAAGCAAACATGAAAGAATAACCTTTTCTCCTTGGAAAATATCAGCATTCATGATGAAACATCTACTAGATGAGTAAAATATATATTTATATATATATATATATATATCGAAGGTTTTCAAATTCTTATGATTGGTAATGAATTGTATATAATAATTCAACCTATAGTTTTCATATTCTTTTAGTTATAATATATTCATGAAAGTTAAAAGTTCATTTTATGAAGAGAATAGTTACTAATAATCTTTTAGTAAAAAGAATGACACAAATAACTGGGGTTTTCTCAAATTTGAAGAGAAAACCTCGCACATATGGTAGCAGCCATATTTCATTATGTATAACAATCGGGAAAATAAACATAATATATCAGTATGAAGAAAAGTTTAGATAGAGTAAACAATTCATCATCATTGATTGTCAATAATCGGTTATAAAAGAACATCCGTTAGACACACTGATAAATTAGTATTTAATTATGTGGCTGGATTATCTTGATTTTTTTAAAGAAAAAGATTTGCTTTTGCTATTGAGTTATTGTTAAAGGAAGTTAAATTGAGTTTGAGATAATCAGTTGGATTTCTATCAATTAGGTGAGTGAATGAAGATGCTATATCGGATCGTAAAGAGTAAACACTAGGTTGAATCGTTGCGCCATCTATCAATCTTGGTTGTTAATAGTTTTGGTTACTGATCAAACCATAATAAATAATAATAATTAGTTCGTTATTTCTTCTCAATAGAAATGATCGTTTTGATGTACTGATTCACTATATTTCGTGATCGATCATCCATAGCTTTAGCAGAAGAGAAGTAGAGCTACGTGATATTTTTTTTTTAATTATCGCCAGGTAGAGTGTAATTTGCTAAATATCTAGATTGCTATTATTTTAATTAGAATAAAATTTGTGCAAAGTTTCGTTTGAAAGTTTTGAAATTTTTCTATTCAAGTTTGAAGATTTCTCACTCATCTCTATTCTCTTTTGTACATCTTATCTGTTAAAAAATGCGTTATTGTTCTGATCACATTGATATGTATAGACTGGAAATTTCGAATATAAGCTATAAAAAAAACATGCACAACCTTTATTAGACCATATTGTGAAGTGAAGCATGATGTCTTAAATTTACAACACTTAGTAACTTTTTATTATTCTATATTACTATAAGAAATGGGGCGAAAACGAATGATAGCCAAAAGATCTCGTTTCTATCTTACAATGTATTTACTTTTAAATTATAAAATTTCTTTTTGTAAACGATTGATTTATTATCTAATAGTAAATGTTTTTATTTTAGATTAAAACAAATAGTACTGATCGACGACTGCTACTCGATCAACATGACAGGACGAACGCCGAATTTTATTTTTGCTGGTCTTTTCATAGTTACGTTTCTTCTCGGCTTTTTTTATATGTCATGTTCATCAAAATCGAATGAACTTCAACGAACATTAGAAGACTTTGAAGAACGTGTGCGAACAGTAAAAAAAAGTCGATATTTAATATGGAAAAAATTATATTTGATAGTTTTAGTTAACACTAAAAAATGAAGGCAAACAACAAGAAGTCGAAGCAAATAGTGCTCTTATACGTGACCTTGAAAACAAAAATGCGGATTTTCGAAAGGACGTGGAAGAAAAAGATTCAGAATTAAATAATCTCAATGTGCAATTAAATGAAAAACTAGTCGAAATTCAAAATTTAGCGTCACTTAAAAATGACCTTGATAATCAATTGGTACATTAATATCAAAGTGATTACCATCAAATTTCTATATAATATTTTTCTTGTCTCATAGAAAGAAGCAAAAGACGCAGCTAATTCAGTTGCTTCGAAAGAATCCACCATTGAGAAGTTACAAAAGGAATTAGATGAACAAAAAAGTTTGTTTTATTAATTTCTTTTTTCTTGCACTCATTATATGAAATATTTAGAAAGTAATGAGGAACAAATGAATAACTTGCAAGAAACGATTAAAAATTATAGAAATCAAGTGTAACTTCAAACAGCTACAATTTGTTTCTTTTTTTATAAAATATTGTTTTTCTTTTTCAGAAATCAATCACAAGATAATCAAGGCAAATCTATTGTAGTTTCCAATCGAACTGCTGATCAATCATTAGTATCATCCAACGAAACGATTAGTAGGTCTTCATTACGACATTAAGAATCTTTAACTCAATCTAATTTTAGTCTAATTCAGAGCGAAAGTAGCAAAAATATTTTTTACTCACTTAAATGGAATAATAGCTGACTAAGAAAACAAAGTTATTTCATCTTGATTAGTCGTCAAATTATCAACAACTCATTCTGACAACAATAGTTCTATTAAATTTCGATGCATCTTTACTGAGTAGGAAGCCCTTCCGATTGAGAAGTTTCGTTAAGTTCTCTTCATACAAATAAAAATTCTCACAAGATATGCACTCTAAGTGACTTTGTCTGGCATTAAAGTTTTTTTTACTGAGTTTTTAGATAGTAGTAGAATATTTTAAGAAAATTGGAATCAAGGAATTTCATTCTGAAACTTTAATCAGACATACATCTCACTATATTTACTCTAACTTTAAAGTTTCAACAAAAGGAAGAATACATCGGTCTTCAGATAATAAAGTTGCAAAACCGCTGATTTGTAGAAAAACATTATTGATAGTTAAAGTTATAAGATAATATGAGATCTATATTCTAGTACAATCTTAAACCGAAATTCTTCTATTTCCTTGCAGTACCTGTAGTAGACTGAAAGCTCAGTTCCATTATTGGAATTCTAGGCAAACGCACTAATAGTACATAAAATTGTAGTCTTTTTTGTAATTTGGAACTAAACAATAAGAAAATTATGCACTTAAATGAAGATTATCAATTAGAAGAGTTGCTTTGTTCGAGTAAAATTTTGCTGACAAAATTTCAATGAAGAAAAACTTATGATATTCTTTATTTTCTACAGACTACGTATAAAACAGGTCAAGCTTATGGGTTTTATGAGAAATGAACTTATCACGTTTCTTCTAATGACAAATTTTGATTAGTAATCGCCACACGTAGTAGTTTACTGTTGGTCAATGCGTTTCTTTATTTAAATATATTTTTTTTTAATTTCATTTCTCTTTATGCAGTTTCAACTTTCTTTGTAATTATTTTTTTTGCTTCACGTGATGTACTTTTGTCTCAATTTCATGAGTTAAACTACATCAAACTTATCAAATATTAACAAAGAAACAATAGAATAGTTCTATACTTTTACAATTGTATTTCTCTTTCATTCCACAAGTTAATGCTGTACTGACAATAACTAGATGAAGTCAATGGGTTATTTTGTTTGAGACATAGAAAATAATTATTCCTATTAATTATAGTAAGAATTACCATTTTAATCTAATGTAAGAAGTAGCTCTTCATCGAAGTTTTCATACTAAATTATCAATGAAATTTTAGATCAAGAACTAAATAACTCAGATCTGCATCAACGTGTAAGATAAAACCACATGAAGTTTTATTAGATTTTACGTAATATTCTTTTCTATGACATAGCTACAACGATCACTTAACAATTCATTATTTGACAATGAAACTCTCAACGATACTGGTAACAATAATAATCTACAACTCGATACAAGAAACGCTCAAAAATCTATAAATATTACTTCGATTTCTCTTTCAAACGAAATCAAAATCTCTAATAATCAATCTCAGTTGGCAGAAGATAATGATAAGAATCTCTTAAAACATAATGCAGTTGAGAACCCTCGTGAAAAACAGGCTATGATAGGTTAGATTTTTGTTTCAGAATTAATTAACATTATTTCGAACAAAACACTTTGAAAGTAATCGTTTGGCATTTTTTTCTAATCATTGACATTGATCTTCTCTATTGAGCTTGTTCGGGAATTTTCTTTTGTTTCTGCAATGCATATTTTTCTTGTTATTTTTTCCTGATCTACCGATATCTTCCGGTTTTATTATTTAACTTAAAATTGTGTGTTATTTTCTTCTCCTCATGTTTTCCATTTGAGTTCATTGAGTGATTTGATTTGAGCAACTATTTTTTTTTCTCTAGTACAATGCAATTAATAAAAGCCATACATTTGACATGTTCAAAAAAGTGAACTTAAATATTTCAATAACCACAAGACTTAAACAATTACTTTACTGTTTGCAAGATGATTGCCAAAAAATCAGTTAACTCAGAAAAATGTCTACTGATGATGGCCGCCTTTTTTTGCATTACTCATTCTGTCAAATAGAGCTTATAGGTAATATCGTCATGTTAAAATGAGCCTATTTTTTTATGCATGAAGGTGTTGGTTTGATATTTAAATGCAATTAGTTGCTTATGAACTTTAGCAATTATTTTATTTTTCAATATAAAACGGAGCCTAATCTTTTGATTATTACAATCAGGTCTACGTTGATTTTATCGAAAGCTTGTTATTATTTTTTTTAAATAAAATAGTTATGAAACTTGTAATCGATCTCATAATGTAGGGTACTTAAACATGAGATTCATAGAGAGAGAGAAACATACTTTTATACAAGAGTTTTCTTTCGATTGTTTTGTCATTCGTCCTTGAGTGTTTGTTATGGATACTTTTTTGAAATCGATATACTTTAATGAATAAATAATGCGCTTATAAGTTTCTCTTCAAGAGCTTAAGTGCATTCGTTGTGCAATAAATTTTCGCATGATAATTTTCTAAAAATAATCACGAACGTAAACTAGAAATAGAACATATTGATATTACGATTAGTACAAAATGATGTTCAGTTTTATTAATCGTATACATCAATTATATACGTTTAATTGGATATATTACCTATTTCGCGATGAGCATGTTAGAAAAACTTTCAATCACTGTTTTGAATTTTACTTAGATTTGAGACAAAAAGGAATTTAAGTTAACTGACAATAGTTGATTTAGGCTAATGACTTTAACGAATCATCATATAAAATTCATTATCTCAATCAATCGTTAAACTTTGAGAGAGAATCACAATTTTCAAAGTATGACCATAGAAAGTCTTTTAATTTACAATCCATATGCTACTACACAGATAATATTAAGTAATGCATATAAGACTACCAAGAACATTATCCCAATCGCGAATTGTTGTTGTTGTTGTTGTTGATGTCCAGGTAGTTGATGAAGTAGTACTCGTTCTTTTTGTTATTGTAGTTTGAATTGCAGGGGGCGTGGGCTTAGTTATCGTTGTATCTATGTTGTTGGTCAATGCTATGTTAACTGTGATAGTTCTTTCTGCTGTTGTTAAATCAGTCTTTGCTAAAAGTATGGGCTATATATAGCTATTGGAGTATGATAAAGGGCTGGCCAGAGAAGGTGATCTTGTTAATAAACTTGTACTTAGCGATGGAGTAATTTCAGTAGTTATTGTATCATTTAGTTTTGTTGTATATGATAAAATATATAAATTAGTATTATTCGATGAAATGATACCAGTGATATTAAGCAACGGTGCAAGCAGCTTTAGTTATTTTTGTAACAGTTGATAGTTACATAATTATTTATTGAAATCAACACTGAACAAATGCATGCATTACATGATGAATGATCATCAAATGATATCAGTTGTACTGTGACATTGCCAACATGATAGCTATAGGCAAACGCATGATTTGGTATCGATTCAATTTGAAGCGAATAGGCAATGTCAAATAAAGTTGAAATAAGGATGAAATATAGAACAAGCATATCGTTGATATCAAATATATTTCATTTTTCTGTTTATCTATAACGCTGTTGTTTTTCTCATTTGTGAATTAACACCTTTAGAATACATTTATATTTAAGAGAAAGAATGCAAGAGTTGAAGCATTGAAAACTTTGTTAGAATTGTTATAACAACTTGATATTCTTTTATCAAATGGTTCAAGGTAGAAAGCATTCATTTCCATAACCATTATAAACAAATCCTCGGCTATCTAGATCGCCATATTTGAATAATCGAACGCAACAACTAACCCAGCAAGGATTTAAAACAAGAATAAATATACATTATGGCATTCATTTGCACTCTTCATTCACTACTAGGAAAAATAAGAGCTCGAGATAAAAAACACATTGTGGGAAGAAGTTGATAAATCGGAAGAAATTTTATTGATATTTTCTTTTTTTTATTACTTTTTAGAATATTCATCAAACACATCAGAGCGAAAACAATATTAAAATTAGCAAGTAATATTCATTTACAAGAATAAAATATAAGAATTATTCTTAAGTACATCTGATATTATTTGATTCTATGATAAAAATAAAATAAATCAGATGTCATAGTCAATAAGGACCAAAACGCTCTTGTTAAATGAAAAAAACACCTTATTATAACATGCGAAAGTTTGCTTATTAGATTCCTATCTGATTTGCCAGATCTTGTTTTTTTTGAAATGAATATAAGGTCGTGAATATTAAAGAAGTCGCTCACCTATTTTGCTCTGTACATGCAAAAACAATCTGCAAAGAAAAGAAGAAATGCAAAAACAATCTGCAAAGAAAAGAAGAAATGCAAAAATATTGCTGCGTACATGAGAATCAAAATATGATTTTCACACGTAGAAAAATGTTGAATTTACTTTTAAATCAACAAGCAAATAATTATATTGATGTTAGAGATGAAAAAATAAGATGAGATTAGTATTAGTGGCTGCAGTAGTATTTTTCTTATATGCTTTATGATGTGTGTATATTTACTCAATACTTAGTTATTTCTATTCAACAAGAATTTGATGTAAATGATTCAAATTTTCATTTTTCAGGTAACATGACTATGACGAAGATGCTAAATTCTGATATCATAGCTCTACTACTGTTAGCATCAAGTTTTCAAATTGCACATATTGCAACAAGTAAATTTAATTTTAGAAAAATATTACTGAAACTTTAGTTTTTAAGAAAAATTCTGTTGAATTTATAAATTAAAAAATAATTTTTCCATTCTATCTACTAGTTCCATGCAATAAATCTAATATCATCCATTCAGTACAAGATGATAACGTAAACATAACGTTCCTATCGACTGATGTAATAAGATTGAATAGATCAGTTCTATGTACATCGAATTCTTCATTCGAATTCATTAATGGTCCTGAATATCATTGTATGAGACTAGGCTATGGGCGATATGGTCAAATATTTATTCAAATACAAAATGATAATGGCGTTGTTGATAACTGTTCAATAACATATGTGACAAGTATGAGAAAGAGTAATATCATGTTGTTCATATTTGAAATTTCATTTTAGAATTACATGTAGCAAATTTAGCACATATAAATGCAATTGCTGATAGAGTTCGTTTAATTGTTTCGCGTCCATTAGGATCTTTCGATTATGTTATTATTCATTGTCCGGATGATAAATCGCATATAATATTCAATACTAGTTTACCATCCAATGATCTTATGATGAGTGCTCACTGTTCATTTTTACTCAATATGCCACTTATGAGTTTTGTAATCGAAACTGTTAAGAAAGATTTTGATTCCACGATTAATCATATTATTCAAGAAGGTTATTAAACCAGAAACGAAAAAAGATTCTTTAAAAACAATGAGTTTTTTTTCTTTACGTTTTTAGTTCCTTTACCCGTGCCATTTACATGTTCGCTCGATTCACTGTTACTTACTATTATAGCGAATCCAGCACCGACAATCAATCTTGCTAGTAGATATGAATTTAATTTAATATTTCATGATAAAGATAATGACCGTATTACCTACGAAAGAGTGAACATACTTGATCTAAAGCTTTATTCTAATACAACATTGAAATATGGTCTTACACCTAATCTGAAACATAAAATTAGTTTTGATCATATTGCTGATTCAATAGGTTCAGCACATTCAAATTTAACAATAACGCCAAGTATTTCTTTTTGAAATTTTTTTTCAAAAAATCCTTCATTATTTTTGTTTAGTATCAAATGTTTCATATCCATATGAAGTAGTAAATTTTAGTGTAGATGAGCAATTTCATAAGATTGTGCTTAGTTGGACTGATACTCATTCACGGTATGATCCAATTGAGTTTATTGTTTCATGTAATTCAAGTCAGAAGTCGAGCATAAACATTGGAAGAAAAACAGTCTATACCTGTGAGCAAATGACATTCCACGAAACAGATATTGTTTCTGTTCAAACAAAAGTAGCTATTCCTGGTTATACACATGACCGAACAGCTGTTGTACAAATCAATGGTATTCACCCATAATTTTATTTATTTTTTGTCTGCTTTTATTCAACATTTTATTTTTAGTCAAACAAGTACCAGAAATACCACTCTTTGAAGTTTTCAATAAAACAGAAAATGATATTACAATACGATGGAGCTATAATAGTAGTTCATTGATGTCGAACTCATTTAAATATAAAATTCAATGTGATTTATATGAAGATTCCAGCGACATTGATATTCATTTAAATCAATATCAATGTCAGTCGCTTGAAGATGGTTCGCTTTATGTCATAACTATGCATTTAATAAGTGTTAATAATACTATTAAACGGTCAAGCAGCATTCATGCGGCCACATGTAAGTTAAACTTAAACCTAAAAGCATGACCTTTAATTCATATCTTCCATAGTGCTGCAAAAATGTCGACCAAAAAATCATTTCTTTATTTCTGAGATTGATGGCACTATTTCAATTGTAATCGAATGGATTCCTCCAAAACATAATTTTGAAAAGATAATCATATATTGTCCATCAACAATTATGACTTATGAAAACCATCAAGTAGTGTCGCTCATGTATGTTAAATGTAAAGTTAAACATGGGTTCCCACTTCAAGTGTCATTTGTTACTGTCAAAAGTGGTTTTGAAGACGCAATATTCAAATTTACAGATACTGCACCATCAGGTACAACTAAATTTAAAACCAATAAAAAAGAAATGCTCTTTCTCTTAAGTTGATTCAACTACAACCACCCATCATCCCGAAATTATTCCAACAACAACGTCGGCCTTTGGATCTACAACAACGCCGTCGGTCTTTGACTCTACAACAACGCCGTCGGTCTTTGGCTCTACAACAGCACCGCCGGTCTTTGGCTCTACA